TCTTAAAAGACAATATTGAACTGCTTGAATCTTCGGTACGGGTTGTAACACACTGAAAGGAGTCATTGCACTCACAAGCCAACAACTATCGGCTTGATCTATCGGTGCGGGTTGCACCACTGAGTGTCTGAAAGTGTTTGAAAGTGTTTAAAAGTGTCTGAAGCCACCTTAAAGTGCCAGAAAGTGAAATAAGTTGTATTGCAGTTGCTTTCTCCTTGCACTGTTGAGAATTCACGGAGGCATATCTCAAAACGAAAAAAGTAAGTATGGGAATCTCGACTGAACAATACCGGTCAAGTATTGGTTCTCATGACAATTTCGTGAAAACAAAGGATATCTGATCACGTGTTAATAATCATTGTTGAAGTTTAATGTTTCTGATGTTCTATTTAAATGTATTTTACTTGCCAGTATTGAAACAAGTTGTTGGACAACACAAAATGTAGAATGATGTGATGTTTTGGTTTTCACAAATAATTTTCTACAATGCCTATATTCCATTGCTTATAAGGCAGGCAAATGATGTAGAAGAAAATCCAGGCCCTACAATATTTGATGTCATCGATCCAACAAGAACAATGTGTGCTTACTACAGTCAAGGAAATGAAGCTCTCTTTGGTGAAAATACTGGTAAGCAATATGTAGCAATGTCACTTACTGCTATTATTTATCATCACACAGAAGATATCAATTTGTGGACTTCTTCCATTTTGAATAATATTCTTACCATTGGAAATAATTTGTATACTTCTATAAGATGTTCTGTCCAGACAAATGATTATTTGTTTTTAACTGATGTTCCATGCATTGTTTCAATTTACAATAATGTATACACATTGGAATATAGTTAGTCATTAACAGGAGTTTGTTCATGACATCAAATAATGGGCCATACATGTATCTTCAAAATTCTCTAACAGAAGTGTTTTCAAATTGTCAACTTAACTACAATTGTTGTTTGTTAATGACTGGAATAAATACTGTTGCAGTGATTAAGAATTCAGAACAAAGCTTTAAAATTTTTGATGCTCATTCCAGGGATTTGCATGGGATACCCCACTCATTTGGGAAATGTACTTTGCTTACCATTGAAGAAATTGAAAACCTTGTATCATATTTGAACATTTTCTGCTTACAAATAGGGTTTGTTCCTTTTGAAATTAAAGGTGTCTTAATCAGAGATAATGAACTTGATTTGCAAAATGTTCATGAGAGTCCAAAAATTGAACATTTGCCTTTCAGAAATAAAAGAAACCAAACACAACATATGAAAAGGAAGCAAAAGTCTTTAACTGAAACACCAGAAGAAAAAGGAAAACGATTCATTGCTAGACATGAATATGAGAAACGAAGAAGGGTAAATGAAAGTGAGGAATCAAGGGAAAAGAGGCTGGCCCAGCAGCATCTGAACAGGGAAAAGAAACATGCAAATGAATCTTCTGAATCAAGAAAAAAGAGGCTGGCAACCCAATCTCAGTATCAAAGACAAAAAATTGCAAATGAATCAGCAGAATGTAGAGAGAAGAGACTGTTAAACCAACGTCAATATCAGAATGAAACTAGACGCATAATTGTGTTCACCCAGGCTTTCTGTTGGAAATAAACTTTGTTTTTTGTGCTTGCATTTGCCTAAGTCTTTATGCAATTATTGGTTTATCCTGTAACTGTTTTTGTGTGGTTTACATGAAGTGTAACATGCTGTCAAAGATCGTTTTTTTTTTTCTAGTTTTTCATTCATCTTTGTGGCTTAGATTTCACACGCCGGCTTTCCTACAGTCGGCTTGTCTTCTAAGTGCAGATTACAGCATGGAGTTGTGCTCTCACAGGCCAACATTTCATGGTCTGGACCTTTAGTGCAGGTCATGCCACATTGAAACTTAGGAGTCATTATTGACTCTCTGTGCAGTCACATTTCATGTAAGTTATTTACCAGAACATTTTTTATCCTGAATTTCTGTTTATACCACATGCTCAGTAAGAAAATTACTTAACCAGTCTTTTTAGTACATGCAAAGATAAAATTTTGGTTAAACTGCAGAATACCCTGCCACCCATGGCATTACATGTCATTGAATATGAATAGAATAAACCATTTTCAGCTAGAAGTGAAAATAGGACTTTTTTGTTGCCATTAGAAAATCAAACACTGCTGTTGTCTGGAAATTCAATTTGACGGCCTCTTTAAATGAAATTATACTTTCATGTTTACATAGCTAAACCAATAAAAGTCACAAACATCTAATGCCTAACACGAAACTGCGGTTTGTTGTTAACATGGAGCTAAATGTTTTTAATTGTTTCCAAACTTTGAGGAGTAATCCATTGAAACTCAGTAACAAAGTGGTTTTGCTTTTATTAAAATATGAATAGGAGCCTAGTGCTTTAATGTTAACTGAAATGTGATTAGTGTTATGTTTTCCAAGTTATGTCCAGAATTATTCAGACCTTAACATTTTATGACTTCCTTCAAGCTTGGCAGTCTTCCAGATTCTCTTCATAATGGTTCAGATAAGCATTGGTATCTATACTTGGTAGCAATACATGTGTATTAGGCCTTTATTTGGTAGACTACAACTCCCTTTCAGTTACTTTTTTGGTTTGGTGAATTCATCACAATACTGATATACATGAAAAATTACACTTTTTTGATTGGCTGAAAATAGCTTGGTGCCTTTTCATTTATCATTAGTGGAAAAGTAATAACTCGTGAACAAAATAATATAAACTCAGCAACAACAGATCACATTAGAAACCAATCGGATTTACACAAAGTAGGTTGTTCTGATTGATACATGCAGTAGCTGACAAAAATAAACAAAAGCTTGGATACTTTAATGTATATTGATAAACACTAACAAATTGCATTCCTGAGTAAGAATTCAGCTGAAGGACAAATTTTGATGGCACACACTTCACTTAGTAAATACTGTCAAATTTATCTGTCATTAGTTTGTTGATTTCCTATAAATGTGTATCTTTCATGTATATGTTATGAATAATTAATAACATGATTTCTCATATGATAAGCACCTGTAATTTTTTCAAATACTTTGAACTGCACACACACTATGAGCTCAACATTTGTTGTTTGTGAAAAATTTACTTCTGCTTATTTAGAATACCAAAGTACACTTTAATTAACTTAGCTTAGACTTTGTTGAGTTTTTATGAAGACAGTTCAATGGAACTGACATTTGTTACGTTTATAGTTAGAAGTTAGAGCTACTTGATGTGGATTCGATAACCATCAGGTATCCTCAGAGACCCAGGGTTCTAATCACATCTGTAGACCCCTTAAAAGCACAGTCTTAACAGGTCAGTTCCAAACTGTCATAGTCATTCTGAATTTTGATTGGTACCAGAGGTTCAATCTTGTTCTGGCAAATGAGAGTGAAGCAGGTCTCACAAGTCCTCTTGTGTGCTCTAACACAAAGTGAGACATGAAGTTCAGTTGCTTACCTTGTTTGTTTTGGACCTTTTTGTATGGTAGATTAGCACTTTGCATGATGATGTGAAGTTGACTATTTGCATGATGATGTCAAGTTCAGCCATTCATTTCTCCACATAACTTGAATTTGGTAGACTTGCTGGCATGGAATTACAATTGGTACTGGTAGTTTAAATCATATGATACCATCATGCACTTGCCTGTACATTGAACTCTGCTGTGTTTAAGTGTTGTCTCTGATATCTGTTCCTGGTGACACTCTATCTCTATTGAACTTTCTGTTAAATAAAACCTCTGGGTCAAATTGTAAGTCTTATTGGGCTAAAAATTATTAGCAACGTTAACGTAATGTTACTTCAGAGTACTAAACTCAACATATGATTCATTAAAATATTGCTTGTGTTCTGATCTTGTAATGCACCTATCTTTTTTTCCTAGACTCTATAACAAAGTTTAGCCCATAACTCTCATCTTCAGAATGAACATTTCTATCTAATTTCTACGTACAGGGTCGGCGGAAAGGATAACTTTCTAATTTTTTCACTTTCTACAAGTGCTTGAGGATTCTAAATAAGAATAAAATATTTTCCAATAGAAAATGGTATTTTTTTTAAAGAGAAATATGGAAAAATATCAGACTGCCGGAAGTTTAGTTATTCAGTATTTTAAATTTTGGATTTTGTCCAGTAGTGTCCGAATAATTTCTAAGTGTCACGCTTGGATCCCTTTCTACTCTGTGTACAGGGTCGGCGAAACGGATAACGTTCGAATTTTTTCACTTTCTAGAGGCGCATAAGAATTCTAAATAAAGGTAGAATATTTTCCAAGGAAAATAATTTTCCTTGGTATATTTCAAAGAGAAATGTTTGAGGACCGTGTCCGGTCGTGTTATTGAAAAGTTTCAAGTGTCAAGCCCTTGGATGGCTGAAAGCGCTTGAGGATTGTAAATAAAGGCAGAACATTTTCGTATAAATATTTTTTGGATTTCGAAGACAAATATGGAAAAATATCGGACTGCCGGACGTTTAGTTATTTTAAGACCGTTTCCGGCTGCCGGACGTTTAGTCACTTCATTGCAGGAACGTCAGCGTCACTGAGAGCTTGCGTTACGATTCTTATTTGCTGCTTTGAATGGACAGCAACCTCCACCACTCTTTCTAGCGCAAGCTCCTATCCACGGGCAGGAAACTTCAACTGACCCTTGGTCCTATTTAACAAGGATGGCAAACTTCAATTACTGCCTCGGAATCTGCTAAATTAATGGATTCTTCTGATTCCATACCGGACTACAACGTATAGTATTGTTTTAAACAGAATTATTTTGAGAAGCTCACCAAACTCATCGGAGAAAACGCAGACAACGAGGCAAGGTTAAAATAACTGACCAATCAGAGGCGCTATTCAGACGAAAGCGGTGGTTCAAAAACAAAAAAAAAACCACCGCGTTGCATCAAGGTTGGAAATGGACCTTCATCACTGATCTATTCATGTGTGTTTATTCGGCTGTTTACATGATTCTGTTCAACTGATTCCAGCTGACAGGTGACTTTGCCTGCTTAATTGGGCCCCAAGGTCAACGCTAGAGCAACGAAAAAGCGCTTCAGGTGGACACAGGAGCACTTTTCTTATCCTCAGGAGAAGAAATGAAAATTCCATGTCGGACATGACATCAGAAGAGAGGTGTCATGAAGTTTCGGAGGAAGACGATCAACAAGCAGATACTGTGATTAAAGTAAATCACAAACCTCCGCCCGATGGAGGGTGGGGATGGGTCGTTTGTCTCGGAGCATGGATTGTGAATTTCTTAACAGTAGGGCAGCAGAATGCAGCCGGTGTGGTGTACTCGGCGCTTTTGAACGAATATTCCACAAAAAGAGGGGAAACAGGTAAAGTTGCTTACACATTCAACCGAACTAAAAGTGTTCGGATTTTGTTGAATACTCAGTCTAGACATTTTGTTTCTTTATTTTTGAAAACGACTCTCCGGTAAACGGAAACTGAGATGTGAATCAAAGCGGTATGTGTGCGCAACACAACATTTCGTGGTTTTCTTCCCTATTTTGACCATCATTTCATTTTAATCGAGAGTCAATTTTTCTATTTTGAATTTTATAAACTTCCCCTTTAAGGTCTGTCATATAATTTTCGAGTAATTTATACACAACTTAATAAAGTGTGAGGTCAGAGCCCCATTTTATTCTCGTCTAAGCAGAAGCTTCAACTTGAATATTGGAAATCGTTCAGAAATAATCGTGACAGTTTATGCAAAAGGTCGCTTTAGATTTTTACTCCTTGCGATTTCCCTTCACAATCTGGTGGCTATATTTATCCAAACCTCAGTCGAGTCATTTTGTTTCTTTATTTTTCAAACGATTCTCCGGTAAACAGAGACTGAGATGTGAATCAAAGCGGTATGTGTGCGTATTACTTAACAATTGGTTCATATGTCAGCGTGCGTTCATCGAGATGTGAAGAACGCAGGAAGTTTGGACAGCACGAAAGATGCGTAAGAGTTGCTCGAGGCGTAGCCGAGGGCAACTCTAGCTTCTTGAGTGCTCTCCAAACTTCCCAAGTGCTTCATATCTTGATGAACGCACAGCTGACGTATGAACCAATTGTTAAGTAATACGCACACCGATGGAAAATCTTTTTCCCGAGGGATTTGTTTGCTGACGTCATGAGCGTGCACAATAGGAATATGAAACACGCTCGCGTAATTGAATTTGATTATACAAATTTACTAGCTATGTTATAAAACATTTTGAGGTTTTCTTTCCTATTTTGACCATCATTTCATTTTAATCGCGTGTCAATTTTTCTATTTGGAATTTTCTAAACTTTTCCTTTTAGGTCTGTCATATATTTTTCGAGTAATTTATGCACAACTTAAGACGTGACTTCATAAAGTGTTAGGTCAGATCCCTATCTATTCACGTCTAAGCAGAAGCTTCCAACTTCAACATTGGAAATCGTTCAAAGATAATCGTGACAGTTTATATAAAAGGTCGCTTTAAATTAAACCGAGTTTTGTTTCTTGCGATTTCCCTTCACAATCTGATGGCTATATCTATCTAAAACTCAGTCTAGTCATTTTGTTTCTTCATTTTTCAAAACGATTCTATGGTGCGTGTGCGTAATACAAAATTTTGTGGTTTTCATTTTAATCAAGAGTCACTGTTTCTATCTTGAATTTTAAAACTTCCCTTTTAAGCTCTGTTTATAATTTTCTAGTAATTTTTGCACAACGTAAGACGTGACTTAATAAAGTGTGAGGTCAAATGTGTGAGGCCCCTTTCTATTTTCATATTAGCAGAATCTTCCGGTTAAGAGATGTCGAATTTCCGCTATCTGATGTACAGAGTACACTTGAATATTGCAAATCGTTTAAAAAATAATCGTGACAGTTTATGTAAAAGGTCGCTTTAGATTAAACCGAGTTTTACTCCTTGTGATTTCCCTTCACAATCTGTTGGCTATATCCAATCAGAGTAAGAACTGCATGTCCATTTAAAAGCCTGATTAAAGGCTGATAAGAACGAGCAGCTTTTTTTAACGGCCTCACTAAAAAGTCTCTATCGCGACATTCACAAAGCCCGTTATGTTGTTTTTTAGTCGTTGTCTTTTTATCAAGCCTACATTGCTAATCCAGGTCTATCGTATCATTTCGTGGTCCACAGCTTTAAAACTCAAGTTGGCCTAATGAGCATTGCCCATTATCTCTTGCAAAACCTTACTCTATTCTTTTCAACTGCTTGAAAGCGTTGAGGTAAAAAAATAAAACATGAGAACAATATTATCTTTCTAGATGGACAAGTTTGTCAATTGAGTAAATAGCCTATCATCTTTCTCAACAGCTTGGGTTGCCTCGCTGGCGTCCAGTATGATGTATCTGTTCGCTGCTGTGGGCACCTCTCTCGCTGAACGTTTCGGAAGCCGATTGGTTGTCATCATTGGATCTTTCGTCTCAGCTTCAGGCCTCCTTGCCAGTTCCTTCGCAACAACGCTCACACCCCTGTATGGAAGCTACGGAATTATATGGGGTCTGGGAGCAAGTCTGGGCTTATTTCCCTCGCTCGTGATACTAACAACGTACTTCAGGAGGCGCCTTGCCCTTGCATCTGGGATGGCTCTGGCAGGAGCTGCGTGTGGCACCCTAGTATATGGGCCCGTGATACAACTCCTTGTATCAAAGTACGGGATTTCAGTTACATTTCGGATTCTTGCCGCCGTTCAGAGTTTAATGTTTATGAGTGGATTGATATTTCGGCCTGTGGAGAGCCATAAAGCCTGCCGAGACAGACAAAGAGAAAACAACGGCAACATTTTCAAGAACAAAGCGTACGTCATCTGGGTTGCTTCGCTTTGTGTGTTCATGCTTGTGTTTCTCGTGCCTTTTGTTCACTTGGTAAGTTAAGCAGACAGAGGAATTGTTTCTTCCCTCACTATCCAAAGCCTCCGCTTCCAAAAAGTTGCTTTCAGTTAGTTGAGAATGTTCAGGTTCCATCTCTGTTTGATAATTTCCTGTATTTCAGTCTCACTGAGAGAAAGTTTGTGTCTACTTCTCTGAAGCTGTTGGCCATATTCTTGAAACTAAAAAGCAGCCTTTTACTCCCAAAGGCTGCTCGCAAATCTGCGAAAAATAAGAGTCTTGTAATCGAATAAGGCTGACGATCCATCACAGCCTGGGCTTATCCCGTTTTCAGAGCCGTGAAGGAACCAAAGTATTGCCTCTCCTTCGAATTTGTCCATAGCAGTGAACTAATCAGTTCCTCTGACAGTTTGCTGGTTTTCCTTTACACTACGTGGGTGGAGAGGCAGTGAGGGAGAAAAGTCTCTTTGCCAAAGAAAATAAGTGAACATAAATTTAATTTGTTCCCAAGGAAAAAAATCTCCTCTATTTTGTAGTTTAATTATGTTTACTGAACAAAATTGAGGCGACCTTGTAAATTGAACAGATCTGCAGTGATTCATGGTCAGTATTCATGTATCACATCAAGACGATGACCAAATCAAGTTGAATTTGTTCCTTCTTCGTTTAGGTTCGCTTTACAGAGGACAAAGGCATCAACACGACCAAAGCCTCTCTTCTAACAGGTTATATGGCCTTTGGAGGACTTACGGGAAGTATCGCCTTTGGCATTGCATGCAATCATCCGAAATTCAACCGCCTCAAGGTCTGCCAGCTCTCTCTCCTTCTCATAGCTATTTCTTCCTCCCTTGTCACCATGGCGAATAAATATGTCTGGATTTGTGTGTACGCGTTCACTTTTGGTGTTTTTGATGGATGCTACGAAATGCTTGTTCCCGTGATCACGCGGGATATCGCAGGCCCTCAAAGAGTAGCGCATGCCATCGGTTTGCTTTACTGTATGATGGCGTTTCCAAAAACGCTCGGCCCACCAATTGCTGGTTGGCTTTTCGACTTGTCCAATGACTACAGTGTTTCTTTTTACGTCACTAGCGCTGTAACCATTATTGCAACAGCCGTCATGTTCCTTCTCAATTGGGTTCCACTCCACAAAGATCGCTTAGAGATGGAAGTAAATGAAATGCACTCTCTGAAAATTACAAACGGGCCTTCTCACGAAAGCGTTTGCGATGGCTTTGGGATAAACTTAAGATCAGAAGCCGACGACTTCGTAACTCGCAGGTGGCTGCCAATTTACTGGGTTGAAAGTCGCGGAGAATACGAATATCGCGAAAAGCTGACAGTGCTGTGACCAGATTTAGTTGCAGGGAGAGTTTCCGGGGAGGAAAGGTGGTGTTTATGGACTAGTCGTCCAAAGAGCTCTCTACCGATCAACCAGCAAATTTAGCTCAAAACATTCAGACACGTTTTAAGTTTATCTTTCTTTTAATTTTTTCTTCGCTGTTAAGAAATATCGTCGCTTCGACACTGAAACGAGGTTTTAAGTTTAAACCGTGTATGATACTGTTTTCGAGTTTAGAAACGAGTCGCAAAAACAAAATTGAAAAGGTGTTAAAAGCAAGCTGACGGATTATTTCGCTGACTTTCTGGCTGTTCGTGCAGGCACGTGACCCAGTACATGCTTGAGAACAGTCTGAGAACAAGAAAGAAAAATATAGATAAATAAAAATCTTACCACATTTTTTTTAAATCGCGGGCTCACGTGGTTTCAGATAGGTTTCTTACAACACTGGAGGTGAATTTTCATTACACCTTTTTACTTATGAGCTCCAATGAAAGATGGTTATTAAAAATTAAAATAAACTTGAATAAGTAAACCCTGTATTGAAATCATAGCTGTAAAAAGTTCCTACTGTTACTGCTTTCATCTAAAATGGCATTGACTACAACTGGCAAGCACTCGCAAGTAAGGTTTTCTACGAGTATATCAATCAATCAATCAATCAACCAATCGGGTCTCTCCATCCGCACGTACGTCCGTCGATCCGTCCGTAGTAGAGTATAAGTCAACTTACCGAAATGTCGTCATCGGCTGAGAACTCGTGTCCACACTCCGCCCAGTGACACGCTTCAACAGAACCTTCCTCCATGACGTGATGTTCTGAGGAGTAACGCATTCAACGCTTATTGGCATGTACACAACTTAGCAGATAATAGCGCTAAAAATTTGATTTTGTTTGGGCTAAAAAAGTAAAACTATGATTATCGTGAATCCAAAAAAGGTTTGTCTTTATCAATTACTTATCTCGCGTGGCTTGCATTCCACAAATGTTCTCTTTAGAAAGCTTACAGTTTATCAAACAGGTCCTATGTCATGTGTCACCGAGTAACGCAATCAACGCTGTCACGTTCAAGTACTCATCACATCGTTGTAACCAACGCAACATAATGTCTTAAGTGTTTACCTCGAAGGTGATTCTTAAGGTGCGTGACAACACCAAAATTTAGATCACAGTCTCGCCACTGAAACAGAAATAAGTAGAACGGTATAAGAAGAGATATAAGCAAATAAAATATAAGAAATAAAATAAAGAAAATAAAATAAAGAATAAAATAAAGAAATAAAATATAAGAAGAGAAATAAGCTATTGGTAACACCTGGAAACCTTGTATTTGATCAAGCTTAATATAACACTGAAAAGTGCTGGAATCGTTTTTTCTTGAGCACAAGCCAAAGAAATGATTTTTTCGTTTACCTTGCAAGAATGGTAAACCCTTAAATCCAGTTTAACAGCCACAACAGACCCATCGCGTGCTCCGCTGTAAATCTGTTGGAAAGAAATCGAAAATACAGCAAAGAATTTACAGGGAGTGCTAGATGCTCTCAAGAATAACTCTGTACTTTAAAAGGCCTTAAGTACCTGTTAGTTGACGATTTTTCTCGAAAAAGGACCTTGGATGAAAATGCTGAGAAATTATTTCTTTCGCATGATTTGCTCTGAAGTTGGAATTCAATCGAAGCAAAATCACCTGAGTCACAAAAAAACTATTTTCTTTAATTTACCCTTCCATTATTAACGTGAACAGAGAAAATCATATCCATTTGACCACCATAAACTTGAAGAAGATCTGCCGACTGAAAAATAAATATATATAGAAAACAATTAGATATAAGAACAGCTGTGAGCTCTAGTACAGACTACTGAAACTTTCCATTCCCTTTTAGACGAGTCCGTTCGCGTTTCAAACTCGCGCCGTGCAGTGAGCTGGTTTATAGTCCACTGAAACACAGCGATTTTATCGGCCTTCAATAAAAAAAACAACTTAAAAGTGCAAGTTTTGAACATTCAACGTCGTTAGATCATACACATTTATACACATAAGACAATAGCAGCTACTTAAACTTACCGTTAGATCGTAACAACGAATGAGTTTATCCAAACATGACGTCACTAATACATTGCCGATAATTTGAAGTCCACTGACACTCATCGGGTGACCTTCGAAACTTCTCAGAAGCTCTCCGCTCTGATAATGAAATAATATCAAATGTTAGTCGGCCTTTCTGACAGCTTTCTGTTTGAAAAATGAAAGCAATTTTAAGTCCAATTTATTACAGAGAATAAATACACTGTGAGAAAATACCCCGAGGATATAAATTTATCAAAAAAGAACGCAATTCTTTTCGCAAACTTAAAGCTTTAACTATCAAGATCAACAAGAAAACTCTTCCAACTGATAGCAAGACACTTTCTTTGTTGGTTAATATCCTGGTTGGTAATTTCCCTTATTCTCAGTTATCTGTCTTTAAACAGTGTATTAAACTTGTCAAGAGAAATTATGTACTGATCTCTCATAGGAGGGTAGGGATAAACGAACACCATACAATCACTTGGAACGTCTAGCTGCTAGGCATCACCACCTTTCAGGGCTGAGTTTTTAAGTAAAGGCCTGTAACCGAACAGCGGTCTACCGCTGCCTAGAAGACCTCTTACCGCCGTCTGTTGAGCCTGCGCAGGCGCTCGTGTTTGGGTTAAACCTTACTGCCCCTTTTACGGGCACAGCTGCCTATTGCATCATCGGTAGCCGCTTATGGAAACGTTAATTGAAATTCTTGCCATCAGCCATTATAATCATTAAAATATAGACATACATTCAAGTTATGGGCCTGAACTTTCATATCAGCAGATCCACTGTACAAAATATTCTCCACAACCTAACAGGATACAAAGAGAAAGCTGTGAAGTGACTTCCCTTGAAAAATATTATTTCCACTCATGGTTAAAAACTGCTCAAAGAGTGCTGCTCTGCAGTAAAATATGACAAGGATGAGAGTAAAAACACCGAATTCCTCGGAAGGTTTTAACTGGCACCGAACTTGTTTTTGAGAGCAGTAAAAAAGGAGAGACAATTCAAAAATCTAAATGACAAACCTGGATACATAAAACAGTCATGCTATGATCACAGAGTGTCCGAATGAGAAGACCAGTCTATGAAAAACAGAAAGACAATGACAGTTCTTATCATAAGTAATTTAAAGTTTTGCATTGTGAAATAAGTATCGAAAACAAAACTGAAGGAAATAACCTACTCCTTTGACTGATATTCCTTTGCTCAAAACAACGAAACAAAAGCTTGTTCTTTTTCGTGCCTTTTTTTTTCTCTAGATGGCCACAGGGCCACCACTGTTCATAACTGCTACGCGGTATACCTTCTTTAACCTTTATACCCTGAGATCAATAAGTATATTCCCCATACTGTTCTCCATACATTTCCTTTAGCATTGACAGGAGTAAATCGTTTAACAATCAGAGGCTTTTTTAGTTGGCGATCATTTCCCTTATTCTCACGACCCTTAGCCCTTGAATCCCATGAGTGACCGAGGCAGAATTTCTCCTTACAACAACAGTACAATATCAAGCAGGCAAGTGATGAGAAGGAAGAAAAATTTAAACTAGGGGATTGTAAGTTGATCCAATAACAAATTCCCAGAACTAACATCATAAGAATTGCATGACAAACAGTAGGGAGAATCACTGAAGACATTTTAGGTGTGAAAGAGCCAAACGGAGTCTTTTGATTGATCGATTGATTGATTGATTGATTGATTGACTGATTGATTGATTGATCGACTGATTGATTGATTGATTGACTGATTGATTGATCGACTGATTGATTGATTGATTGACTGATTGATTACCATGACTTTACAAACGGGGCTTGTTTAGCGATTACGTGAGGAGCAGTGAAGAGGACGTCTCTTCTTGAAGCTGTTGATGTAGTAAGTACCAATGATCGAATTTCATATCGTGTTGATGTTGCACAAAAATATGTCGTTAACGAAGAATTTAGGACGGGGAAAGTGACCTCGTTTGCTTTTCAATGTGCTTTACAGCAAAGCCCTGCTCAAATACATTTGAGTCCAGACGGCAGTCAAAGTCATCCATGAGTATAAATCAAACATTCAAAGTATAAGTTAAACACCTAAAATGTACCTTGCAATCTCTGATAGCAATAGTTGAATCAAATGAACCAGAGCACAAAAGCTTTCGTTGTCCTTCAGTGGCTGTAGCAAGACAGCTTACTCCACGGGGCTCGTGACAGTGAAGGCGCTCTTGGCATATGTTATTCTGGCAATAAAAAAAATAATTAGAGCAAAAAATCGTTCAAACCCTTTAATTTTTTAAGAATAGGTGGACCCTTTTTAACCCTTTTCACCCGAACATCAGTATGCACATTCTCCATATTGTTCTCCTTACATTTCCTAAGGTGCTGAAAAGGAGAATTTGTTTACTAATCAAGAGCTTCTTTGCTTGATGATCATTTCCTTTTTTCTCGTGACCTTGATGTGTGATTCAGGGGTGAAAGTGTAAGGAGAAATTAGATGTTAGTCACTCTTAGGAGTCAAAGGGTTCAGGCAGCCATTACCGCCCAAAGGTTTAGAGTTGTCCAGTTCCAAGTGAACGGCACTGAATTGTAAATTTAGGCTGAACTATTTCAGACGAGACTCGATTGTTCCTGATTCTGAACTAAGCCATTTATTTTTTAACCATTACATTCTACTTAAGAAGAGTTGTCCATTTGTATTATAGCTACATCTCTTCAAAGTGTATCGACCGTCTGACAATACAGATTACACCAATTCTTTTTATTCTTAATCGTCTACATTGTATGTATTTTTGGCGGTAACCGCTGCCCATAGATATTCAAGGCTTATGCTTTTGCCTTTAAAATACTGTAGTCTCTTCTTTGGCAGTGGTCATCACCAAAAATACATTGGATGTCGAATAGATCAGAAAATTCGTCTAGGGGTCAGTTACATGACGGCATAGCAAATGAAGCAGCGGAGTAGCCAAATAACAAACGGTTTTTTGCTTTCATTCATGAAATAGAAGACCCTAATCATAAACAATAAAAAATACAAATCATTCGTACTCAATTTCGCGATTTTGGTGAGACGGTGTTTCGCAGGGGTTTTATTTTCGCGATTTCAAAGCGCAAATATGAAAGAAGGGAATTAAAGGCCGATTTTCATCCTTGATGCAACGCGCGCCGCCACGGAATTTCGTCTAACACGAAATTTTCAGATTACTGAAAACCTTCTAAAATCGTCTTTCTCAAGAGCCATCTTAGACATATAGTCAATTGTTTTCAGGTAAATGCATTCGCCTTTCGTCATTTTACAGTTTCCTTACAGTATTTTGAATTTTGTCCGGTAGAATCCGAAGAAGATTTTTTTCAAGTGTCACGCGTAGATTTCTACGTACAGGGTCGGTGGAAAGGACAACGTTCTAATTTTTTCACTTTCTAGAAGTGCTTGAGGATTCTAAATGAGAATAAAATATTTTCCAATAGAAACTGGTATTTTTTAAAGAGAAATATGGAAAAATATCACATTGCCGGAAGTTTAGTTATTCAGTATTTTGAATTTTGGATTTTTTCCAATAGTGTCCGAAGAATTTCTATGTGTCACGCTTGGATCCCTTTCTACTCTATGTACAGGGTCGGCGAGACGGATAACGTTCGAATTTTTTCGCTTTTCGCTTTCTGGAGGCGCTTAAGGATTCTAAATAAAGGTAGAATATTTTCCAAGGAAAATTGGTATATTTCAAAGAGAAATATGGAGTTATTTGAGGACTGTGTCCGGTCGTGTCATTGAAAACTTTCTAAGTGTCAAGTGCTTGGATGGCTTCGTACTCCGTATACTGGGTTGGCGAAAAACATCAAGTTCGAAATTTTTGGCTGCCTGGAAGCGCTTGAGGATTGTAAATAAAGGTAGAACATTTTCGTATAAATATTTTTTGGATTTCGAAGACAAATATGGAAAAATATCGGACTGCCGGACGTTTAGTTATTTTAAGACCGTGTCCGGCTGCCGGACGTTTAGTCACTTTATTGCAGGAACGTCAGCGTCACTGAGAGCTTGCGTTACGATTCTTATTTGCTGCTTGCATGGACAGCAACCTCAACCACTCTTTCTTGCACAAGCTCCTATCCACGGGCAGGAAACTTCAACTGACCCTTGGTCGTATTTAACAAGGATGGCAAACTTCAATTAAATAAGCATTTACTGCCACGGAATCTGCTGAATCAATGGATTCTTCTGATTCCATACCGGATTAAAATGTATAGTATTGTTTTAAACAGAATTATTCTGAGAAGCTCACCAAACTCATCGGAGAAAACGCAGACAACGAGGCAAGGTTAAAATAATTGACCAATCAGAGGCGCTATTTAAACGAAAGCGGTGGTTCAAAAAGAAAAAAAAAACCCACCGCGTTGCATCAAGGTTGGAAATGGGCCTTCATCACTGATCTACTCATGTGTGTTTATTCAGCTGTTTACATGATTCTGTTCAACTGATTCCAGCTGAGAGGTGACAGCCAAATTACTACTGCTCAACTTACTACTGGGCCCTAAGGTCAACGCTAGGGGAAACGAAAAGGGCGCTTCAGGCGGACACAGGAGCACTTTTCCTATCCTCAGGAGAAGAAATGTGAATTCCATGTCGGACATGACATCAAAAGAGAGGTGTGATGAAGTTTCGGAGGAAGACGATCAGCCAGCAGCTTCTGTGAATCAAGTACATCACAAACCTCCGCCCGATGGAGGGTGGGGATGGGTCGTTTGTCTCGGAGCATGGATGGTGAATTTCTTAACAGTAGGGCAGCAGAATGCAGCCGGTGTAGTGTACTCGGCGCTTTTGAACGAATATTCCACAAAAAGAGGGGAAACAGGTAGAGTTGCCTACACATTAAACCAAACTAAAAGTGTTCGGATTTTGTTGAATACTCAGTCTAGTCATTTTGTTTCTTTATTTTTGAAAATGACTCTCCGGTAAACGGAAACTGAGATGTGAATCAAAGCGGTATGTGTGCGCAATTCAACATTTCGTGGTTTTCTTCTCTATTTTGACCATCATTTAATTTTAAATGAAAGTCACTTTTTCTATCTTGAATTTTTTAAACCTTCCCTTTAAGGTCTGGCGGTCATATATTTTTCGAGTAATTTTTGCACAACTTAAGACGTGACCTAATAAAGTGTGAGATCAAAGCCCCTTTCTATTTTCGTATTAGCAGAAGCTTCCGGTTAAGAGATCACGAATTTGCGCCATCTGACGCACAGAGTACACTTGAATATTGGAAATCGTTTAAACACAATCGTGACAGTTTATGTAAAAGGTCGCTTTAGATTAAACCGAGTTTTACTCCTTGCGATTTCCCTTCACAATCTGTTGGCTATATCTATCCACGACTCAGTCTAGTCATTTTTGTTTCTTTATTTTTCAAAACGATTCTCTGGTAACCGGAAACCGAGATGTGAATCAATGCAGTATGTGTGCGTAATACAACATTTTGTGGTTTTCATTTTAATCCAGAGTCACTTTTTCTACCTTGAGTTTTTAAACTTCCCTTTTATGCTCTGTTTTATAATTTTCTAGTAATTTCTGCACAACGCAAGACGTGACTTTATAAAGTGTGAGGTCAAAGCCCCTTTCTATTTTCGTTTAAGTAGACGCTTCCGGTTAAGAGATCTCGAATTTGCGCTATCTGACGCACAGAGCACATTTGAATATTGGAAACCGTTTACAAATAATCGTGACAGTTTATGTCAAAGGTCGCTTTAGATTAAACCGAGTTTTACTCCTTGTGATTTCCCTTCAAAATCTGTTGGCTATAACCAATCAGAGTAAGAACTACATGTCCATTTAAAAGCCTGATTAATAGCTGATAAGAACGAGCAGCTTTTTTAAACGGCCTGACTAAAAAGTCTCCATCGCGACATTCACAAAGTCCGCTCTGTTGTTCTTTAGTCGTTGTCTTTTTACCAAGCCTACATTGCTAATCCAGGTCTATCGTGTCATTTCATGGTCCACAGCTTTGAAACTTAACTGGCCTAATGAGCATAGCCCGACGTAAAAAAATAAAACATGAGAACAATATTATCTTCCTAGATGGAAAAGTTTGTCAATTGAGTAAATAGCTTATCATCTTTCTCAACAGCTTGGGTTGCCTCGCTGGCGTCCAGTATGATGTATCTGTTCGCTGCTGTGGGTACCTCTCTCGCTGAACGTTTCGGAAGCCGATTGGTTGTCATCATTGGATCTTTTGTCTCAGCTTCAGGCCTCCTTGCCAGTTCCTTCGCAACAACGCTCACACCCCTGTATGGAAGCTACGGAATTATATGGGGTCTGGGAGCAAGTCTGGGCTTATTTCCCTCGCTCGTGATACTAACAAAGTACTTCAGGAGGCGTCTTGCCCTTGCATCTGGGATGGCTCTGGCGGGAGCCGCTTGTGGCACTCTGGTATATGGGCCTGTGATACAACTTCTTGTATCAAAGTACGGGATTTCAGTTACATTTCGGATTCTTGCCGCCGTTCAGAGTTTAATGTTTTTAAGCGGATTGATATTTCGACCTGTGGAGAGCCATAAGGCCCGACGAGACAGAAAAAGAGAAAACAACGGCAACATTTTCAAGAACAAAGCGTACGTCATCTGGGTTGCTTCGCTTTGTGTGTTCATGCTTGTGTTCCTCGTGCCTTTTGTTCATTTGGTAAGTTAAGCAGACAGATAAATTGTTTCTTCCCTCACTATCCACAGCCTCCAGTTCCAAGAAGTTGCTTTCAGTTAGTTGAGAACATTCAGGTTTCATTTCTGTTTGATAATTTCCTGTGTTTCAGTCTCACTGAGAGAAAGTTTGTTTCTACTTCTCTTGAAGGCTGCTCGCAAATATGCGAAAAATAAGAGTCATGTACTTAAATAGTGCTGACGGTTCATCATAGCCTGGGCTTATTCCGTTTTCGAGCCGTGAAGGAACCAAAGTATTGCCTATCCTTTGAATTTGTCCATAGCAGTGAACTAATCAGTTCCTCTGACAGTTTGCTGGTTTTCTTCTACACTACGTGAATGGAGAGGCAGTGAGGGAGAAAAGTCTCTTTGCCAAAGAAATCAAGTGAACATAAATTTAATTTGTTCCCAAGGAAAAAATCTCCTCTATTTTGTAGTCTAATTATGTTTACTGAACAAAATTGAGGCGACCTTGTAAATTGAACAGATCTGCAGTGATTCATGGTCAGTATTCATGTATCACATCAAGACGATGACTAAATCAAATTGGTTTTCGCGACTGTAGAGCGTTACTTTAATACCTGAATTTGTTCCTTCTTTGTTTAGGTTCGCTTTACAGAGGACAAAGGCATCAACACGACCAAAGCCTCTCTTCTAACAGGTTATATGGCCTTTGGAGGACTTATGGGAAGTATCGCCTTTGGCATTGCGTGCGATCATCCGCGATTCAACCGCCTTAAGGTCTGCCAGCTCTCTCTCCTTCTCATAGCTATTTCTTCCTCCCTTGTCACCATGGCGAATAAATATGTCTGGATTTGTGTGTACGCGTTCACTTTTGGTGTTTTTGATGGATGCTACGAGATGCTTGTTCCGGTGATCACGCGGGATATCGCAGGCTCTCAAAGAGTAGCGCGCGCCATCGGTTTGCTTTACTGTATGATGGCCTTTCCAAAAACGCTCGGCCCACCAATCGCTGGTTGGCTTTTCGACTTGTCCAATGACTACAGTGTTTCTTTTTATGTCACTAGCGCTGTAACCATTATTGCAACAGCCGTCATGTTCCTTCTCAATTGGGTTCCACTCCACAAAGATCGCATGGAGATGGAAGAAAATGAAATGCACTCTCCGAAAATCACAGACGAACCTTCTCACGAAAGCGTCTACGATGGCCTCGGGATAAACTTAACACCAGAAGCCGACGACTCCGTAACTCGCAGGTGGCTGCCAATTTACTGGGTAGAAAGTCGCAGAGAATACGAATATCGCGAAAAGCTGACAGTGCTGTGACCAGATTTAGTTGCAGGGAGAGTTTCCGGGGAGGAAAGGTGGTGTTTATGGACTAGTCGTCCAAAGAGCTCTCTATTGGTTATCCAGCAAATTAAGCTTTAAAGTTACTTTGCATACCAGCTATCATATGTATCGAAATAAATTTGGTTGAAGATTCGTTTCAAAAACAAAATGGGACGTCTAGCGTGTAGTTCGCTTTATTCCCGTGACTTACCATTAAGTCGATGGAGGCCACAACACCAGTGCTGAGTCCAACAAACAGAAGATCAAAAGCGGTGTGAAGACACATAACACGACCATCAAATGTAAACTTATGGGTGCAGTTGCCACTCTAGACAATAAAATAACAAAACCTTTAAATAAAACATTTAGTTGAGAAGTTGGGAGAATGGTTGTCTACCTCGACTCGTTCAGCCCTGTTAGGTTGGTGGGGCGCAAAACATAAAGAAAACGCAATACTGTCCACGATTTATTCGAGACAAACCCAATTTAGGGCACTAATAACCTTCTTGTTCAACTACTTCACAGAAAACGCTTAGTGATCCAGCTTGTTCCATTGTAATAAAAGACATAGTTTGTTACCTTTATGTTGTAGCTCCTGACAGTTTGGTCATTGGACCCGGTAAATAATCTGTCTTTTTCTGTAGAAACCTATTGTAAAAAAAGGAAGTTTGTGGTGAAGTAGTATTTCGGGCGTCTCGGAATAGGAATAGGGCATACCACTAGCTACCCACAACAATCGTTACCACTAAAATGTACAGAGCTTGTTACATACCGAAAAAACTTCCTTACGATTTACCCAAAGAAAGTCTTTCTTCAATTCTTAGAAAAGTGAGAAAGAATACAAAAACAGCGACATTTCGTATGCTACAGAGTCTTTCAAAAGCTTATTCAATCCATAATGTAACATCGAAGTATTATATTTTGGACGCACGGTTATCTCTCCGACCAATTCACCGATCATGAATGGTACAAGTATTCCTAAGTTATCCACGCCACTTTTTGGCGATTGAACTTCATTTCTTTAAGGTTCTTTATTTATCTGCGACAATTGGAAAAGCATGATGTATAAAAGAAAGTTAACAGCCATATCTACACAAACCTCGATGCAGTTAACAGCTAGGTGATGTCCTTGGTACTTTTTGACACATTCCCCTGTCTAAAGTCACAAAATTGAAGCGTTAAACAAGGAATTTAATAAAAAAAGCTATAGAGCCACTAGAATGGTAACGATTACATTGATAAGCAAGTTAAGGAAATAACCTTCTATCAAACAAGGGAAGGGCCAGCTCACCTGAATGTTGAATGATCTGGTAGTTTTATCGGTGGAGCAAGTAAACAGATGACCATTGTTTACCTAAAAATTAGACACAATCTCAATTCTGAGCACACAACCGACGTTCGTGGTAATAACTGAATCCCGCGACTCAGTAAGAACATTTAGTATATGGCAAGGTAGTCTTAAGGTAAATCCGAGCTTTTTGATTGTTCCTACTTGGTCGCGATTTTGCCATAGGTACTGTTTCCACGAAAACCGTCATACACCGTGTATTTTTCTCGAAAGCCACTGAGAGCAAACTAAGTCTCTCTGAGTGCCATAAAATAAAATAATTACAAACATCGCTTGCTCGAGAAGCACTATGGAATATTGGCCCTCGGTCGTTTTTGTACGGACTTGCTTTACTCGTTCCGTACTGCCACCACCTCAGGCCACTATTCCCCAGTTCGGCCCACGCGCTCAGTTGGTGAGAAGTTATTACTTTTCACAAGAACAACCTATGTATTCAAGAGTCTTTCAAAATTAATCTCGTAGGGCATATTTTGTACGAAATAAAGATTTAACGTTTCTTTAACAGTGTCTATAAGGAGTAAACAAACCAAATTTCTCTTAAAATGTTTCCTGCCTGTATTAAACTGGTAGCAGATATGATGGGCACTGTCTCAGCGTTTGAACGATCGACCATACTAGAGCATTCTTATCATCCACCACCAAGGCAACCGTGCTGTTTGCGAGCTGCCCATTTCATGAGAAAAATCAAGATAGCTCACCCTTAACCCGCAGACAGCTCCTGTGTGGCCGGGAAACTTTGTCGCCAGAACACCACGGGGTCTCCCATCTGAGAAAGTATTCATACAATGCAGTTACGAACGCATGCTGCATCTGTGACTTACTTCAAAGAACGAACGTAGGAAGTTTAAACGACGTTCCAAATCGTAGCGATAAAGTCAATGCGGAGGAACCACTTCGTTAAAAGACCACTATTCAAAGGACACATCATGAGGTTCTAAAAAAACGTGGTCATATTGCCTTTTTGTTTTGTCACCTTTATTCAAGAGAAACCTGTTAGGGGAATTCCTGTCCTAGTGATGTGGATCTCCTCCACTTAGAGATTCCACCGTTGAAATACTGTTACACTTATGCGCGTGAAACTTTTACACCGAAGACATTTAATTCAGCATTAATGGAATTTTACAAGTAAAACAAGGTAGATGTACTTGAAGATCGAGAAAAACAGTGTCAGAACAAGATCTATACGTGTAAAGTTTAAGACAAATGAAGATGCGAACCTTTTGTGTTCAGCAAACTCTTCTTGAGGGACTCAACAGAAGAGGACGGAATTTTTAGATGGCTCGGACGGCTGGATTTCTTGCTGGACATATTCCCTAATTGGCTATCCTGAAAAAAAAAAAGTAAATAATGCACTCCTTTCATATGATTGATCATCCTGGTTCCGTGGAATGAAGAAAAATTAATACTGCGTCTAGCCCTGAATGAAACAAACACTGGTCCATCGCAGATTACTCAAGCTCTTAGAATGGTCTCCCTGAATCCACCCATAATTCTAGGTGGAAAGAGGAACTATAAAATCAACGTCCGCAATTTAACATGACACACTTACCACATCTCGTGTTGGAATTTCATCTTCCGTGTAGCCTCTTTCCTCGGATCCAGGTCCTTCCAGGTCAGTTGTGGTCGTGTGAGCCGCGGCACTCACAACTTGACCCTTTAATTTGGATTCAGTCTCCTCCTTTAATGGAAGGACAGAGGATTTGTTGCACGAAGTATCCTCCATCTTACGTCGTTTGACGGGAACAGTGTCAGTTTTATTGGATTTCTCTTTCTCTCTCAGTTGCGATTTGTTCACCTTGTTTCTTTGTAGTTCCTTGAAGCTTTTCTTACTGGATTGGAAGAAACTTGATTTTTTCAGCTCTTTCGTCGTCTTTCTGGACTCGTTTTTTTCGAGGATTAGCATTTTACGAGGTAAACATTTCCCCTCGACTACATTTGAATTATCATGACTCTCTGCACTGTGTGATCTGAACGGGCTAGTGTGTGTTTGAGTTTCATTATCATTTAATTCACGCAAACCTTCACTTTCCTCTTGAGATTTCCAGCGCTCCATGTTTTCTCGCACTGACTGTATTTTCTTTCTATTCACCTCTAAGTTCTTGGAGATACTACCATCTGAAGAGCTCTTTTTCCTGAATGGCGCTTTCTCTGGATGATACATTTGTTTCATTTTCTTCATAAGACCCTCTCTTGCTCCTTTATCTTTGTTTGCTCCATTTGGATTACGCACAGGTGCATTCCCAAGGTTTCCTGAAGTACGGACGGCACCAAGTCCAAAATCTGCACCAAAACTGTTGGTGTCACTTTTTTTACGCATGTCTGAGGTCTCTTCGGCAGGTTCCCTACACACAGCCTTTTCATTTATTTGAGCTCCTGACGCTAGAGTGATATTATTCGCCCCTTCACTAAAATTTATCAGTTGTTTTGATGATTCCGCTAACTTTCCGGCGTTAAGCTTCTCCAAAACTTTTTCATGAGGTAGTTTTTGGCGCTGTATTTCGCCTTTCGAACCAAAATTAGTTGCAGTCCCAACAGGACCATCGCTAAAATTACTTTCTTTTAGAAAGGATTCTTTTTCTTTGGCACGGGAAGTATTTCCGCTGATATAAACTTCTTCCTCCGCGTCCTTGTTTGAAGGTCCCCTATGAATCTTATCTTTGGCAACTGAAACATCGTCCTGACATTTATCTTGCCTTGCAGAATAACTGAGGTCCGAGGTGTCACTTTTACCAGATCCAGAAGAAAAAGAGAATGAATTTTTGCCATCAGCAGTAGATACACTAACCTCTCTTGTTACTATTTCAATCCTTGTCGTTGGCACTTGTCTTTCATAACAGGCATTTTCGAGAACGCTCAGTCTCTGATTACGTAGCTCTCCCATTTTGAGGGTAATTCTTTGTTCCTCGCTGCTCAGAGAATCCAGTTCCGTACATAATTTCTGAATCTGCGCGCGAACAGATTTTAATCTGGACTGCACCGCATGCAGATTCTGCAGTTGATTTTGCTCTTCTCGTTCGATAGTCAGTAGTTCTTGAACATTTATTCCTGGCCGATAGGTAGCTGCAGTGTTCTCTATAGGAGTCGCTTGTTCCTGTTTCAATCTTTTGATCAGCTGTTCATATGGTGAACTCGAAGGACATTCAGATCCTTCTGTGGAATTTACTCGCTTACGTTTCATAACTGAAAGGGTTTCTGGATTGGCCGCTTCCCTACCGCCAAGCGCCATGCTGCTATTTAAATCGATCAGTCCTCGACCTTGAAGCATTGAAGGTCTCGAAGGTGATTGGGAATTATCAATAGTAGATCTGGTAGCTGCCGGCGATCTAACTTGGTTAACAGAGGTCGCCGGTATTTCTCCAAAGTATGAGGTCGAGCTCAAATCAATAAGCCCTCGACGATGAAGTTCATGCGTGTCCTCTTTTGCAGTAGTAGCTTGTGTACTTAGAGGTGATACATTCGCGGAGGGTAACATCACACCTGACCTTTTGGGCAAGCCCCCTAAATTATGGCCTAAAGAAATCAAACTACTCTTTTCATGTCCTTCGATTGAAGGCCAATTGAGAAACCGATTCATATCATGGAAGTTTCCTCGTTCAAAAAGAACAGAACGTGAAGAGCCCTCTCCGTGCAAATTTTCTTTCCTCATCAAAGGCGAGTCTAAACTAACACTTCTTTGTCCTCTACTGCGAAGTCTCGCAGGTAAGGGAGATACTTTTTTCCCGTTATCAAACTGACCATCAGTTCTGGTTGAGTATGTGAAAAGTGGATGAGATCTTCGACCATCGGAAGACTCAGCCGTTGAGCAACTGGCGGCACTCGACACTTTCTTGCCACTATAACGATCAGCTAAAGCTTTACGGACTGCTGGAGGAAGATTAAACCTGGACAGATCAAGAGAATAATTTGGAAGCGAAATCGTAGGAGATGGAGACTGACCGTGTGACAAAGGTGACGTACAAACGTTTGAGCCTTGAGGTGATGGAGAATGGATGTGAGCGGCTAATGGGGAGGATTTGGTGGAAAGTTCGGACGGTGATTTGGACATTTCTTTAACTGGTCTTGTATCAAAAGGATTTACGACGGAATGAGGGACCCCAAGAAGCTTGGTGCTTAAGTTCAAATCAATCATTTCCGTGTCGGCATTTGAGTTCGGAAGCATACTTGCAACAGATGGACGTCCAAGTCTGTCGCTCTCGGACGCTTGAGCCTTTCTGTGCTCAATATCACTAAGCCTCACGCTATCCAGAGGTACCCGAGAACTTCCCGGTAGGGCTGTGATCTCATTCAGGTCAATATTAGCTACATTATCAGCATCACTGGACGAGCCACCCAAATGTACTAACGCACCATGGGAAGGTGCAGTCAAACTACGATCGACTGTTGGCCTAGCATCAGCCTTCAATCCTCGTTGGTTCCAAAACTGACCATGCTTCAGCCCTGTTTTGTAAAGATCAATTTTTGGACCATCAGTTGCATCTGCCGAAGATCCATGAAGCGCCAGCAACTCTTCAAGGTTCGGCACAGTGCCACTCAAATCGATACCGGTATCTGACGTTGTTGCAGCTTCCAGTGTGATACCCGGAGGCTTCGTTGGTACTCTATCGCTTAAGTCAATGTTTGGTCCACTCCTTCCATTTGCCGACTCACATGGAAATAAGTTCCTTGGCACTCCTTGTACAGTAGAGTTGAGATCGATCGTTCCAACAGACTCATTTGAGGCTCGGGACTCGGCGTTAGGCACCTTTGAATTAAGATCGTTTTCTTTAGATCGTGCCAGAGCATTCCTGCCGCCCTCACCTCGATTGTCCTGTTTTTGACGCGTCTTACCTCCGTCGAAACCAAGACGGTCCGGCGGATCGCATGGGGGAGTTATTGGTCTAAAGATTTGCGCACCATTTTTGCGACCATCCCGAATCGTCCTGAACAAATCAGACTCACCATCATTTCCCCTGAACTGATTCCCTCTCGTGCCAAGATTTTGTCCCCTGGCATTTCCCTCTTCGCTTTTAAACACTCTTTGGTGATATGGACAGTACCTGGAATGCAAATTGGGAAAAGTTAAATGGACCAATTGACTGGAATTCATAATACAAACTGCCGATTGTTGAAGTTTATGGCACACCATGACAACCCCCACCCCTAAAAAAAACAACATTTACAATTTTACTCGTCACTGTTCCCTCTCCCTCAAAACTGATACGCCATGGAAAATGGTCTCGTACTCATTGAGATGAGCTTCCTTCAAGACCTCTCTCACTGATGCAAAAGATGAATTTAAGAAACTTTTTTCCCTCTTCAATTTAAAGGAAAACACTTGATTTTCACAAGCCAACTTTAAGTACGAATTCTGGAGTCAGGGGGGGAGACGTCAACTTTTATCTTTCACTGTTGCTGCTTGATTCACGATTTGCACACATGCTATAATTAACAATTATTCAGCGAAGTGACGGTGAATTATTGTTTTAGTATATACCACACAGATATCAAAAAATTAGCTTATTTCTTTCAATATACCGATAATTGATCAGAAATTATACTCAAGACGCGCAATTTTGTCTCATCTGCTGCTCGGAGGTGAATTGAACTTGCTAATCACTACCGAACTAGCCAATCAGCACGCGCGAAAAGCACTGTTCACTTCTGTGGTATATACTAATAAGTAATATTTTCAACGAATGAGACATGAAATGAAGATAACAAACGGTGAAGTACTTGTTCTCAGCGACTGCACCACATGGTGTTCCGTCAATATGAACAATACTGCACTGCGACTGAGAGAAGGGTAACTGGGAGATAACAGGGGCATCTCTAGAGCTGTTGGGTTTACTTGGAAAAGAAGTTGAGCTGTTCACCGTAGGTGCACTGCTGGTGGAGATGGAGACATTTTTCTGACTCGACAATGCCACCCTGGACACTGGACAAGGAATGGTGTCCTCCTGATCGTGAAGAAGAAAGTCAATTCACCATCTTATCGTCCACGATAGGTTAACGTTTAGCACATCAAATAAGTAAAACATACAAGGCTTCCAAACATGAAGTAGGAATGCAATTCGACGACACACCACATCCAATCAAACGGTATAAAGTTAACAGCCACTATCCCTCTTACCAGTTCGGTCATACGTACAAATCAAACAGGTCAGTGGCAGCACTCCCAGGAAGACCTTGTACTGAGTCAATTACTTAAGCCTTCCGTGACGTCCGCAACATCACCCCCTCTCTATTTTCGACTTATCAATAAAACCGTTTTCTTTCCCCAAAAATTTGAAAAAGAAGTGTGTCAATTCCACCTGGGCTTCCCGATCATCCTAAGAATCATTGGAACACTGCTCGTGCAACTTGCGGGGGGGGGGGGGGGGAGGAGCAAACAACGTGGACATTTAAAATTGGTGTCGTGTCCCGGTCATCTACTAAACTGCCCATAATGTAACTACTTGTTAATAACCTCCTTATTAACAACTTTTACCTCCAAGTCTTTTGGCTCTTTCTTTATACCGAGCAAGGCTCTTAGTTGTTCTTCTCGCTTTTCCCATGGCAAGGAACAGACGGTTGAAGTTGTTGACGATTTATTCGTTTGTTCGCTTTCTTTCGAACTGTTCGTTCCTTGGTTATCGGCTGTTTTTTCTTTTGTGTTCTCTGGCAATAAGTTACTTGTCTCATCAGTACAATTAGTCAAGTAACCCTCGTTATTTTTGCTCAAAGATGAAAGTGACTGAGACTGTTCTTTTGTATTCAAACCAAGATCTTTTTCGCCTCTCATGGATGACGAAGAAAATGCACGTTTCTTTCCTGCTTCCTTGGAATCCTGAGATTTAATCATTTGCTCATCAAGAAATGTAACCGAAGTTACCTTCTCATGAGCACATGTCTCTTCTTCCTTGCCATTTTTTATCCATTTCAGGGATTCGTCTGAAGCTTTTGGAACAGGCATTTCCACCGCCTTTTCGATCATTTCTTCTTTCGCAAGGGTTGGTGCGGAAGTATTTGTTGGCAGTGAAAATTTCGCTCTGGTTGCTAAAGATGATTGTGGGTTGGCAGATGAAGATAAGGCTCCTTTGTTTTGTAGGAAAGAGTCCTCTTTGGCTGCTATGATGGAACTCTCTTTAACTGGTAGAGTTGGACTATTTTTTGTCAAAAGAGAAGAACCCTCTTTAACTGATGAAGGGGAATTCCCTTTGACTGATAGCAAAGTATCATACTTGTTGCCAGGCAAAGAGGCGGCGGCTGATGAGGAGTCCCTTTTGGAAGTCAATGGCCTGGCATCATTGTTTCCTGACGAAGAAGGTTTTCTTTTGGTGGGTGGCGAAGACAGACCTCGAGTTCCTTTAGCAGGAGATGGCGTATCCCCTTTAGCTAATGAAGTTGACCCAGTTTTGGTTGTTTCTGTAGTGTTTTCTTTGAAATCCACGTAACCTTTGCTCGCTGAGGGATTTTTGGTAGTTAAGTCTTTGGAATCTATCTTTGATTTCCCATTCCTGTTTCCATTAACCTGCTGAGATGAAGCCCCAGATTGGGTCTGATATTTCACCCGATCCATTGTTTTGTTGCCATCGCTGTTCTTTCCCTCTGACTCCTTACCCTTTGGTGACTGAGAGTTGATCTCAACGTTTTTAGAAGCACTATTCTTAATAATTCGGTCATCTTTGTTCTGTTCTTCTGCTCTAGCGAGTTTACGTGGTTTACTTTTTCTTCCACTTTTCCCACCAGGGCTCTCCGAAGAAGGACTTGTTTTTGTCTGCGACCCTTCTTTGACATCTTTCTCTTTGTTGTCTTGTGATGTCTTTCGTCTTCCTGGTTCCTGTTTGTACGATGGAGTTTCTCTTCGGCTTCGATTACCGGGACTGTCTCTCCTAGTTTGTCTCGAATAGCTTCGTTCGTCATTCTCTCTGAAAGTCGTGAAACTCGATTCAACCACACTTCTTATCCTCTGACGTCCGTCATGAGATGAAGTATTCCCACGTCGACTAATTCTGTCCCTCAGATCACCAGGTTGACTTCCAACAAACACCCTTCGTCTCGAGCCTGGAGCATAACCATCTGAATAACTGTCACTCGGAGATGGTTTGCCACCGTCTCTTGACAACATCCTTTCTTCTTCTCTGCCTCTATAATAACTTCCGTTTTGCCGCTCACTCGCATATTGCCTACCACCGTCCCTGATCGTCACCCTGTCTCCCTCTCTGGTTCCATAATAACTTTCATCTTGCCTATCATAGTTCCTTGAATGGTTCATTCTTGCATATCCAGGGTCGTATGAAGGCTCTCTGAAATCCCGTTCATCGTCAAAACCATTCCAAACTGGGCGGCTGTCGTTTGCATGGTCCTGAACATCATTAGGCCGTGGTGAGATCGGCCCTCTAACCCTTCTCATCTCTTCTTCCTGGTAGTGAAATCCATAATCCCCAGCACGACTAGCTGGAGGCAAATGTGGGTCCAGCAGACTCGGTATTGCTCTTTGTGGACCCTGACTAGGATAACTTCCATATGGATGCTGATGACCACTACGATAATCATCCATAATTGTTTCCCCGTCTTGATCACTAGAGTAATTCTGAAAATTTTTCACACCTGTGAAATCATCTGCAGCCCAATCAGACAGTTCTCCTTCTTCTTTTTCTTGAGGTTGTCTCTTCAGTTTCTGCTTTTCTGGGATCTGCGGTTTGTGTTTTTCAGACCTCGGAAGTTTTTCTTTACCTGGACTCGCTAATTGTTTTTTATCTGGACTCCATTCTTGTTGGTGATCTCTACGCCACTTGTGTATATTCTCCTGGTGACTGTCGCCATGCAAGTGACTTGTAAATTCCGAAAGTCTTGTAAACTCTTGTTTGCATAAGCTACATGGATGCTTGCAATCACTACAAAAAAGGAGGATAAAATCCATTTTCAAATAAGCAAACAAGATGTTTATCTCCATAAGGTAACTCCTGAAAATTACGTACATGGATGTTGAAGGATAAATTCAACCCTTGCAATAAAATTTGTTGTCCCTATGTACAAGTTTTAAATTCAGTGCCATTCATTATTAAAAACAAACCAGAAGAACAATTTTTTGTTTGTGGTTAGCCTCATAACTTTTTTTTTTCACGTTTCAACATAATTACCTTCATGACTACTTGACTACTTGTCTTTTCCTTTAAGTTTTTTTTACTATTTGTTTTTGCATTTTCTTTTCTTTTTTTTTTCTCTGTTCCTTATTTTGTCTTAGTTTTTGGGTGGTAAAAACTATGGCATTTAAATTACTGCACTATTGAGGTGTCCACAACAACAATTCACCTGACCTACTTTCTTAGCTTCTGTCCTTACCAACATGTAAACATTATGAATGTAAAAATATGGACTAAACTGTATATTTGAACCAATACTTTTATCCTGTATGTACGAGTACATGCGCAGTCTACATTTATCCATCAAAATACAATATTTAGAGACAAATACATCAGTTTTGAGACATTGATCAGTAACAATCTCCACCATTTTCCCTTCCAATGAATTACTCCTTTCATGTAACAATGTAAGGGCAAGGAAAACTGTCCAAAAGAGTCAGAGTTTGACAACAAATTTATTTCAGATCTATTGCTTATAATCTCAGTCCCTTTGTCCCAGTGAGCTTGTCACAAAAAAAGAGGTTTGCAACCCAGAAGTAAACAAAACTAACTTGTCCTGCAGCAAGACTATCAAATTTAACACTCTTATTTCAAAGACAGGATAAGGTATTCCAACAAATTTACATATTTTCCAAATGAATTATCTCTACTTTTATAAACTAGACTCTTGATACTTTATAATTTTGGTCGCTCTGACTTACGCTCATATGTCAGGTTTGATACTCTTTACAGAGGCCAATTTACATTATCAACTCAATTGATAAAACCAAAATAATCTTTTTAATAACTGCAAAGCACCACAGTTTCTTTAAAAAAAACCCTCTTTATCAGTTTGTAAAATTATTTGTGTTTATAAGGACATGCGGTTCAGATACCTAAGCTGTTGTGAAAGGGGGGCTTTTTTTTCTGCTGTCTACTTAATGCATCACAGTAAAATTATTTCCTCTTCAAGACAGGCAATCTATTCATGCATCACCTCACAGAAACTGCTACACTGAATCCCAAGGGAAAGTATACAAACCAATTCATCATCAAATAATAGTGACTAACAGCAGGGGAAAGGAAAAGGTTAAGATATCCTGACTAACAAGTACATTAAGGAAAGCAAATAAGGAGACATTCTAGTCTTCTCAGACCCTAAACTACAGGTAACATCCCCTGCATCTTCTCTGCAATGGTTAGAGGAGGATAAGAACCCACACATTTATGACAAAAAGCAGGGAATTTAGCTCCTGTTACTGTGGTCTGGCCTTGTTATTGTTTAAAAAGGCCCCAATTTAAACTAGCATAATAGCTAAACATGGCTAGCCTGTCTAATTATTACAAATAAATAAATAAATAAATAAGTAATTAATCATTAAATAAGTACAGTTCCATATACCTTCCCTTTTCCTTGCTTAGGTTTGTATGGTGTAGTATAGACCAAGTGTGCTCCTCCAGCTCCTATCAGGAAAACATTAACAGTGAGTTAATTACCTTTTAGGTTGCACATCCAGAAAATATTTCAACTGCTACATAGGATATATCATTTTCATCTATGAATGACAAAAGTGAAAACAAACAGAATGTTGTTCTTATCCAGCAAACTGTCACTTCTGCAAGCTTTCACAAAATCTGTCATCAATCATCTGCATACTAGAATGAAATTGAATACATGTAGGACCTCATTTAAGAGCCTGTGTTAGTGGTGTCTTATTTGTGATGCTTGATGAAAAAAAGGCTGTGAGGCTGCTAAAATGATAAGTAGAACCTTAAGTTGAGAAATCAGCATATATATTCATTTAGATCTTGAGTGTTTCCACTCAACACATTTCTTATCAATTTAGTGAGTTTAAACAATAGCCAAATAGCTTGCCATGTGACACTTGTTGTCACAGACATTAAAATCAGAACATCGCTCTCTGACCTTGGGATGTAAGTTAATACCAGCAAAAAAATATTAATAAAAACACCATGATAACCAGTTGAACCAGAATGACATAAAAAGAGTACAAGTATCTGACTAATGAATTAGAATTTTGAAGCAAGAAATTATCAATTCCACCCAAGTACAGGAGTAATCATTTCACTTTACACATGCTGAAGAGCACTGATTCTAATCAAAATGGAAATGACTAGCTTGTCCCTATAAGACACTTGTAAAGCTTTTGATACCTTGATAAAAATTCATACAGTGGACCAAAAATTCCTGTCTCCTCTCTTAACACTGGTTAAATATCTTTCATTTTGAAGTTAACATTTTTTCCATTGATTTTCTTCAAGTTAGCTTCCTGTGTGTCTCCCTTGAGAGATAACCAAGACATTTGAATGACATGAAAGTGATCTCAGCCACTGGGAATTTTATATTTGTTAAAGGGCAGATAAAACTCAAAACCATGTCAATTTTGGCAGGCAGTTCAGCCAATTTCTCATCTCAACCTTCTACACCTCAACTCTTTCAAGGATGATCAAACAACTATCTATGCAGGGACAACATTATTAGAAAACACTCCTCAAAACCAGGATAGCAAAATAACAAAGTTGAATACATCAACAGTGATAAGGAAATAACCTGAAATCCACAGGAGATTTCAATAACCTTGAAGAATAGAGATCACATTGATTTATGCATGAACCAGTTGCTCACTGAACTAGACTGATCTTTTTGTTTAATAAATTAACAGAAGTTCAAGAATAATGTACTTACTACTAAATTTTTTTAAATAAAGATTTGCATTAGTTACTTCTCTACACTAAGCTGTGCCATTTTTGACAGAAATTATTCACAAAGATCTCATTAGAGGTCACGAACCAAACAAGAGTGCTTCACATAATGTTGTCATGACATTAGATCTTTTTATTGTAGGAATCAAAAATTTTCGAATCGGTTGCTGAAACGTTCATTATAAACTCATCTAGTTGAAGATTGATTGCTGGGGCTGATGTCTGAAGCCGTGCTGTTTAGAAAAGCTAATAAACATTACGAACAATACATATTCATCCTGATCATGACGAAAAAATACTCCAAGGTTTGTAACGATACAATGCCTGCTCAGTTTCCATCACTGAAAGCATTTAGTCGAGATGTAGCGTGCTAGCTTTGCAAACAATAAAATAGCATAAAACTTAAATCCTCCAGACATTCATGATATGAGCTTTCAAGAATGTAACTTATGCATCTACATGTAAGGGCTGAGCTAAAAAGCGTGTCATGCCTGCAAAAAAATTTACAGAAGCTTGAACTTACTCTTCTAGTCGTAAAATCCAAGCTGCACAATTCGCAGTAGTAATTATCGCAGTTGCCAATTTCGTTGTCCATATCTTCCAAGCCTCAAAGATAAGCTTTGGTATTTGGTATTTGGTCGAAAATAACGTCAATCGCCAAGCTATTCCAAACAATTTTCTACCTCACGCCTCGTGAGCGGCTTCAAGTTACCAGTCGTGTCAACATGAACTTGCAAGAATTTCCATAACAATCAGCCACCGAACAATCGTGATTTTCAAATGCCGTGTCTCAGAAGGTCACCAAGAACGTGGCGTAGAAGAGTGCGTGGTGTGACAAAAACTGCTGAGATCGGAAAAGGTCCTTTTTTTAGCCAGTATTTCCGGAAATACGCAGGAATTCCTTTCCGCCTCGTAACAACTTAATGGCTGTTCAAAGCCAAACAAGCTTTGAATGGGCTCAGCGAATAATTTTTCGATCAATTTTGTTTTGTGTGACATAAAATGTAAACGTCGCTCAACAATAAAAGAACGCTGACTGAGAGCCTCGTTTTGGTTTTTTTTTTAACTTTGGTCACCGGAAATGCGCGACAAACTACTACAAATCAGTCACGTTTGGTACTTAAACAGGATGGGCGTTTCGGAAAGAGGTGGGCTTTACTGACGGAAATGTTCTTTCCGTTGTCCCTAAATGTAAGAAAATAAGCGAAAATAACTTTATTGAGGGCATCACAATTGTGCTTTGGCCAAAAGGCGTTTTAAATGACGGATATGCCTGCAATTCTGAGGTTTGGACAAAAGACAATTTTGACTACTTTTCTGGTGAAATTTAATAAGCTACTTGATGAAAGTATACCAGTTTAAAACGTTCAGAGGTGGAATTTAAACACAAGCCAAACAGAAAGTGGAACAAGTACATGACAAACGGCTGACGAGCAAATTCAACTGTATAATGGAGCGAGGTTGTGTACTTGTGTACTAGTAAGAAAAAAACAGCCAACAAGAGGAACAACATAACCAGAAAACATTCTTGGTAAGAGAAGAAAAGAAAAGAACGATGTCGAAATCATGACAAACTTTCCTTTTACGATTAAGACGTGAGGTCTTGGCAGATATTTTCTTTTCTGATTTCCTGTTTGACAAACGTACCAGCTGTTTCATTTTGGAAGCTCAAAGGTTAAGACCGTTAGCACACCCAATCAAGCGCGCACTAATGAACTGGATGATAAAATTAGCGAGTAGTAGTAATTTTGCAGCTATATTGCATACACCTTTAAAAAAGGAAAAAAAATTATGATTACGACGTATGAATTTGGCTATCGAACGACTAATGGTCAAATCATAAGTGTTCAAGCTCATCGAGTTGAAATATTTGTGTAAATCTTAGTTTCTATGTTCATGCTTTCATTGCCTCTACTGTTAAACGAAAAATAGTGAAGGCCAAGAATCAGGATAACTATCCAAAGACGTGACAAGTTAAGCTATTCTTAGCAGATATTAGATTTTACAGGGGTAAACAGCCCTTTACAGGGCATAAAAATCCTTTCAATATTCTTCATAACTTGTTTACAATATCTTTCCAATGTTCTGTCTGGTACATGCGCGATTGTTAAAGAATGGTTCTGCATGTAGTAGCTTTACTCCCAACTCATATCTGGCCCGCGGTTCTCGACATTCAAAACACAAGGTACTCTAAACAGTTATTTAATTATAACAACTATAAAATAGTGAGGCAAAATCGAGCTCTTTCGATCAAAACTCACGATGCCCTAAACAAAATCTCACACGATTAGCGCCACTAGTGTTGACCAACAGGACTCTGTCGCTAATTATTGATGTCAGGTATTTGGTATTTTAGGTTATTTTTGTCAATTAAATAATTGCAGGTAAACTATTAGTCAATCAGTATACATCGAACTGCTTTATGATAATCTCCTTTAGAATCAAATCAAGATATTTTACTCATTCATAAGATATTGCATCATACCAAAGACTTAATTATAATGTCAGTGTTTCTTCGGCGAAAAATATTTAACGTCCTGCATCAGGATGTCATGTAGAACCAAGAAATTATTGGTAGAACTTCAACAAAAATTTGAAAGATAAAGAAAGTCTTAAATAGCCTTACCTTAAGCCCGTTATTTTTAATTTGTACCTTCTATATTTTCATGCAAATACTCTTTCGTGTGGGTCATAGTTTGACCTTGCAAACGGAAAAACTTTTGACAGTAACGCAATGTTTCATTATTAATATCATCTTAATTATTATTATTGTTTTGTCTTGCAAGTCAGTTCATGCTGACAAAATATAAACGTGCATGCGAAAACGTGCGTGTCACTCGCTCCTGTCACAAAAATGCATCTGATTGGCAAGAATACGTCCGACTTATTTTCGCGCCAAAAAACGCGGCTGCAAATTTAGGCTGTCGCAAGCAGTTACACTCCAAATACCTCGTTGGATTTATCAAAACACGACGATGGTTCCAGGTTTCATCGAAAAGTTACGTCGGTAAACAGAAGGAGAACGAGAAGGTAAAATAATACAATTTCATCTTTAAAGCAGTTCTGGGCGAAACACTATCCAGGGGACGTAAAGCGAAATTTCAATTCGTGTTGTAAACAACGAAATTATTGCGCTCCCTAAGCGCAGTATTTAATTCATCAAACTGCACAGAATCCAAGGATTCGATGACATTTCAATTCCTGAACGAACCTTTACAGTCCATATTATATTATCGAGCTTAAATGGAATAAGTAAGCTTCTGATGTGAAGTAGTTGTTAGCGCACGTACCGAACCAAACGGGACAGTTTTATAAAAATAGTGTGATTTATCATTTATCATTTTAGCCGAATCAGCTGATAGTTTGAGGTAAAACGAAGTGAGAGGAAGACAGAACAGCTTCTCTTTGAACATAGCGTAAACGTTACTAACTGTAAGCCTTTCATGAGGAAACTTTTGGAAAGTTTACAGTCTAACCGAAACCTTTCGAAAACAAAGCATTAGTCCCAAAGGTGAACTTTTGTTTCCGCCATTGTTTCCTGTTATCAAGTAACTGTATGCAAAATGAGGTCCAGGACTCTTGCCAAACTTTTATGCAATACCAGAGCCACAAAATTAACCTAAATAGTAGCCGCTATAGTGATTTAAAAATGCCCGATTGAGCCTGGGACGAAGTCACCCCGTTCACCAAAATCTACTTTTGAGCGAATTTACGAGCCGATCCAAGCTCTTTAAGAGCATAACAATAACGTTAACTTGAACGTCGTCTGGTCTGATAGAAATTGGTGTTATTGCAATGAAAGGAAAGGAATATTACAGATTGAAGCAATTCAGTTTACCTTTGTTCTCCGTCTCCTTTTGTTCCACATCACTGAAAGATCGAGTGGTTTCCAGGAAATATTGTTTTTGACAAATACTCAGTTAAAATTACCCCAAAACTTATGACTCTTAGTCGGTTACGACTCGCTGTTGAGAAGTAGCAATGAAATCATTGGTAAAAGTGAACTTTCCTTCGATAAGAGAAAAAAAAAGTATAGAATACTTTGCCAAACGATATTTTCTTAGATGAGAACGATATTTAAATTGCAAATGCTTTTGTTGCTTGCCTGCAGGTGTATTTGCGAAACAAAGAGAGAAGTGTGAAGTTTGGTTGATGTTTTCATTGTCCAGTTAAAGTAACGTACAAAGGAAAATGGTTCGTATTTTCATTTTCTTTCAGATGAAAAGATAAGCTTTACTTTGAATTCATACGAATTTACACGTGTCCCTTAAAATCTGGTTCCATCATCTTTAAAACGAAATCACTGACGTTTGCAATAAAAATTAGAATGGGCACTGTGTTGCCAATCCTTAGTTGCGGCGTTTCTTTAGAAATAACATCGAGACCAAAAGCCAGAATTTCCCATCAGTACCCGCAACATTCAACAATGTGATAATCACTTCCAAACAAGCAAGGGAAAACTGTAATGGTCCATAAACCAGAAATCGAAAAGCTTGTCCCATCTGTTATTATATTAACATTTGCAAAGTGCGTCGACATAAAAGGGTACCAATCATTCATAACTTCATCCATAAAAGTTATTCACTCTGATGATTTGCTGTCTCTATACAAATTATATGACGATATTTTAACATTTACTTTCTTTGAAAGTCGGTCATTTACAAGCTAATGATAAGAAATAGCATTTTCTTGGTCACTGGAAACGAGCAAATAGCGGCGCGCGAGAACCGATGGGAGTCCGAGAACCAGTAGGAGTCCGAGATCGACCGAGAACCGGCAGGGTCTGTAATCTGCCTTTTCGCCTATCCTCGTTCTCGTCTTCTGATGACTGAGAGGCGGGTACGGACTGCTCGATTATGCTCGTTTCTGATGACATCAAGAAAAAAATTCACAATGATTTTGAGAATTTCTTGTGATCTGCTACTTTTTCCCTCAGATTCTCAGTATAAAATAGCCTTGTGAAATTCGGCGTGATTGTATTTTCTTTTATCGACTTTTCGTACAGAAATCAATGAATTTCGTAACCCTCGTTATTCTTTCGAAGATTACGGTCGTCATGTTTGTTAAAAAAAATGTAAATTCAGTCTCGTGATCAATGTAGTAATTCAGTCTTTTGACATTTCAAGAAACCTTTGTTGACAGCAATGTAAACATAGCGAACAAGGGAGACTACCGGCCTAAAACGATAGCTTCACCCTTTACACCCTAACCGCCATCAGCATGCATTTTCTCCATACTGTTCTCCATTCATTTCCAAAGAGGCTAACAAGGAGAATTTGTTTCACAATCAAGAGCTGCTTTAGTTGCTAATCATCTCCTCTATTCTCATGACTTTCTCCTTTTTGTGAGGAGAAATTAGATGCTGGTCACTCTTAGGGGCGAAAGGGTTAACAAAGCATTTGAAGAGTTTCTCGAGGATGTCCGTAAGCTTGCTTTAATCCGAACTCAGCACCATTCAATCTCAGTTATTTTCCTCCACTGTAAAATTGAATTTGAAAATTTAATTGAAAATCACTACAGCGAGTAAATTTTCGAACTGAATTCATCCACAAATGTTTTCCTATTGTGCAACTGTTCTCAAAGCTTATCAACCCGCTGCAGGTATACCTTTCAACTTTTGTCGACATCAATGTCAAGAAGAAAGTAGTATCCGAAAGATGGTCTTCAATTTTACGTCGACAGAATTCGATAAAGGAACAAAAAACAGAAACAGAAAACATACATCTGCGATCTCGTATCATATCTTTACACTCTACAATGTAAATGTAATGATTTGTGATTTTTCAAAACGCCGCACACCATATTACCAGCTCAAGATACATGTAAATGCGATGTAACTGATCCAGCATAATTCTGAGGTTACACATCGTACTTGATTAGCCGTAAATCGCGAAACTTACCTTGTAATTTAAAATTATTAAAAGTTTAAACCATGATTGATGGAACCGCAGAACTTTGCCCGGCGTGCTGCGTTACACGGATAGAATAGACTACTTTGTTCAGTGGAAAGCGGTCAACGAATGTGTTTACCTTTATGTTAATAAGTAACGCACGTTTCAACATGCAAATCAGTGAAAAAGGTGTCGAGGCAAACTGTAAACGACCGATAACTATTGGTTGATTGAGAATTTTTTGTGATGCGACTCCATTAAATAGAGAAGTATTAATTGAAGTAGAAGGAGGCTCCTCATAGAGAGGCCACAGGCCCAGAGTCAGACCTGGGGCAGTACAAAGCGATGTCTATGGAACCGTTGAACCTTTGAAGACTTTGGAGATTCAGGCAAAAAAAAGTTAGAGCCATTGTTTTTGGAAACGCCTGCAAATTTAGGCCCTTGTCTCGAAAGTCGATTTGCTAATTTTTCTTTTGCTTCGGACAGCTGGTCACTGTTAACAATCAGTTAGCAGTACGTCATCTTGGACAACAGAAGTCGTATAAAATTACATTCTCTTTTTCAAGTTGAACCTGTTCTCGGTGTCCAATTAGTTATAGAGACGCGAAAGTAGCGCAAAGCAAAAAAAAAAAAAAAAGAGAGCGAAGGTCCCATGCTGTTTTCCAGTAAACAAAACCTCTTCTTGACTGCATAGTTTATCAATATCTTGAAAAGGTTGTCAGTTCGTTGCCAATCTCTTGATTTCCTCTTTTAAAAATTTTCTTGAAGGCCTTTCTGAATTCTTGATTCCTACAAGTATAAACCACTGGATTGACGCAGGCGCTGATGGATGCAATTAATGATAAAATCGTCATGACACGAGTCATTTCCTCTCGCTCATCATTGCCAATAAACTGTTGGTGCAGAGTTCCTATTAAGAGGGGTAAAAAACAAGCCATGAACGCGCCGATGATAATACCATACGTTATTGCTACTTTAATCTCGAGCTTTCTCATCCTTTCGCCCTCCAAGTGAGCATCATGTTTAAGTTTTAATTGTTGATGACGTGACACTTTCAGGATATACATGTAACTACCAACAGTCAAAGCGCAAGGCAAAACGATGTATATTGAGATTATAATTGCAGCAAAGATTTTCGATGTGTTTTTGAATTTGTGTTCATGATATGACAAGCACAAATGAAATGAATCATAGTAATCGACGAAGTCTTCGTACTCTGCGTCGGGAAGCGAATGAGGAGACACAACAGTTCCTATCACAGGGAGTAGCCATATGGCAATAAGTGCAGTTTTCGTTCGTTTCCCCGTCACAATAGTTTTGTAGCGGAGTGGAAACCTTATCGCGATAAATCTGTCGATACTGATGGCTGTCAAATGTAGAATTATCACACAGATTGTACAGAAAGCAATTTCTGAAATGGCATGGCACGTTGAGTGAGACTCCTCACCACTCATGCGATTAACAACTCGGTACACGAAAGCACTTGTCATGAGCAAGTCGGCGAGGGCCAAACTGAAAATTATCATATTTGGAACTGTTCTCAGAGCCCTAGTCCTCCATATCACTGCACAGACTGAACAGTTTCCAAACAAAGTTGCCAAGGTTAAAACTACGTGAAAAATAATAACAAAGATATTAAACGCTGTATTGTGCATCCCGACTTAGAAACGCGTGCTACCTTGTAATTCGATGTTGTCGCCTCTCAGCCCAAAACAATCCTTTTAACCAAACATTGTATGGCTGATATGCGCTGATTGAGGATAAGTAGCAAAACTGAATCCTCTTTTTCTTCGTCACTTTGATAATATCCTTTGATTAAAACACCGTGAAATTCTGCCTTTCACCAAATGGTGATAACAAAAACTAAATAAGCGTCGAAAGAACCACCTTGTCCCAGTTTGAGCGTAGTCGTCAATAAAAGGAGCAGCTGCCGCACAAGCAATGAATATTATGACGAGTGAGTGACAAATTGTCACCGATTTCGATTAAGGCCTAGTTCATAGCATAGTTGCTAAGTTAAATTTCCTTATCAGACGGAACGACAAGTCCTTCATCCCAGATTAGTGCGATTAGGGATGCCCACTTTGGTTCACTCATGCCGTCTATTTTTTTTCCTTTCTTTCTAATTCAAATAAGGCTGCCCATACACAGAACTACGCTATAACAACTCTCAATTGTCGAGCCAATTGCGTCGTTTTAATAACTGTCATCCCACCGTATTTTAATTATCCGTTTTTCAAAAAGCGCCACACAAATCTCTCAAGTTACTGTGCACAAAAAAAATTTATAATATTTATGCCTATTAAACTTCTTCGCCGAAAATATAACTGCTAGCGTGTTAAGAAAATTATCAAATGGAAACCGAGGCAACGTTTCAAAGGGTCATTTATTCAAATGGATATCCTGAAGTCACAACATGCTTTTAAGCCCTACTGGAGTTTGTTATACTCTACTAAACAAGAAATTAAAGATATCTACATTATTGATTGAAGGAAACTGGAAATTTTCGTGAGGTTAAAACCACTGGAAATTGTTACCTGGATACAAATTAAAAATTTGGTTTATTTGATGCTACATAAAAGTATTTGTATTTGCCACTGTGTTGTCATCAATCAAATTTAAGAGTCGTATGAAGATGAAAGCGAAATTTCTCAGGGAGGTAACTGAAAAGTGTTTTAATTGAAAAGGAGGGCATTAATGACTTTTGGCGAGTGTAGCATTACTGTGGATTTTTATACCTGACGTTCCACTTAGATATTGGCCGGATTCTCGTTAATATCCACACCGATTTTCACTTAGTTTATTTATTCATCGAGTTATCTTTTTCAATCATAACTACTCTGAGCAATATCCTCCCCTCCCGGGCAGAATAGTTTTGTCCTCGCCCCATATCCCCTCGTCAAATGATCCAAGATGGCAGCTCCCTGGAAAGCTAATTTCAGCCATTAAATGGATATGCTCATCATCAAGTCACTTACATTGATAGAATATTTTGACGTTCTCCAGCCTTTGCTTTAACTGGACAATGCTAAAGAATGGAAGTTCCTGGACGATCGCCTGATCACTTTCCTGAACTTTTGGTGAGTATAAAACTGCTCTAACCGCATTAAGTTTCTAAATTTACATGTAAATTTGGATCGTGAAGTGGTACTTCGCGGCTCAAATATTAATTAGCTTTTTAAAACCTAAAAGCTTTCTTCGGAAATCCAGCAATATCATCTATTTTATCGATTTCCCTCTTCTTGAGCTTTCCAAGCTTGCGGAAGGCTCACCTCGTTAGTTTGGCTGGGATTTTCTCATAGGATACAAAATTTTTCTTCTGGAATTAAATGAGCAGCAATTATCGTAATATAGAGAGGGGAAATCCATGTGGCATATTGGCTCACTCATCTTCTGTTCTCTGGAATGGTATAAAGGATGTTCCCGGAAGAGAAAAAAATATATTTTAAAGATAATGCACAACTTATACCCTGAAAGGGGCACGCGCGCGCGTCGCGGCGCTTTAGTGATGTTGTTACTTTGAAACTGATAAGCTGGTGGGAACATGAGTTATGATGTTTGAGATGGTAATGCTTACAAAGCGGAAATCTCAAAGCCTCTTCTCATTCATTTTTTGAGTAGCGACCTTCAAAAGAGCAAAAGCGTTCAGAGTCCGCGAGCTTAAAATTTGATGCGCATGTAAATTTTTTTCTAAAAATTATGGAGATTGCAAGTTGTTATATTCCTAGCTGTAGTTTCTCAGGCTTCTGATATAGGCACCAATAAGCGCGCCAATCAAGACAAAATGGCGGGTACTATAGCTGCTCAGGTAATCAAAATATCAGTCAGCATCAACGACCCAACAATCTGTGCTCTTGTACTGTTAGCTCAACTAATAATAGCCCTGCCTGACGAAAACACTAACGACTCGCGTCCTCTTCCTTTATCCTAAATCAGTGATTTAGAAAGTACTTATGTTACCTTTCTATTTTGTGATATCGTCCTACCACATCTCTTCGTGATTTTCCTTCTTAGGTCTTTATGAACCGCCTTAGCTGTATCTGTATTTTAATTACATAAGACCCATGACTCTCCTTGAGTAGCACTAACGTACATTAAATCAGTCTTTTCGTAATGAATCTCTTTTTAATTTCGATCCACGTATATTTCCCGTCTTCACTTACCTATCTGTAATTGTTAAACTTTTGATCTCGATTGCTACATTATAAGACTTCCTTTACACTCTCCTTCACTGTCGTCGCATGAGAAATCGCTGAATGTTTTGGTCACTCTAGAAGTCGAAGGGTTTGTAATAAGTAAGAACAACCGCAGCGGAAACTCTATGAAAAGGAAGCATTCATCTGAAACAAGATGCTCGCTTTGAAATCCACGTGATTCAGGAAAATTTAACATTGACAACTCGTAATTTTTTAAAATAAACAGTGGACATCAAAAAGAAACATTAGATCGAAGACATCTTTAGTGCAAAGTCAACCAAAAATTCGTTTTTGTTTAGGCCGTTTAGTAGCGTAAACTTACAATTTCTTTGAAGGAAGCGACGCAAAGAATATCTAGCGTAACTTCATATGAACACAAAAGCTAATTCTGTAACTCAATTATTTCCACCAAGGGGTGAGTGGTAAAATTTGCCTCCGGGGGCCATGCATTGTATTGCAATAAAAGCTACGTGTCTCATTGTTATTTGTCTTTCTAGAAGTATCCCTTTCTATCAGCCGCCAATATGAATGAAATGTGTAGGCACGTCCTAAACTCGAATGAAACTTGGTGGGTTTCATCAGAGGATTTCGCCGGCTTGTTGTTTCCGATGGAAATGCGGCAAGAAAAGGTAATGAAAAATGATTTTTTGGAAATTAGTCAGTCTTAAAGTATCAGCTGCGGATAGCTTATTTCTTAATGTGTAGTTTTTCCAAACAGGAATTTGTCGCCAGGGCAGAAATTTTTGAAAGTAGCTAAGAACTATCTCGATTTAATTACACACGAATTCCTTAGTACTATGATAAATGACTTTATTTGTATCCTTCTTTATTAGTTTTAATCATAGCGAGACAGCTTAAATAGACATTGGTAAGATTAAGTAGTCTTAAAGTTTTCCAAGATCATCGTATAACCGTTATTACAACAAAGCGAAAACCAAAACAAACACATTAACACCTTTAGCAAAACTTATGCTGAAATAACAGAATAAACATGTCTTCTGTCGTCATCATGTTGATAAGCGCTAAACTCGCAGAACGAAAATCATGTTCGCTCTGTATTCGTGGAATGAGCAATTTTTCGCTAACTGAGTTGGACGATGATTTCCGGTGGAAGCTAATTGACTGAAAAATTTTCGAAAAGTGGCGGTCTCTGTTTAGTCTATTGAAAAGCAGTGACACAAGTAATTTCTTTCTTCTTCCCATTGAACTTTTAATCACCTAATTTGCTGTTTCTTAATTTGAAGCTTTGAATGAACTTTGACGAACCCAAATCCGTATAAATTGCTTCCTTTCAAATTTGAAAAGGTTTCGCTTTATTTTGTTACTTATATTCACGCCTGTAAGAAAACGTTTAATCATAAAATTGGTCCTGTTTTGCCAAAGTGAAGTTCTTCTCGACTGCGTTGTACAGCGTTGTTCATATGATCCAAAATTCTCTCGCGGGGATGTGGTAAAATTTCTTTTTTACAAAGTCACGTAATATCCTTATTGTCAAAGTGTTTTTTAAATGAACTGGAACACAAGTTAATTAAAAGAGAGAAAATCAAAGAGAATACGAAAACACCGATTTCGCTTTTCAATACGGGGTCACGACAGAAATCTGGCAAATACGAGCTGTTCAGTAATCCCTGAGGAGAGTCGAAATGACCAGAGAAAACATACGTCTTTTCAGTAACAGGTACACATTTCAACAGAATATTTACTCGCAAACTTGTTCATCAACAAACCACTGTCCGACGGATTAAACTACGGGTAGCAATTTCACCGGCTTTCTGTGTGGGGGCGGGGATTACCTTCGAACCCAGCATCACAAGTAATTAGACTTTGTTAGATAACGATGCTTGTTGAATTGTTGAATTCTTAAGTGTATGCAAACATGCAGACTTGCATTCAAAAGTGATATATTTTTAGCGGTCCTTGATAATTTTTCGGCAAAATCCATTGTCAATTGTGACGGGTGAGCAATCAAGACATTCGACGATTTATGAGGGCGAATTAAGATTCTTCAGTTATTACCTCGCACTGTGGACACAAGTGAACAAGGTTGTTAGACATTCAAGATGAAGTTGTTCAAAGCTTTTTACATGGTCGTACTGTTTGGTTTAACAAGTCTCGATGTTCTAGCTGAAGGCAATGGGTCGTGGTGGTAAGTCAGTGTATTATACTTCCTGATCATGATACCGTTATATCACTTTTAGCCTTTGTGCTGAAACATTTGAATCTCTCGCTCTGTAGGAATCTTGGCGTTAGTAGCTCCTCGAAACCCCAAGACGATTACAATTTCCAGCTTTCTCCTGCCAACGGTGTCAAACCTGTTACACCGAAGCAACAGCGATTGTTTCGGAAGTACCCAGAGTTGGTTCCATACATTGGACTCGGGGCAAAATTCTCTATCAGCCAGTGCCAGTATCAGTTTAAAAACAGACGGTGGAATTGTTCTGCTCATAGTCCTGAAAACGTATTTGGGAAGATTGTAAAAATAGGTAAGCTGGCTTTGAAACTCTTTGAAATTTTTTTGATTGATTTTTCATGTTTTTTTAGTTTCGTTCTAGTATATCCCACATCATCTAATGACAAAGATGAGTTCGTCCGTAACTAAAGCTATACCTTTTTGAACCGGCTTTTCCTTCTACTAAAAACAACCAAAATAATAGTTTCCTAATTCCAGGGCCATCTCACTTTTTGAGATTTTGCCGAATCCGCGAAAAGTGTTGAGTTATTTATTTTCGTTACATAGCGTAAAAGGTTTCTCAAGTATCCCCACGATGAACTGTCATATCCGGCTGGTCGTGTGCATTTGATTTACTTATTTCACTTCATTTCACCGCTTCCCAGACACTGCAGCAAGATGTTGAAAGGTAAAAAACAAAACAAAACAAAACAAAAAGCATATCTAAGAGAAGACAAAGGACTCTTGAGGCAACCGTGTACAAGGCTCCGTTTCGACTAAATTCATCATCTCTCATAAGCGAGAATCGTTGAGCGAGAAACGCCGAGATCAGCAGCTTTTTTCCGGTCGTTGCCTTTTAGAATTTAATGAACAACCCACGAAGGCAAATATATACTTATTGCATGACTCATCAGCGTATGTTTTATATTTATGGACGTTTGGAATATGCCAAATTTTCATATGTAATCGCTAATCTCTTTGATATTCATTCTTTATGACCTAACATATGCTGTAAAGTAAATGTAAAAGATTTCGGAATTAAGGCTACATCCATCACAAATAGCCGTTCATTGCTGCGATACATCTGTCTTCTAAGTAACTTTCAAGTTACTTGTTGGAATATGAGTTCGAAATATGTAGATCAGACTTTATGGCAATACGTATCGCTCGATCTTCCCTCTTTTTTTCGCTTACCCGAGTTTTTGCCTTTGCGCTGCAGAGTTTAGGCGCAAACGTTTGTAACAATTGTTAAATTTCGATATCAAAAACAACAACTCTACCTTAATTTGTATACTGAGTTCTCTAGCTTCGCGCCAATTTACTTTCTGATAACTTCACGATGAACATCTCTTCAGCTGGTTTTTTTTTGGATCAAAATTAATTCTAACGCGGGTGGAAGAAACTTTCAGCTTTGCTCGTAAGATGCAAATTTTACTTTCAAAGAGCAATTTTTCTATGCCATGATGGCCCCTTCACTAATTATGCAGGTGAAACTACTTGGCGGACTGTGACTTAATTTTCTCGTATCGGTTTTCTTACTGTCGGAAAAGTCTCGGCAGGAAAGGTGACACTATTATTTATGTAAACGCCACCTTTTAGGTTTTATAGATATTTTTTAAGGAAAGAAACTAGGAAACTTTTTTTAAACTCTGTTGTGCCTGTTTCAGCTTGCAGGGAAACTGCTTTCGCTTACTCAATAACGGCAGCCGGTGTATCGCACGCCATAGCTAGAGCTTGTAGCGACGGCAAAGTGACAGCCTGTGGTTGCGACAGTAGATACAAGGGAGTTACCAATGAGGGTTGGCAATGGGGAGGCTGTAGTGACAATATTCATTTTGCTGATCAGTTCTCCAGAAAGTTCGTCGATGCTGGAGAGAAGGGAAGAGATTTTCGCACTTTGGTTAATTTGCACAACAACGAGGCGGGAAGAACAGTAAGTTGATTTTTCTTTTTGCTCTACGTGTAAAAATTTCAAGTAATAATTGCAAGCCAGGGTAATATAAGCCGCAATGATGGACCTTAAAAAAGCCGCAGCCTCAGGCGAAGAGTGAATTGCTTTTCGGTGATGAATAAATCCTTTCCGACTGATATTTTATTACTAAAATAATTGAAATCCATGGACCTAAGTGGTGGAATAAGGCAATATGTGTTTCAGTTTGAACAGCTTAAAGAGAAAGTTTGAAGGATAATAATTTTGACTCACGAGTCGAATCTTTAGAATATTTAATAATTGTACTCGTCAGTCTGGCTGACGTTATGATAATAACGTAGAGGAATGTAGCAATCGCTGGGTAAAAGAGAACGATCGGTTGAAAAAAATCGGTACAGAAAGGAAATTACAATACGTATGAAGCTGGTATATTAATTTCATTTTATCTGAGCAATAACAAAACGAAGTGGAATAGAATAGTGATATCTTGAACTGGTAGCAGAGATTTTGTTATTCAAACAAATCGCAAAAGTATAGAAAAAGGGATTCAACCACACAGTTATAAAACCTGCAATTCAAGAAATAGACAAAGAAGTTGTCTTCGCAAATCAGAATGTTACCATATGGCTTTGTTAACGCGGCTAGCGTTAAATAACAAAGTCGCAACATTTAAAGTTAGAATTATTCACGGTAATAAGTGTGTCTGTGGTAAACCGTAATAGCTCGGTTTCCCACGTATTGACGAAAACCTAATTGCTCGGAAAACGTGGTCATGAAATCATTGTCTATTATTTTTCGCCGCGGCTTTTTCGCCGGCCATTAATTTGCATTTTATTACATTTCGCCGGTTTCAATGATGTTCCCACGGTGCTCAGAGGAACGTCTCGACCAGAAGTTAATTCAGTAGGGCCTATAAGACTTTTTATTGTATCATATTTGAACCAGCAATGATTCATACTTCTATGATGAAAACGGGGCAGTCAATCCACCTTCGATGTGTCTTTAAATCGGAAATTCTTTTTTAACGATCCAACACATCTAACCTTTCGCCGTGTATGTGTCCTTTTCCGATATTTTTGAGGACGGAGATGTATATTCTAACTACGTACAGAAACTCTCCTTCAAAATGATGGGCATTAAAATCGTTGCTATGAACGAGTTACTCCTCCGACTGATTTTCATCGGAAATGTTTCTTATATAATCGCAGTTCGCGTTGAAATGCCAAGTTTCCCAATAACTGATATCTTCCGATCAAAAAATTAGAAACCTGATGAAACAGCAAAGAACGTTCAAAACAATCCACATGGTGGCACCGGGGCGTCGAACTTTTCAAGAAACTGAAGTTTTGTTTAAAGTAACATAGGCATATTGTTACCTAATGTGTTGCGGACATCTTTCAAGCTAACTAAATCTTTGATCCTCTTTCCTAATGGTATAGATATTCACTGCCTCCAGCGGCGACGCTGGAGCCGTAAATCTTTCTCTCTAATACGAACCATCTAGTTGTCTGTTTAACTCCCACAACTTATTAACATGTAACATCCAGCAAACAGGTAATGGGAATACCCAAAATCAATTATCAGGTGGAAGTCGTTATCTTGATCTAACACCAAAGTCTCGTAACTATTATATTTAGGATGAAATGTGAAGCAGCTAGAGGGGCAAGTGACAATCAATCTTGGGAGGCAAAGGGCTTAATCCGATATGGTCAGCGTTTAAGCAAAAGGCTACGTTATTGCTTCCTGTGTAACTATCTGACCTAACAACTGACAAAAAGATATTTCCTTTTTCAAAGGCAATTCGAGAAAACATGGTTAGAGAATGCAAATGTCATGGAGTGTCTGAGGCCTGCACTGTTCGAACATGTTGGAGAAGGCTGGCTGACTTCAGACGAATTGGCGAGGTGCTTAAAGACAAATTCGACAGCGCTTCAATGGTAGAATTTGAACAGAATAACAATCGTAATGGTCATAATGTTAAGAAAGGAAAATCTTTTCGACCGAGAAATAAACTACATAAGCCCCCTACAAGAGCAGATTTGGTTTACTACGAAGACTCGCCCAATTTTTGTAACCGAAATCCTGACACTGGATCCCTCGGAACGGTTGGAAGACTGTGTAATAACACATCCCTCGGGACAGATGGGTGTGACTTAATGTGCTGCGGAAGAGGTTATACATCGAGTGAAAGCGAACTGGAAGAACTCTGCAACTGTCGTTTCTATTGGTGTTGTAAGGTGAAATGTCAGAGTTGTCGATCGAGGCTTACGCTTCATAGGTGTAAGTAATGTTAGAAGAGGAATTATCACGATACGGCTAACTTCATCGCTGCAAAGTCAAACCACAATCTCCTGATAGAACTTTCCCATGTAGACCACGAAGTATAATCAAATGAAGACCATTGACAAGTATCTTATGGGGCTCTTTGTATTACTATGTCTAAGAGCTTTCTAACTTTAAGTCTGAGAAAGTGACATCGATTTTCCCTGAATTCGAAGTTTGGTTGTTTCAGTTAAGAGAGGCGGTTTAATTCTTCTTGTACAGAAAAAGGCGAAGAGTATTGTAGAAAGATAAGATAATAAAGATAAAAGTTACAAGACTAACCAGACTTCCTTCACGTTTTGAACAAATAATTCCTACTCTAAATTGTTACTTGTTATAGACACACTTGAAAGCAAATGTATAGTTCCAAGTTAACATGTCAAAAGAACCATGTTAGGATGATTTTGATTAGCTTTTGTGTGCACTTTTAAAGTACATTTCTTGTCAATCACATAACGGCTCTGGGCCGTTGTTTAAAACTGTAAAATCTTAATAACACGTCGATTGTTACCAATATTGTTCAATTTCTTGTAGAAGAATTAGAAAATAATCGTTCAGTTTTATGAACGTAAGAGCGTCATAGGTAGAGTTATGCAGAAAAGTAAAGACGAGTATGTTAAAAAGTTTTGAGATTAATCCTTGTGATCTGTTGCGCTGATGTCTTGTCTGGTTCATTAGAGACGCAGTTCAAATGGAAGATTCCTAGCCTCTTTATTCCCTAAGAATTGATCTGTACTTATCTATTTTTAAGCTGAAAAATTGTGTCTCGATCACCTCTTGTAGTTACATTATTATCTGTATAATGTGTAATTTTCATATACCTTAGAGAAATCTTTCCAACCAAAGTTCTCTCTTAGTAGACCGTGTAGTAGCTTTTACATCCCAGCCAACTACTCTTTAAGAAGCCCCCAATAAAAGTATCATGTTCAAATATCAGCTACGAATTTAAATCAATTTAAGATAGAGTAAGGGAAAATTTTTATGTTAGAAACAACTTCTCTTAAAACCCAGATAGACTGTGTACTTGTTTATTAAATGAGGAATTATGTCAAAGATGATTAGGATTGAATAATCGTTGACAATTGGTGGAGTACGTTTTGTAGTCTAAGACTTTGTGCAGAAATCTTGGTTTCTTAGAAGGGGAAAAATTGTCAAATTTTAAACTTTTAGTACTTACACATAGGGTCACAGAGACCGTATAGTTGAAATAAAATAACTTTTATCGCATCTCCGCCTAAGACGCAGCATTAACTGTTTACCCTCTTCTATGGTTTGAACGGTTGCCAAAGAGCCTTCGTTGTGGTCGATATTTATCGCCCCCCACCAAACCAGGCGGTAGATAATGACTGGTCATAATTGGTGAAAATTTAGAAAACTGATAAATGTAAAATGATTTCCAAGACTGGAAAAAGTTTACAAAACAAAGTCTGATAAAAGCAACACTCTTATAAACTAGCCTAATGACGCAGATGTATTCCCACAAGTGAAAGCCGCTAAACGGCTTCAAACCCTAGAAAATTGGTTTTCTTGACTCTGGCCCTCTTATCTGACTCGTAACCTAAAGTTTAGAAAATGAAAATAATGATTTGTCTAAGGGCCTTTCCGAAATCTTGAATTTTGTGCCAAAAGACGGGGAGGAAATTTGGCGCTTGCCAGTCTGAACAGTTTTCAGCTGTTGTGTCATGATAGTGACGTTTGCTGATAATTTTAATCTTCTTTTTTTAAGCGTATCAGTTTCCATAGGTAGCGTATGTTAGATGTCATCAAGCACAACCCATAAAATCACTCGCAATGCTTTTTACTGAATTTTGTAAAGCATAAGACGCACTTCATGCCTATGCAAGGTCTGCCTGTTCTGGACTCCTTTTTTTTTTAACTACACTCGTCTTTTGCTAAAGAATTTTGCATGTGGAATGTTCTTGTTAATTCCAGAGAAACCAGTTCTCTTTATCCTGCTTGATGAGTTTGCCCTTTATTCTTCATTTGGTAATTTTTTTAATGTTTGATTAAAAAAAAAGGACAAAACAAAAAGTCGGAAGGCTTATCGATAAAAATTTTTTCTCCGATCTTTCGCCAAGATTTTTTCCAAAAGATTGTCTGGCAATCTTTTGAACGCCTTAGGTAAATTGTTCTGTTAATCGTACTTCTTTGGCGATAATATTTCAAGCCTGAAAAGGAAGCAACGACAAAAACAAAGGAAAAATCTGCGCACAGTGCATTCCTCTGAGTCCATTGCAGCTTAATACAGCTCAACATTAACTTAACAACGAATGTCAAGCATTAAAAGGAGTAGATTCCACTCCTTGTGATGACACATAAGATTGGGCGGAGGGAACATATTTCATCCTATGAGGATTAAAAGAACATTCTCGGGAAGTGAACTTGGTGGCATTTTATGAATTGTGTTTTCAGGGGAACCTAAAAAATTTTCTTGTGTGGTTGTTTCAATTTTTGGAGCTTTTACATACTCCTTTTCTATGTTCGTTCCAATTTTGTCAAATTTCTTCCACTGCATTTAAACAATCTCTAGGTATAAAGTCGCAGGAATGAAAACGCGAAAAAATGTTTCAACTAGTAGTTCACCTCATTTTTCCCATTTTCTAAAAAGTAAGATAAGATATAACTGCAGGAGATAATCATAATAGGAAGTCATTAGTGCCAAATAACTTAACAGCAGGGGGGCTTTAGTGCTAACTCGTTGAAGGATTAAGGCAGTACTTTAAGAAATGAACTTGGTAGAAACGAAAGGAGGGTCGACTGAAATTTGATGTCAAGTTCAAGATATAGCGTAAACATTCACGTAGACGTTGAAATGTTTTTTTCTCAGATATGGTCTAGATGGACTTTTGAATCACTTTTAATATAAAAGAATAGAGAATCTTTCGTTGCTGATAAAAATTACAAGAGCCAATTATCGTTTCATAAACGAAAGACGTGATGGTACGTATTAATCTCTTGTAGGCTTAAATCCTGTATCTTAGACGGCTGGATTATGATTTGAAGAGAACTTATCTGCAACTTATACATACCGATAAGAATATTTCAATGAAGGGGACGATAAGACTACATGCACATTGCCCACATCTGTTAAATCTGAAGGGAAGACAGTGTTCCCTTCTTCTGCTAGTGGGGCTGAATAATTGACTTATGTTTTTTTTCATTTTACTCTAGAAAAATGTCAATTAACTCAACATTCATTTACGATAGTGGCACCCTAAACTAGCTGCGGGGGTGCTGCAAATTCCCTCAAAGAGGTAAAGCAAAATGATATTCTTAACCATTCAAAAACTTTTTTTCCTCAAGCCTATTCAACGGTACTTTGTTTGACATTGTCCGCGTTTAAGTGGATAATAATTAGTCAGTGTTAAATATCAGGCATATTTGGAGTGTATTGCTAAAACCGTGACCTGTTTTGGAAAAACTCAATACTTCAGTGCTATTTAATTATTATCGAATGTCAGCGTACTGAATAAGGTGTGAGATAAAACATGCTGGTGTCTCAAACATTGACTGTGCTTTAGTGGCCTCAGAAGTGGGCCAATTAAAATTGTATTATACTGAATAGACCACTTGTGTTTCATCGTAATCTTCCTTAATGCACATATACCAGGATAGTCCTAGACAAGTTCACCGATCAGACATGGAAAGACGTCCTTCACACTCAGTCAAAGGAGAATTAGAATTTCCCCATTGCATGACTCGAATCAGTCACCAAATTCCAAATTAGATTTAATTTAATGAAAATTAAATCACAGGGCAAAATAATAAATGACGCAATCACAATGCTATGCAAAGGGTCATACCTTGCTTTTAAAATTCATCCGGACTAGGAACACGATATATTTGTATCTGTAAGCCTGTAATAATTTCCGATTCTGCTTTGATTTTTTTAAGTTTTTGATATAAAGTAATGCACACTGAATGTGATATGCGGAGGATTTTGGTTGTGTCATAATAAAATTTACCTGATCCCTCTTAAGGCTCTGTAGTTTTCTAGTAATCTCCACCACTCATTGACAGTCAGTTTCTGTGGTCTCCCCCCCCCATTTTATACTTTATTAGTAATGACTAATGCCCCTCCTTCCCTTTCCCCCCCCAGGCGAAAAAAATGACAGGTCCCAATAGTGTGTAAAAACAACTCTCTTCCTTTATAATCTGTATTTAACTCTGCATATCCATGCATAGGGCACTTAAGGATAAGTGAAACAACTTAAATGTACTGTGTGTTCAGTCATTTTTATAGAACCCTGGCTATATACAACAGTGTGAATGTGTTCTGTTACCTCACGCCTGCCTGAGTATTATCCTCTCAGACGATAAAAAGTATGTATTGCTCAGGAATGGACTTTTTCATAAAACAATGGTTGTTATAGAAAACAACAAGAAACAGAAATGAAGGAGAGCTGATCAAAATTGAAGTGCATCTCCATCCAAGAAAATCAAAATTTGAAATGTGAATCTTTCCGTGTTTCCATAGAGAACCATTTCAAAGTTCCAAAGCTGAAATCTTGATCAAGACACTTAGTAAAGCGACACTAGAAAAATTAACGTTGCAACCACCACAGTTGGCACACTTAGTGGTTTTTTGAGCTTTCTACGAGTCTATTGGTTGATCGAGATACAGAGTAAAATATGTAGTCGGTCAAACTTTTGACAAGCTTTGTAAAAATTTATAAATTTATTTTATAGCGGTCATGAGAGGTACTTTGGATTTAAACTGCCACTAGGTTCGCGGGATCTAGCCTTTATAGCACTCGTGCGACACACCAACTTGTGTACCAAACATCGTCCTTTCACGGGTTCATTTCTCAGTAGTGCGTTCTCAACATGCTTCACTGCTGAGCTGGTATATATTTGTCCGATACCCGTAACTCAGAAGAAGACCGACCCAGCAAAATTCGTCAGGCTAGTTGTTTTTTCTTTTTTATCTTCATCACTATTTACAAAATCAAGTCAGCTTGTCGCCCGTCTGTCTAGGCAACTAACCTTTTCTAAAACCTGAAATAACAGCACTCAAGACACGTGTACGCAGAGAGTTAGCTCTGATTGCAAAACTTCGCTGGAGCTGTCCTCACAAATTAGCAGATAAGGGTTAAACTGAGAGATCAAGGCACATCTAAGATTGCAATTCATGCAGCACTGCAGCTTACATTCATTACTCCAGAAAAGTAGCGATACTGAATAGGTTTGTTATTGTTGAGACAGGAATGATAAAAATGTTAAAAAAAACTGTAAGAGATAAAAATGTGAGAGATGGCAGTGCAGATAATGCTATTTTTAAAAGGAAAATCTATTTCAAGAAGTCTGTTGCTAAAATTACTAAATTTAGAAGCCTTAAAAATAGCAATAGTCATTGTTGACTGTCTGTTTTATTCTTCATCATCGGCCTCCTGGAACGAACAGGCTCCTCTTGTGACTTATTGGTATTAATCACCAGTTTTACCACAAATCATAGAGCTGAATCATGGAAATTCTCAGAGTAAATGTAGACTGACTTATGTGTAGAAAGGTAAGAAATGCTTCATCTTTTTTCTTGATAAGAAAAATCGTCTCTGAAAGAATAACGCCAGCTGTTATTGCATAATAAGCAACAGTTATTTCATACTCTATCGAGTTAATTTGAACTATTAAGTGCTCTGAAGTTTTTTGGATGAGCCGTAAATGTACCCACATGTTCCTTTTTGTTTTGTTTTGTTTGTTCGTTTTCATTTTATTTTTCAAAGTTATTTTGAACACTTAGAGACGACATTGTCATTTCAGATGACAGGCCTGTAGATCCCTCTACAACAGTGTTATTCGCTACAGGTCTTGAACATTCAGTTTATCTCCTTTTTTTACCACATCAACCATCCAGAAACCAAACGGTAATTTTGTAAGATTTTCAGTGGTAATAAGCTTTAGACTTGCATCGTTTATTTTAGGAACGTTAACGCGAATATGCTTCATTAATCGTCGAAGACTGAAAACAATCGACGACTCGTATTTTTCTTTTTTTTCATTTAGAATTAATTTAATTAAAGTTCATTCAAGGGTCGTTAAATGTTTGATAATTTTGTACCTAGAAAGAAGCAAATTCCGAAGGAGACGAGCATCATTCACAAACTTATAATTAGCTTAGTTGGATCCTGATCTTGCCACATGTTATCTGTGAAATATTTTACATTGTCAATGTCTGATGATGTTTTAGTCCGTGGCAGATAACTGCAAGTCGGAAGATTCAAAAGTTTTGTTTTTTTTTTTTTAACATATTTATTACTGTTTTCCCCAGGAGCACATGGGCCTATCAAGGAGAATACAGAACTTCAAAATTCAAAAGTTTGAAGCGATTCCAAAAGGAGTTAAACCTGTCACTTTTCAAAGTTCATGCTTCTGACCCTTTAAATTCTTTAGTCCTGCAGTCAGTCTGTTCCATTGCATTGCACTTAACGTCAGAGATTTCCTCTTTTAAATATTAACTTAAATCTGAAAGACGTTGTTTTGAAGAAGTCTTTGTGAAAGCAAGTAGCATCCAGTCCTCTTGAATCCAGTGATACAGATGTTGAAAGCGATGTTTCCATCCACTTAATCATTGCCGAAAGAGAATTTCATTTAAAGAATGAAGAATGTGATGAGCTGTGTTGTAAGCGGAGTAGTAATTTTCCAAGAGCCGTCGCTATGGCCTTATGGCCCCTTGAGGGGCCGTTTCTTTCGGGGCTTTAATTGTGTTTCTTTCTGGAAGCCGTTACATTCGGGGTATCCCTTGCTTCAGAGTTTCTAAAGTATCGAATCTCAAAGTGATGGTCTTACACAATGGTGAAAATGAATATGGTTTCGTAACCTTAAGTGTGGCGAATAACGCGAGGGGTGATGTTTTTCATTCAGAAAGCCTATTGTAGGGGTGAATGAATACTTACTTCGTTAAAGCGAACAAAGTGAGATTTCACTTGTTAAAATGCGTGTTTTTCTTCACTAAGAGGAAAACCCCTGTGTCATGTATTTTGAGTATTGTTTTAATTAAACATTTGTTTGATTCAAACTCGAAAAAGAGCTTCCCGTGAAAATAAAAGAACATTGATCGAAGTTAGCTATAAGTAATAAGTAATAAGTAACAGATTCCTCTTCGGTTTATGGCTGCTTGTGACGCAAACTATGAGTTGTACAAAGAACAACGACCGGTCATGTCTGCGTTTTTTCTTAGTTCTTAAGCTAATTGACAAAGATTAATGATTTTATTTCTGTGTGGACTGATAACATCAAGAATTAAAGTTTGCTTTTCGATTCCACAATATCACAAATACCTCTTAAGGCTTCTGAAAAATCAGCACGCTTTTGCTTTATGAGAGAAGATAACTGATGAAAAGCAAAAGGCATGACATAAGGGACTTCTGGGGTAAAACCGATGACCTGAGGTCTTTTAAACTCTATAAGCAGGTCACCTTACCACTTCACACTTGGTAATCCCGGAAGCTAAGTTCACCAAGCAAAAGGTTACACAGGTATCGTCTAACTCACATCTATTTTTTACATCAAGGTCCATTGTCCAGAATGCGTGGATTTAGATCCAACCCCCTTGAAGTGTGAGGAATCGAGCTCAGGTTCTTGACCATTTTAGAACGGCTTCAAAGTGGTTAAGGGGCGACGAAGCAAACAAATAGCTGACCGCGCTATCTTAACAGTGACTGAAGCAAAACTCTCCTAAAAAGGTAGGTCTTGATTCTTTGAGTTTTTCTTCGTACAGAGGGCATTACAGGCTCGGTCATTCAGGCGATTTGGAAAATACATAATTTTTACTCACTTACCTGCAAGGGATGTTCGCTTTTGACCGAGTGAATTGTGTAAGCAAACTCTAAGCCCTGATGTCATCTCAGCATGATGGTGCTAAGGTTTTGTTGCAGTAGGGTTAAGGGGTTAGGGCTCATACAGATATTTACCACAAAAAATATTTGACCAGCACTCCTAAGTCGATTTTCTATCGGGGGCGGCACTTTAGAACTTCGATGTGCACCACAATGTCTGGATTTTTCTTATATGATAATCATTAAAATGATACAGTGCACTTACAAAAAGTTTAGTATTCCCAGACGCATTGTATGCACATTAAAATGAATGCTCGTGACACCAAAATCTGTGCAGCTATCAAATCGCTTTCTTTGGCTGTCCTTTGATTTGTCGGTAATAGACAAGGGATTGACTGTGTACAGATATGCTCTACATACATCACGGAAACATTTTTCTTACAAATACTGACTGCATTCGACTGCTCAAACACTGTTTCACCATTTTAATGGCAGTGAGTCTTGATACATGATGGATCTGAAAGACACCGAGAAGACAATTGTAAAATATTTGGCTCAAAAGATTGAATAAGCCACTCCTTAGTGCTCCTTTACATTTCACCACGTTTTCGAGCGAAACAAGTGTCTCTAGTTAAGCCCGCAGTAGCATCATGGTAAATGATACTAGGATGGTTAATCCCCAGATTCACTCTTAACTGTATGCTTTCTTCGAGTATTGCTTTCAATTTCCGAGGAATCCTTTGTCTGTGCATTTGCGTATGAGTTTTTTCTTATTTATGAATGGCGCAGCATAAGGATTTAATGGAGATCAGGTGGAAACTGTAATTGCTCTAGCGGTGGTTTTTATGTTGGGGTTCAGTTCTGTGCATTTTCTCTGTTTCTGTGGTGATAAGTACAGCATGTGATGGCCTGGTCTTGATCATAAAGCATAAGGAGGTTTATTTTTAAATATAACCTTTTTTTCGAACTTTGTATTTCCTGTCCTAAAATGACCTTTTTACCTCTCCCATAACTTCATAATTAAGTAATAGATGTAAACATAATTTCAGTATCGACTACCACGCAATCAACTGTATAGTGTAGCTCTTGAACAGTTTGACTTCGCTCGTAAGTACACTTATGATATCTGCTACGGATCCACGCCAATTGAGGCGTGTGAAATAGTTAGTGTTTTGTGAGGAGAGGAATAAGAGATAACTTTGAGAGGAGCCTCCTACCAAATATAAAATCAACAACAAACTTAATATCATAAATCAAACAGGATATTGACTTTGGACCGGACCACGCGTTGGCCTAGTCACGTGACTATAAGGGATCACCACAAAGTCACTGTCCTACAGTCTTATGTCGCAAGATGGTTCTTTTCATGGATTCGATGACACGAAATAAGTTGCTCTTGAAGTACAAGTCAAGATTCGCATTTATTTCGAGGTTTCAAAGAGATACGACCTCACTTTTTAACAAATAGAAGTATGGACTAAAAAGAGTAGAGGCACGCGAAAGTAACCATCAATACTTCTTTCAAGAATTATCACGCATACCAGACAAAGTCTCAATAGTTTCTGTTATGCTTAAAATTGACATTTACCGGGTAAAGCGTAATGAGTAACACCACTTGAAAATATCAACTTTTATTTAGTGGAACTTTTTATCGTTGTGTCATTGTTAATTGAATCTGGCATTTCTTGGCGGAAGTTCGAATTTTTTGTGAAATGATTTACTATTTTTTTCTCAAACACCAGATCAAAGAGCTTAGCCTTTGTTTCAGAATGTTCCAGCTACTTCAAACAAATTCTTTGTCAAACGCACGACACATCATGAATCAATTTTGTTCGCAGCCTATGCGTGGGGCATGATGTATCATTAATATATTTTTTCCTTCAAAGGGGCATTGTATTTTCAGTGAGTGTTAGCTGATACATACCTCAGGGTGGCTAGAAATACGTTTCTGTTTTTGGAAAGCCTTTAATATGTCTGTTGATCTTAAAAAGTCTTCTTGATTGTTTTAATGACTGTGACATTGTGGCCTTGGAGAAACTTTACATGTTTGAATCAACATGAGACGGAGCTTGCTTACTCTGAAGAATCCTGTTGAAAACTTTAGCAGATAAGACCTTAAAATTTTTTGGGAGAAACTATGTTGTTCAGTTACGCAATTTGAATAATGGGGCGAGATGAAAAACTGGAGAGCACTTTAGAAACAAGTATTACTTACGGTCCATCCCTCACAAGGCTACTGGTGTGGTTATCGAGTGTTCTCCGTCACTCTCAACGCACTCTTAAGTTCTTTAGAAACATATGTATACAACTTAAAAATAAAAACATCCAAGTCTAGTCACGTGACTGGTCAAACCTGGTGTTTGGATTTGCGTGCAGACTTCTTTCCTGTCCAAAACAAAGGAAGGAATTAAATGTGACAGATGTCTGCACGGAAAAGGTTTATTTTCAATATTCCGAACAGCGACCACGGCCCCAGATTTTCTAAGGGGAAGTGTATAAAAATCGAGAGCTGATGAATTTATTTTTTCTTACGGTGATTGTTTTCGCTTCTCTTGTGTCTGGCTCAAGCTCAGCGAAGCTCCAGAGTCCCAGCACTTTCAGGATATACTCACATTATTGGAATTTAGTGATGTTCTCTCTTGCTCAAATTGCGTCTGGCGCGAATCCTAGCATGTGTTGATCGTTGCAATCTTATTAAGGATACTGACAAAATCGTTTTGTTCCACAAAATTAAGCAAGTAATTCAATCTTATCTCAAAGACAAATCTACTTTTTGCATCTCTGTTTTGGTGATTTTAACAACTTAGCGACATATAAGCCTTTCAAACCTCCCCTTACGTCAACTGAAAAGGGTAAGTTCTATAATCTTTAGGAGTTTCACGGGATTGCTGGCAATTCTTTGAGAAATGCTTTCCATTTTTATCAGAGGAATTCAGCTGAGTTTGTTGCTATAAGCGGCATTTTAGAACAAAGCCATAGCTGAACAATTATAAATCGATGATATTGCTCTTACTGATTTTAAAATTCCCTCCTGTATGACTAGGCAAACATTTATTATCATCACAGTATTGTATTAGTTCATTTAAAATGATCTGTGAAGGAATAAACATTCTGTTTATTTATTTCTGTTTTAAAACCTATATACAAACTGTTTCTATTGTTTTATTAAACCGACCACTTCTGCAATATTGGAGTTTCCTTACAGATAAAACTCGGTGATCGCCATCGACCAATAGACCTTAATCAACAATTGACAGAATAATAATTTTTTAAGCAGTATTGAAAATCAAGCTTAAGTTCTAAACAAGTAGCCTTGTTTACATATACATTTCGTGTAAGTGGCAGTTAAAGGCATTGCGCTTTTCGCAAATATCACAGGCAGATAATTCGCTTGCTGTCTTAAAGTAGCTTCTACAACGAAAACAGTTTCTTTTTCAAATTTTATAATATTATAGGAAAATAAAACACATGAGAAGTCAACCAAATTTATTGTTGATATATAACTGATTGTTATCGCAGCAGGAAAAGAGGCATGTATATGAGAAACATCAAACAAAGAGGGAAATATCAGAACATTGCAAATCGCTTTTTTAACAAAGATTCTCAGCTCCAAGAGGTAAATTTGTTGGGTCAAGAGAGTATGACTAAACACGCCTTGTGATTGCTATGTCAATATAATTTGGTCGTCTGGTATCATCGGAGAAGGTTACAATGTCTAAATCTTTGGGTGTAAAAGAATTTTTTTGAAAAAATTAATCATACTCGTGTCTTCAACTCCCTGGGTTTCATTTTGACGCTCTCCGGGTGATAGGATCGCAATTAAATATCGTTATCTCAGTGTTTGATGTGACCGGCCATTACATGGCGATTTCCGGACTGAACTGTTGCTACTAAGTCTCCTGATCTTTTGTGCCCTCATTAGTGAAATCCTTTAAGAAAACAAATGGGTATTAACATGAAATAATGCAGAATGTTTTGGTTGTAACGTGAGTTTATATAAATTAGTTAAAGGCGCAGAACACTTGTCGGAAGGTAATTTGAAAGGTCACATTTTTCTGTATAGGCTCTCAATCGTGAAGCCTGAAACCCTGCTGTTACTTTGAATGTTTGCAATAAACGTCGACAATTAAAAAACCCCTTCAAAGCTCATAGTGCTAATCAACTCCAAGGGGATTAAATGAAGAGTGTCTACTTCTGAATCCTTCAAGATGACACTGTTTTCATCTTGTGCTGTACTTCACTTCGACCAAGCTGTGGGTTCGATTGTCTTGGAAATTTGGTAATGAAGCTTTCATTTGGTCATGAAAAACCTGCAAGGTTCAGTAAAGGAAAAAAATACTGGTACAGCATTGCATGACTATTCCATCGTTGTAGTATTCATATCTCTATCAGACACAACGTTCAAGTGTTTACAATTTAGTCGTGCCGTGACCTCCAGCTGTCTGTTTGGATTCCGCTAAAATTGATATTTGAAAACATATATTAAATACTTTCCTCTAGCTGGGGTATCACTTGTCATAAGGAGTGGTTCTTTTCTTGAAAGTTGTACATAATCTTAACCGTTCAAATAATCTTTGTTGAGTGCATACCATTGTTCGCATGACATTTGACGTGACTGTCTCTTGTGTGTTTGTGTGTGTCCGAGCAGCAGGAAAGTTATTCACAAGTAAAGACGTCTTCTTCTCTCCTGCATCTCTTGCATTTGACTGTACAGCACCACAGAAAACGGCATTGGCAATTTTCTGTTACGACCAATTTTCTCATTCGTGCTCCGCGACCGCAGCAAAGCAATTGACACCCTCCCACTCCCATGCTTGTATCATTACACCGTCTGCCCACAGTGCCATGATAGCCCATATAGGGATCCGCTTTGCAAAAGTTTAGGGATTCGGTAGTATAAACCAAATCGAGTTCTGTTGGAGGTTTTATTGTTTCTCCCTCTTTGATTAACCGATCTCCGCTATTTCCTATAATCACCTTGATGGCAGAATCGAAACGGGCTTTCAGTTTGTCGCCCACGTTTCTAAAGAGCGGCATCTTTTTCCAACACGTTTGAAGAGAGCAGGCACCCGAGAGACCATGGCATTTGCATTCTGTTTGCATGTTACGCTTGACTGCCTAAGAAAGATGAAAGAAACCAAACAGGTCGTTACAATTATGAGTAACTAACTCGAGATTGATCTAGCTAGGTTATCTATGGCATTTTGGATTAATTTTATCGTGGAAGGTATCTTTTTCTAGAGTTGCGTTTCAAAATTTCGCCAGCTATCACTTTCCCAAGCGGCTGTTGTCTTTATAAGTTGCGGCACCTTTGTTCCAATTGAAAGTATTTGTTTCACGCGCGGATAAGTGTTAAGGATAAACTGGTATAGAAGAGACAAAAATAGTGGTTTACTTTAAATGAGACGCAAATATTTACCAAGGGAATTCGTTCGTGTCAACCTGCCAAAGACGGAGGCACTTGTCTTTCACAGTTTCCACTTGTAAGGTAAACTGTCAAAATTGAATTAACTACTCTGTCAATAAAGTTTACACTAGAAAATTAAATTCCTGTGAAGATTTAATGCGGTGGTGTGAAGAACTGATTAAAGCAAACTGAGCCATTTAGACGTCCTAGTGATCGTATGCAACCGTTTTATTAAAAGAGTTGGCTTGAAGCGTCTTACTTTACTTTTAATTGGGTTAAACAGTCAAATCGATAGAAAAACATTTATTTGTCGGTGTTCTGTGTTTAACGTGTTTGAGGAATCAGAAATTAGAGGTATACTGTTAACTCATTCTATTTAAGTGTAAACAAAGGTTTGAGATCCCACAAAAGGTATGCAAATATAACAAATTCGGTGATTAGTGGAAGGCGTATATGTAATTTAGCTTTTCTTCGAAAAAATTAACATTAAGATTGGATAGCTTCGCGATAATTGTTCGAGCGGTCGTGTAGGTGACAAATTAACTTTTTTCACGCCACTTGCGTCCAAGCTATGCTTTGTCTTCGTTGCTTTTAGATGGCTTATCGGCATTTCTGTGATACGTAAAAAAGCTTAAGATAGCAGCGAAAACAATCTGCTCCCGCCGGAAATCAGAGTTGATGCACTTTCGCAAGCCAACGCTAGTCTCTTTAACACCCAATGTTGTTATCAGGGCTTAAGTCCTAATCAAAATTGTACTATCAACTTGAAATAAATGATGCCACCAAAGACGATACAAACTCAAACGAACGGCAGATACCATGATCACAAAATGACCTGTTTTTAATTATGCAGCAAACGGCTGGCTCGTTACTCAAGTGCCGTGGAATCCAAGAGAATACGCGAATATTTTTCTTACCTCGTTAACTTAAACAAGCTTATTACTTAGCAGTAATTGCATGACAATTGCTTTCACAGCCTTTCAAAAAGGCACTGTGTTGTGACGAGTGCGTGTTTGATTGCTTAGCTGTCTGGGTGATATAATTTGGCGTTCCGCAACAGCAATGCCAAGTTTAAGGCCGGAAAACCAAGAACGAGCTCTTGTTTGTTTGTCGTTTATCTAAGTGAGAAAAGGATAGGGCTTTGGCAACTCATGACAAAGCTTGGTGTAACCCCGGAAATACTTTTCACTTACCAATCGTCCTGCTTCATTATTATGTTCGATTATCATGGATCGACCGTCTCTGTTTTTTTCTTCTTGCATCAACTGCCGCGACATCGCGTAGCCGTGATGGATATTGTCGCTGCAACCTCCCCATTCGAACTGCTCAGTTTCGCCGATGGGAAATGCCTGGCTTGGAACTTGGTTGTCTGTAGAAGGGTATTCGTTTCGAGGGAACGACTGAATCACATTGTTAGCGATGACTTGCTGTTTCTGTTGCGGATTTACTTTGCGGCATCCACATTGGTGAAGTTGACCCAACCTACATGCTCGCGTGACAGAAAAGGTAACCCCAGCCGATGTAATGGCGTAGATGAACGCCGTCTCTCGGTAGTCTGTAGAAAAAATAGAACTTTAAGTTGAATAGTGCTCTAGGTCGTATGTGCTTACTCATCGTTGCCAAGTGAAGTGGTTTGTTGTGCGATCAAGCAACGCGCCGGCCGATGAATTTTTCATGCAGAGTTTGTTAAGTGTGACCAGATAACAGCATTTGACTAGCGTTCATTATCGCTTACCGTAGCGAAGAATTTTCTTGACAAAATTCTTAGACGTCGAGCAGTTCCATCGCCTGTTTCTAAACTGCCACTGACACTCTTCGACGGAACCTTTCACCCCCCCAAGAACGGTAGAAATCAGTTCAGGCTTCGATTTGCAAAAGTCTTCCTTTCTTTGGAAGAATGACTGCGTTTTCTTACACACGACATTAGGGTCTTGTTGCATTGACGTCTCGAGTGACCTGCATTGACGATTAAAAGTACTATGTTTTAGTAATCTACTAAGCTAAGTAATATAGGGATTATTAAACCGCGGATTTCTGGTATGTCAGGACTTTTCTGACTGTGCACAGTACTCACCACCATAACGCAATAACTTTGCTTGAATAAATAACAAATAAAAATACACTCAGTAAACGGAGCTTCATGGCTCACTCAATAGAAACACTTGTCAATGAAAGGGAAGAATAGCGAATAAGTGCTGCGCACTGATTTAATGTGTTTTATAAACAGATGAAAGTATTCTCGACTCTGATTGGCTTTCGGTAACACATGTCAATCTTCCAATTTAATACTCCTATATTCGTTTAAAAATCCATTTCAGGTGATATGGAGGACATTAGAAGAGGAGAGAATCTAAGCCTACTCTTTCATCAAGTAGCTTTGACTGTCAAGTAAAGCCTTGCCAACTTGACTTAATTTTTATTCTGTTCATACATGTTATTTGGGTTTAGTAGGAAACCGTCGCAAAAGTTCCACATGCAACATACAGTGAACTGTATCAATAAATCCAAAAACATGCTCTGTCTCATTTCTAAATCACAATTATCGCTTTTGTCTAGTTCCTGTTTGAGACGACTTAGCATGAAAACAGACAGATTTCTCCGTGAATGTAATCTTATCTGTAGTAACGCTACTGAGCCAATTTGTTCTCTTAATTGGTTAGTTCACTTGTCAACAACAACTTCGGAAGAGACGAGACCTAACTGACCTTAAAACCTAAGATTATTTTGATAGCAATTTGCACTAGTCCTTGAGTGTTGAATTTCTCATTTTAGCATTTTTAGATGGACCTCAGCTGCTATGTTCTTACGCTACTAATGCAGTGGTTGCTGCTGACGCGAAACCAGAACGTTCACATTCATGTTTTATGAAAATTGTAGTTTCCTTTAAGTAGTTAGTTTCGTTTAATTTTGTGAAGGAGAAAAGGTAGTCTTCAAGCTTGAAATGTTCGTCAGAATAAAGTTTGTAGACATAAGAATGTATTTAGGCCAAACATAAACAGTCTACTTTGAACATAACTACTATTTTATTTTTGAAACAACTGAGTGTTTTCATTTTACTTGCAAGATGTAGATTAATTATGCGTTAAGCCTCAAATGGTAAAACTGAGAAATCTTCTGCTGATTTTCCATTTCGTGTTCACGAACGTTCTAAATTAATGTAATTTTTTAACTATCTCAGCACAATACTCTCTAGATTAAAAAAAGATACGCTTATAGTCGGAAATGAAATATAAATACTGTCAGGTGTTCTCTCCTGAATTCTTAGTACGTCGCCAGATAGACGAGTACAAAGGATAAACATGGAAAAAGTAGTGAATTTCCATAACTTTTAATCCGTAGTAAAGCAATAATGTACCGAACTGACTAGTAGTATGGGCATATATACAGCGTTTTACAATTTAAAGTGTCTTAAACATTGTGATCTGGAGTTATCTGCGCACACATCTCATCTCTCTAGTAACCGTCTAAGTCATAATGGTGTTCCCGCCACTTTATCTGAAATGTTTATTCTTTGCAATAGCTTCATTTTTATTCTTTTCAACTAAGAACTGTCATGAATGTTTCTTTCGAGGAAACTTTTGGCTTCGTATGTATCGTATATAAGTGTAACAAATAGAAATTAAAAAAACGCCAAGGAAATCGGTGTGGGTGTGATAAGCATTCAAGAAACTGTAACCTAAACTGCAAAAGAGTTGGGCCGCTTTGCAAAGGTTTTTCTACCCACCACGATGCGCGTGTTACGCTGATATTTGGTCGCACTGGTAAAATAGGTTTTCCCTGAGAAATATTTCCTCTACACTCCTACAGAATGTTTAAGAGGTAAAATGGATCGCGGAAAAGACGCAGTAAAAATTTTGATCGAAAAATCTCTTTGAAGCTATGATCAATTGAAGTTTTATGATTCTTAAAAGTATTTTTCAGTACACTGCAAATGATCGATAGACCGTGACTAAAGGTCTCAGACCAAAGGGATCCTTCTTAGTGACAATTGTTCGCCCCCTTGATGCAAGTAATTGTTCCTAAATTGTTTGTTTATCTCGTAAAATGTACAAGTGTATCGTAAATGGCCTCCTTGTCTTCGTGACGCTAGTATTCAGAGACCTACACAGCTGAAGATTCCTAAGCTTATACTTCAAGCCTTGGGTAACATATGATGAATTTAAATGGGGTTGCGCAAGTTAAAATATCGCACAAGCCGCTTGGTGTACCGAGGCTTCCGTCCTGGTCGACAACGCAGTCATCTGAATTTTCCTTGAAACCACGTTAGGAATGACTCTTAGTAGGTTTTTAATTTATTTGTCACTGAATACAATGATAGTAGTGTAAATTTCTAGAAATACCTCTACACTTTTAAACTGTCAGCACGTCAATTCCTTTGAGAGAGGACCTTAGAGCGGCTGTCATCCGATTACTCAGACTGCATTAAGTCGTTTTGTATCCTAATATTTCAACAAATTGTTTCTGAGGGGAAGGATTTCCAGTGCTATGCCCTTTGAGAAAGCGGCGAAAACCAAAAGCCAATCTCAAATGATAAATAATTAGATATTTTAATCCCCCTATCGATGACAAAACTCTTCTCAAGAGGGTGTCAATATATAACTTCTTGAAATTCTGGAATTCCCTGGTGGCCAAAATTCCTTGTTGACTATTTTATCATGGCTTCATAGTCTGTCGATTGCCGAGTTCTGTTCGTTTTCTTGTTGAGTTTTTCTTTTAAGCCGTGACACAGTCTGGAGAAAATTGACTCTAAACTGATTGTGCAACTGCCAAACCATATATGCCTCATTCAATTGATTTTATGTTAATAAGTTGCAATTTTCGTCGGCGAAAAATGTTACTCTTCTGTGAGCTGCTCTGAGTCCCAGTAAATTCAGTTCTGAATATTCTTTATTGAATTCCATTATTCCATTGTATTACTCCATCATTCCATGTAGATCTGTCAGAAAACTACTGTTGGTTTCCTCCGGATGTTTGACTTTTTTAAGAGGCCACAATGCCACTTTAAGTCGCATAATTTAACTGGTTCACATAACTGTACCTTTCTTACCGTAGTTGTTAAGTGCAAAGTTCGTTTTTGTTTCCGTTTGATTTTCCATTTTTTTTTATGATTTGTGGCCTATTAAGGACAGAATAAATGGAAAATTTGTCAATCTTAGTGTGGTCACTTACGGAGTAAAAGTCCCAAATGAAAGAATGTCAAATTCATCACACTCGAAGTTGTCAATCCCTTTCACAAATTCCCCGCGAGTATTCTCCGTACGGCTGAGAATATCTGCTTCAGTCTTCTTAAAATACAATTGAAAATAACTTGGACGTTCAGTTAAAATTGTGAGATATCGATAGTTATTGTTCTATAATTCTTCATTGGTCCTCTTCGGTTGAACATTACCATTATTCTACTTAAAACTGTCGGACAGCTTGGAACCAGTGGTGGAAAAGCAAAACACGACAATATTTTGGTACATTTTGCCAATAATCTTCCATGGCGCTAAGTCCCTTATAAATTTATCAACGGGGTAAAAAAAGAGTGAGGCCTGAGAACTTGATATTTGGCGAATAAAATGGGAGAAGTGCTACATCGCTTATAAAATGCTTCGTCCGACAAGAATAGGACATAGTGGGGAATGCTGGAAAATAAAATGCTTAGGGTTGGAATAAAAAAGAAATACAGTAGCTCAAGGTCTCAATCGAATCGTATATGTAATGGTGTTGGCTCCGTTAAAAGCATTTGTTTTGGCGTAGATCTGGAAGTGACGACTGTGTCAACCCAAAATTTTCTTGCTTATTGATATAGTTAAAAGTGTTTACAAAAACGTGGAGTTTCTGTCAGGAAAACGGTATCACCTAAACAGATTAGAGTACCTAAGCTTATGAATATCGTTCAAAACATATCTAGATGACGTTTGTTGTTAAGGAAAGCAAAAAGCATTTACTTGTTTTATTATACTGTTATCGTTTTAGTATTGCACAATCAACGAGTCAAAGAAGGGTAATAGTATCCCGTCAGATTGTATGTTTGCGTCATTTTACGTGGGTGTAATGTCAACGAAAAAAAAGACTAAATTGGTTGTTTGGAGTTATCAAACAATGGCGAGAGGAGTAATTAGGCATGGTATGCATTCATTTCCCCCTTGGCTTAGATGTTAGGACTAGCGATAGTGAAGACTGGACTTTTGAAGTGCACCCAATTTCCTCGTCATGCATTTATAAGGAAATGTACTACCAAATCATATTCACAAAGATCAATTCATTTAGCTGGGATCTTTACTCTAAAGAAAAGACACAGTTCCTATGTCCTTTGACCGTTTCAAAGTCTCCGTAGTCCGTCTAAGAGATCTGCCTGTCTTGAAAAGGGTTAAGAACAATGTATATGACTAAGAAACTGTTGCTGGATCTCTAAGTGACCGTCCTATAGACGAGTTCATCAAGCGGAGGTTGATTGGTGTAACAATTGAGCCTTCTAACTCCCTGAAGTGGTTTACATGTAATTTCTACTCGCACTGATTTTCAGACGTTATCCGGCTAACAGGTGACGAGTTCAGCCTTATCGGCTCTCTTATCAGCCTTAGGGGTTTTATCTTCGAGAAATTTTCAACTGAGTGTCGAGAGTGATCTGGGAGTGCATTCATTCTGCTTTAATTAACTCCGATTGGTCCAGAAAACTCGCGCCACTTTCTCAACCAATCGGATGTAAAACTAAAGCAAATCACGACTTGGTCGCCCTCGATTTCCCGCTCTTTAGGAAGTGCTGTTGTTTTTAGTTTGAGTTGTCATTGGCTCCTATGGGTATTTTCCTTTCTGATTTGCCGTTGTTGTTGGCACACTTAGACTAATTACGAATTTACTTGAGTCAATAATGAGTTATGGGCCTCGATGAACACACCTACGATCGCAGAAAATTCAAAAGTCGAACACAAGCAACAGAAAGCTTTTCTTCGCGAGCAGCCTTTTCCAATGAATGGCAAATACAATAAAAGAAGTTTTGTAAGGAAAACTGGCAGCATGTCCAGCGGCTTATGAATCTATGTAATGTCAGTCAAGGGTGCTTCACCTGTACGAGAAAATCGAAAGTACATGTCTTTTGCACGGATCAGACTTTTTTCCCCAGGTGAAGCTGGATTAAAAAAAAAACTTCCAACACCAAACATGACTGACAAAAAATATTTTCATCATGGCACTAGGAAGGAGTGGGAAAATAAAATTGTAGAATCATTCTCCGTTAATTTAAGTAAAACGAATAAAATTTTGGAATACTTCTGATCATGGTATTCCTTACCTACGGAAAAAAAACCGTAATAGGTCAGACCAGAAAGCAGTTCCCTTTTTTTATCCCACCAAAAGAAATGGATTTTTGGCACAAATGGAAAGTACCCCCTTTCATATCCAAAAAGGTCAAGTTAACTCTGTCGTACGAATTTGTAACCACACCAGGAAATTAAAATTGTTCAGTAGCCAGAACGTTTCCCCGTCCGCTATCAAAAATGTCTACTTCGCTGGAGGCAAAGAACTGTAGAGTACTTTGATTAAACTCTGCCCTCACTCCGTTTTTTTTAAATTGATTTTTATGAAAAATCATTTGGATGTTAGACAAAACCGCGTGGCGTGTGGTATAAAATTTAAATTGGAAAAGCTTAAAATAGGTAAATAGTCCGTAATAAAAAGGAAATCTGGATTTGACAGATATGAATGATCGACCTTCATTTTTAATTTCACGCTGGAAAAGTCTGGTTCTGTCTCAAAAGAGTATGCAGTTGAAACTATTTTTTGATCCACGTTCGCTTGTCTTTGACTTTTACCAATGTCCACTGAATTAGTTTTAAAGCTGTTCGCTGACAATTTGTTAGATGAAACAGAATGGCAATAAACGCGACAACCTTTAATGTTTGTGTTTTCACTCTTTACATCTGACCAACTACGTCTAGATAGTGGTCAATGTGTTGGATGACTTCGAAGCAAGACAGGTTTCAATGAATGACGGTTTATTTTACACCTGGGGTATACGATGGAGTGTTCAAATTGCCATTTACTTCAATATAGACTTAAAAGTCAGACTCAGCGATGCGTAGATTATTACAAGTCTTTTTTAAGAGTATTTCAAGCACCAAAGACATACAGAGTAACAAGAAGTCTTTGTAGACCCAATTGCAGTGAAATTCACACAATCAATTTCCATATCCATTTTGAGAAAAATAAAGGATGATTTTGAGGAAGCCTCCTGTCACGGGGAAGTAGTTTTCAAGAAGCTCTACACAATCCTTTAGTTCTACAATACCAAGTTTTAAACTTGAACTGGTCTGGTAAAAGATCACCCGATGTTTCTATGCTAAATAGCTTTTTTAATCAATAGGTAATGACGACAAACAAAAAATAAATGAAAAGTTCTCAGCTTAAAGCATTCTACGCCCAATTCTCATAAAAAACGACGGAAATAAGCTCTCTGAGACATCATTAACTATTGAGTTTTTTCCTTATTTTGGTATGTTTATTCCAATGACTTTTTACCGCGGCCAAATGCGCCAATAATGGCATGCAATAATCAAGATAACGATGAGAATAAAATGTTGCTTATACAAAGTATATTCGTACTTTGCTGAACTCGAAATCTTCTCAGGCTCAATCACAAAGTTCTCGTAGTTTCACTTCACTTAGTTCTGAAAGTATGTTATGGAAATCTTGGGATAAAATGGTGATGGTTCAGTACAAGTGTTTGCCTATTTGTTAATGGCACAGCACAAAGCTGGCAGATACTGGGCCAATAACTCCGACTAAACGCTTCGAGTGACAGCCCTATAATCTTTTCTATGAAGTGAGTTTCCATTCAGCGTAGTTGTTATAGAAATATCAATGTGGAGGCAAATTAGTCTGTATCAGCCAGTTATGAATGTATTTCTTACTGTGTGGTCCAGTCAAGTGAAACCTCTTATCTTTTATCGCCAGAATCTAAAACGTTCTGAGCGACAAACGATATATTTTAGCAATTTAAAACTAGGCGTCACTTTGCAAAGTCGCATGAAATAGAAGCAGGAAACAGGGAATTTGATAACCAAGCAGTGAAACCTCTCATTTGTTATCTCCAAACTCTGAAAATGTTTGCATGATAAACGTTAGAGTTTCTTGCAATCTTTTTTAAACAATGTTTTACCTCGCGGACTCGTGTGCCAGATAATAACAGGCTAAAAAGCACCAGAGTGCGGTGAAATGTACTTCTCTTAATCGATGTTAAGTAAGGTATATTTCAGAAATAGGGCGGATGTCTCAACAATGCTTTATCTTAATTGCCACTTTGGAGCCTTGACAGGTGAATGAATAACGTTGTGATATCTAATTCTGCCCCTCAGTTCTTCACAAACAATCAAATCGTTCTACATGATTGGAATTTGCCATGCCTCCGGGCATTGTCTTCCGCATTGAATGAATTTAAAATTTAGATGACACGCAACGGTTTCTTAGGTGTCTTTTCACAACATGACAATTCATGAAGGAGTGTTACAAAGCAAAAGAAGTAAAGAAATTTGCTTTCCAAATTTTTAGTAAAACATCACTTAGATGAATATACCTTCGTGATGAACTCTTCTAAATATAGTTTTGCTCTCTTGAGTGTTTCCGTCTAAGTAAACAAATCTCGATTAATGATATATTTTTATCACGTTCTTAGCGAGGAGCGATTGATCTAGAATTGGCAAAGCTATATGACTTTGTTCTTAATCGTGATCTGTGACACAATCTTGATGTATGTAGAGGGAGTTTTCAGAGAGTTTAACTGACAGTGGAGGAAGCGATTAGCGTCACACAGAAGTTTACACTGACGCGTTTGCTCTGAAACCAACCCTGTTCATTCGACATTATTTAAAGTAACCGGCGAACTGCTGGAGTCAGATATTGAAAAAAAAAAGTATCACGTTGATTCCTTTTCTCTGTAAGGACATTTCATAAGGAGTTGGCGTGTTCTTTTGAAAAGAGAGAAGACTTAACTTAAAAGCATCTATAATTTATGAGCAATATCAAGCTTACGAGACAGAGAAATTTTAAGAGACCAATACGGAGATCATTAAGGAACCATCATAACTACATTTGGCAAAGAAACAAATCAATGGTTACATAGCGAATTTCCAAACTCCCCTAAAGTACAACATTTCTTATTTATTATGACCCGTTTACTACGACAATGTCGCTTACGGCGAAGAAAAACTTGTTCAATTCAAATCCTCGCTTTCGATTATTACAAATAATTTCGTGATGGTATTCAATGCTGGTTTCAAGCTCTAACGCTCAAAACAATAAATCTCAATAAATTATGTTTAATCTTCACGGGAGATATTTGTTACCAGCTTTTTTTTTCCTCATCATCATTGACCTCATAATTATCATTTACTTTTGTGAGTGTTTGGCAGAAATAGCTTCAGGCTTTTTATTCAATAACAAAAACTATGATTATCGTTCTCGAAACTTCCTGTTTCTTACCACTCTCTGGATCTGGTGCAGTCTCGGAAAAGAAATTTAGAAGACGAAAAAGCAACAAACTTGAAAAAACACCAAGAATAATTTGGAGAAGAATGATCCTATTCAAAATGTTTTCAAAGGCTGGTATGCCTAATAGCCAACCTGAGATCAAAGAGGGCTTATTAAAATATCTTAGTTATTGACGGTAATTTGATTTACCCCGATGCATTGGATTTTTTACATTAGAATCCTCCCATAACAGCCACCTTGAAAACATGCAGAGGTAGCTGTTCACCGATGATGTTTATGGGAGTGTGAGATCTTTCAAATTTACATTTAAACAAATTCACTATTGAGCATTTTCTAACAAAACTTGCTTAGAGAGTCCTTAGGCGGTACCGGTAACGAGGAACAAAGGGTATTGAAGAACATATGGCAATCAGACAAATCGATGGAAACTTATATTAAAAGCCATAGTCAGACAACCTCGTCTCGCTCCCACAGGTCAAGTAATGATACACAAGAAACCTAAAAAAATGTCCTCTATTGGAAACCTTTTTAGGAACGAGAGAATGGCGGTCTCCGGCCAACGCTGAAGGTTGTCATCAAGAAGGATGCTGGCCTTGATGGTGAAGAGTAGTTTGACGGTCTACAACTGAAGTGCCTTAGTCGTTTCCGAAAATGTTCAGAATACTATCGTCGACTGAATTAGAATCGTAGAACTTAACTAAAAGGTAAGTCGAATTATAGAAATCTGTAACGGATAAGAGGTAAGTCCTGTATACTACATATTTAAACTCCTGATTATCTAAAAAAAATTTTTTTTAAAAATTTAAAAAAAAAAAGGTTCACAAAAATATCAATTAAATTATGATTGGTGTTATGTATGCAATTTTTGCCCCGTGCAAAGTATCATTTTACAGAAGAAAGTCGGTCGTTTCATGAAATGCACAAGACAACGGTCGAAATTGTTTCAGTAGAGAGCGATTGTTTTGTGTGAGCGCCTCTTTACTTAAAAGACGTGTGGCTTCTCAACCTGGACCCTATCCTACGCTCGTGAAAGCTCCGTAAAAGAGGAAGAACGACTCTTCACTCTGAGAGGTCCACTGATTTTTTTTTTTGCTCGCGCGACAGACTTAGCCGAAAAGGATGGGCTGCTCGTAGACTACTAATCTTCGCTTTATTAAAGTCTCAGGGTAAATTTCAGTTCACACAAAATATGTTTCACACAGCCACTGTTGAAAGGGTAAAAGTAAAAATCATCTCGTTTGATTGAAGACACATGATTTAAGTTTAAGTTATCGAAAAACTATACACGACTGAAAAATAAAAATATATATATATATATATATATATATATATATTATATATGACCAATTATGAGTTTATGACTCAGTCACACAAAGATAATATAACAAGCAATTGATTATTCAGTGTCGATAACAAATTATATAGTCAGTCGATGCAGTGAGATTTGCAAATGCTGATGCCCCACTTCCCAAGCCCGGTTTACCCACTGTTGTCAATATGCTATACAAAAATCCCTCTGAAGCTCTAAACATTGAAATGGTCGGGGACTGGGGGGCGGGCGGGGATTACCTTGCAAAGTGCATATAGTGGCTGCTAACACTCAATTTCTCATCTAAGATTCCAGTCATATCTGTTCGGTTATCTTAAATTTGTTACGATCATTCCACTGGTAACAGTACTTTGTTTATAACAACAACCAATTTAAACAAGAATGAGGTTTTGCTCGTTTCTAAATGATATCCAAACTTAATAAGGGTATCGCAAATGGCCCCATAGGAACCAAGGTCAAGGGACCAGTCATTTTTTATCGCGGGTGAGGGGGGAGCAGAGGATTATGGAGGAAATTACATCGTTATAAAGGGGGACTGTAGAAAATTGACTGACAGTAAGGGAACCATTAGAATACTGTAGAACCTTAGGTGACACAACAAAAATCCTCCGCCCCTGCCCCCTCCTTTTCCCCGGCGATAAATAATGACCGGTCTGTGAAGTTTTCTGATTTTATACCATTTATTATCAAAATCCAGGTTGAAAAAAACTTGACGTTTCTCGTTCTCCGGTTGCAAAACTATAACTTTTCCATACAGTTATATCTATACTGCGCTTGTAACTACAGATAGCATGTCTTGTACTTTCTGAACATTACTTTCAAAATAGGTGAACATTCTTTAAATTCCATCTCAACTCATATTTGGTAAAAGTTTTTCTCGTGCATATAGTGTTAGAATAACTGTCAGTTTGGAATGTTAATGGAGCCTCGCAACGCTAAATGGGTACTCAGGTGGACGAACCGCCGGAAGAAAGACTTAGTTTTCAAAGGGGAAACTGTCTTCTAATACGAAGCGAGAACAGGATTTTTCCAACTGATACTGTGATAGATATGTTTACACTATAGCAGAGTCAAGAAGAGGCTAACGCTACTATTTGCAGATGGTCACCCACGCTTTCTCCACGCACTCGTCACACAATACAAAACAACACCAGTTGAAATGGCAGCGACATCTTCTTTTTATAGTAGCGTGTATCCTGTTGTATCCTCTTGAACAGCAAAGAGTGTCACAGTTGTCGCTTCCGAGAGAATCAACCTTGCACATTCTTCCTTTAGTCCCAGCTATGTCTTTCGAGTCGTCTCTATTGCAGTAACTTGGCGAGGGCTCGTAATAGACTAGATTTCTTTGGAACTCATATTGTTTGACTGTCTTTGTTTTACGTGGTCGTATTTTGCCGCGATTTCTGTTGCTCGCTCGAATGAGAACGGCATACTCGTAATTCTCCATAAGAATTGTTCCGACTTCTTTGAATTCTGGAACAGTCTTCCAACAAGTTCTCATAGTGCAAGAGCCGGACACACCAGTGCATTTACACTTAGTCTTCATGTTATCCAGAACAGCCTGTAAAGAAACGAATGTATAACTTAATAATTTTTCCTTGAGCATGATTTCTGACTGAACACATATTTCCGTGTTCTTAGGCGCCCGTATGTCTCAGAAGTGTTTCAAAGAGTGTTTTGAACTACTTCTCAAATAGTTCCTTAAGTGATAAATCGGAACAACGCCCGCATTAAATTCGATGGCGCTTTGTAACAGAACACCAAAGATCCCGTGTCCTGGAAGCCAGGCCTCCCATGGAGCACCTGAGTAATTAGTGTTATCTTGTGGTTGGAAAACGTGATTTTACACGATGTCCTTATGACAGCGTTCATCAGCCCATATTTTGTTGCGCCTAACCCACATTTGAAGACCCAGCAAGCTATAAACATGGAGGCAAACTGGTAGAGAAGGATGAATGGAAAAAACAATTCTACGAGTGAGCAAGGAAACGAAGTGAAGGCCAACCGTCCTTTGAACCAATGCACGAACGAATTAAGTCAGCAATCACCCTGCGAGGTGGACACAGTCATCTCACTATGTACGCTGAGTAATTTCATCATGATAACTTGGTAAAAAATAAAATCGCACGAGCACCGAAAATTTCAAATTTTTTATGAGGTTTACCGTACCAAAGGGCATAAGTCTCGAAGCAACATGGTTGATAAACAACAAACATTTTACGTAAACTTCGGCAGTTTACGCACCATAGTTACTGTATTTTAGGGATAATGGAGAGAGTTTTTAATGCGTGCATGGTTCTTAAGTTTGACATTTAGGCAGAGTTAAGATGAACAGATTCGGAGAAAGTCACACTAGGACAAGGCTTTTATTTCCTGAATAACAAGTGCAGATTGATCAAGAAAGTTCTCTGAGAAGTTAAAAGACTTTCATTGTTCAACCAAACAGAGTCTTTTCAGTTTATCAACATTCTTTTAGGGATAATCATGTTTTAAGCATTAGCACATACACATGATCTGATGTGTATCGATGTTTTTATTTCTTCTTTCCGGATTTTAACGGATGACAATGAGGTATTCATGTTACAAAGGCAAACCGCCACCATTGTCAAGTGTCTTTATCGAAATCTACATGAATCCATCAGTTCTATTTGAAATATTTTAACAGTAACTAATCCTCCATAAGCGGATCATGTAGAATTTTTCTTCTCATTGAGTTACATAGTCTTTGAAGTCAAAAGGATTTAATGAAATTAAGTTAAAAATGATCCGTTTACCATTAAAAGTTCTTAGGAAGGTGTGGCTCGGTAAAAATGAGCGCACAGGTTGTGACTCAAAGTTGAACGGCGGTAAATGTCCAATTGGTGTGAATAACGCAGCGAGTCTCATCACAACCATTCCAAAGAGGAGGGGGGGGGGGGCTTGCTTACGCTTTCTTCCATTGCTTGAACCCCAAATTACCAATTTTCCCAAAGTGGTAACGGTGGAATGGCATAGATTTCCCTTTTTGTGTAAATGTTCTAAGTACAGGATAGTACCAAATGAATGTTCTGCTTGTGTTCTCATACGGTTTAGAAATAAACTTAGTTTAGCCAATTAGATTGTCATGCTTTAGAGTTTTAGCCGCAATTCAAAAAATATTCAGCCACGTTGTAGAGCACGATGTACAGTGCCACTCAAAAGTACTGTTAACTAGCTTTCATTTTAACTATTACACACAAGGGCATTTAGAGGAGACCAAAAAAAGAGTCAAAACTGTCTTAATTATTAATCCACCGACTCGCCTAAAGAATTTCGTTGATTCTTAAACCAGCCAAAAACTCGCGGCTGGATTGAAAATCAGAAAATTTAAGATAAAGAATCTAACTTCTCAAGCTTTCTTGATCAACCATTCTGCTACAAATATTTGAAGAATCGTGATAAATAAGGGATGTTAATGGACTTGTCTAAAAATCAATAAAACAGTAGATTGGTATCGTCCTGAGCTGTAAGATTTTCTTTTTTTTATCGAAGAGTAAAGTAAGTGGTAATTACACGCACAGGACATCTGGTAAAGTAAAAATGAACCACTACACTTCATATGTCACAGGTAATATTTCATTTTTTGTTGTTTCAGCAATCATCCATGTAAAACTCATTTAATACATAACGAATGTCTACCACTTAACGACGTGTGTCTTGATTTCAATGAAAAACCCACTAGGGTGCATAAAAGTCCCTCATGCGAGTAAAAGTGTGTGCTAATTAGATGTGCAAATGTGTGTTTGCCACGTCTTTAATAACAACATGAGCTTTATCCTACGGAAAACTAACGACTTGATGAGCAGAAAAGTGTTCGAAGCCAACGATGATTCTAGTTTATGTCGAGAACCTGACACCGTGCGAAGAGCACATGAGATGAACGACAGTGTTGTCCGGGGGAGGGGGGTACTTAAGTCAATTTTTGCTGCGTTTGTACCGTTGGCCTATAAGAGCCCTTACTACGTTAGAGTCTATTCTGTGGCCAATTAGACCCCATTTTAGTCACTTCTGAGCAAATGTAATTTTTGCGATCCCGACTTAGTCACTTTCTATTTATGCATCTACCTTATTAAGTTAGTTATCCTAAAATGAATTGACAAATTAAAAATGGTGACAACTCATTAACTGCATATCTTCCCATTTTCAAATCCATACTTACCAGGATTTTCTTACCCCAAACACCTCGAAAATGTGTGCCCGCATTCTAGTAACTTTATGTAAAATGTAACCCCGTGATATATAGCCAATCTATTCATGAAAATTCGAATCAATCCAGCAGTAGAACCCCCTCATCTATCACTAGGAAGTATTCCCCCCCCCCGGGCTATTTAGGTACTAAACTATTTCGCTGTATATCTCTGTTGACGCTTTTCTCTTCATCCAAAATATCTGGTTCTAATTATCTTGGAATTTCCCTGCTTTTTTACGAAATGCCCTTTTGATCTTCATAAGTGAACGCAATGTGTAAAGACGCCCGCCTGGTCCTTTTGATACACAGACGTCTTCAAAGAGCTATTAAGCCAATTGATTCAGACACAGCGGGGATTTCTCGGCCCTTTTATGTCTTCTCTAAATCAGCTAATTAACCGGCCCGGTATTACTTCCAGATTTGCTCATTATCGTCGGTACATATAAGAGGAAGGGATAATCTGAAAGCACGAAAATCTCCCCGAGCGAAAAAGTACCAAGTAAAGAGGTTAATTCCCGAACAGGAAATTACCATTCTTACGTCAAGTACTTCCAGACCTTCTTCTAAATTCACGACTTTTTTCAAAGGGTTTGGTATCACCTTTAATAATTGGATCAGAAAGCGACTGATCTATTTTAAAATCGGTCCCTCACCTCTTGTCTTTTCAAAGGTACTGGTAGCTCCTAGATAGGTATATTTATCAAACGGCCTCTTGACGATAGGAAACTCCTGATGGATTTGCTAATGCGCAACTCTTGTTGAAATAACAACTTAGGGTCTGAATTGTTTTCGAACAAGTTTCAATAAATCAAATCTTAAAAACTTAATAACTTCTCTGAAGCGGGTTTGACACAAAAATGAAACCACAAAATGTGTCGGCAACTCTAGGAAGTGATGGGAAAATCCAATTATCTGAAAGTACCAGAACATAGTACCATGCACACAATCCGATGAGATGCACGAACAAGGCTAAAACCGCTGCAGTACCTATTTATACAATGAGGTAACGTATTATAGGGCAAAAGCTAAATTTTATGGAGGGATTATAGCATTCCGTGCCTTTTTTGAGCGTTCGTGTCAAGGTTGCCAAACACGTGATACAAATGTGTCATATCTCTGACCCTGCGTGCAAATATTCCAACACAAAGCATGCATGCGTAATCATTCTATGATACATTTAGGAATTTCAAAAGAGCCATTTAGCAGACGACAATGACACACAGGTACCGCCGAATTGTTGGAATAGTCTGATGTAATGAAACGATGGGGTAAGAGATCTCTTATGAACGGACATCCTAACTCCTCTTGAGTGGAGTCGAATCGAACCGTGTGATTTTGACCTTTCGGTTTGCGGATTTATCCCCCTCAGGTAACCATTCGAATATCACGTTTGGAGACAACTTCTCCGTCACGATGTTTTAATTTCGATTCTCTGATCGGGTGAAGATTCGATGAAATGTGTTAGACTTGTGTTTGGCACCTCTTAAAGGTTCAGTGGTTGTGTAAAAATTACAAAGGGCTTGTTTTCTTACCAGACGTCCTGCTCGATTGTTGTGGAGGTTCATCAGCGACTTTATATCTGTCCCTCTTTCCCGAGAGTCCATAAAATCGGCAGTAAACACGGCACCGTAAAGAGCGTTGTCGCTGCATCCACCCCAGCTCCAGCCCCGACCCTCTCCTTTGACGGTTTTGTCGCATTCGCATGTTCCAAGTTTACCCGCGCTGCAAGATGTTGCAACTGCTTGTGTCATGCCGGCAGATATAATAGCGTGCGCGAACGCTGTCTCTCTGAAACCTGCAAGTTAATTGAAGAAGTTTGAGACATTATCTAGGCAAGATCTTGATGGCGATCAGAGATAGGATTGTCAGGCAACACCGGAAGCGTTTAGAGGTGGCACAGGTGAAGATCAAGGCAAAGATTAGAGAGTGCCCGTTTAATAAAGTAAACATATTTTAGGAAAGAGACTAGGATGTGGTTATATAGTCAAAAGGTGGTCGTAGTAATACAAATCTTCCAACCTGCTGTGTATGTGATTGATTCTTAGCCGCCGTACAGCATAGTCTTCGTCGCGACGAGTAAATAAAACCAGAAACTAAGAGCACTTAGTGTATTTCAAGTGAGATAAATCAGTTTAATGTTGATAGTGATGTCGGAACTTAGTTAGTTTCTTTTAATGGCGTTCGGCTTTCTTAGGTGCCTAAAATCTGGCGGATAAATTTCTAATGAACGGATTAAGACTCTTCTGTTAAGTATCAAGGTCTGCACCAAGCTTTCCATTTTAAGAGGAATTTAAGATTTTCGAGAGGACATTTCACTACACTTAGACAATGAACCTAACAATCTGAATCGGATGAGATCGAAAGGGCTAACATGTGTTGCAGTTTAGTAATCTACTTAGGCCAGTCGAATCCTTCTTCGGTATGTTTACCTTTACAAGAGTGTTTATTTGTTACGTTAGACCTGGCACTTGGAGGAGGCCATGTTACAATCATAAACTTAATGGGTTTTACCGCGTGACTTATATTTACACCTCTTTGTCAAAGTACAGGAATCTGTCCGCTTACGATATTTATGATGCTAAATTAAGAAAAACCGAATGATAAGGCCTAAAGCACGAAAACAAAAAAAAAAAGGAGCGACATATGGAAAGATCAAAGGGCCTTGGGTCACATCCAAACATTTGCAGTCTTCCACCATTTAACAGCATCTCTTGTTTATTTTTCTTTCAATAATCCCTGCAACTTATTCAAAAACCAGAGCTGCTTACCTGAAATGCCGCATAGTATTTACACAGTAGAGTGATTTGCCACTTCCTTGAATTGGATAAATGGCCTCACCAGGAACGTTCAGAACTGAGATTATAAGCCGGATTTGTGCTCAGCATATTAAGCCTGTATGCTTATACCTGTACGTACTAACCTCTAGCTAATAAGTCACTCGTCAAGGGATTGCCGTTTTTGGTCTCCAAGGACGAGCAGTTCCATCTTGTGTATGCGAACTGTTGTTGACATTCATGTACCGCCATTTGGGCTCCTTGTAACGCGCTAGCAACAACATCGGCTTGCGTTTTACAAAGTTCCAGTTGTTCTCTGTTCAAAGACGGTGTGTTCTTACAAACGGTGTTGGGGTTCAGTATTGGATCAACCTCCAAAGGAAGTCCCGATGTTAGAATATCGTACCCTGAAAGTCTAAAGCGTAGTTGTATTGATGAGATGTTAAAATGTTGACGTTAATGAACATTTTGAAAGTCAAACCGTGGGAAAAGTGAGATAAGGAAGCTTACCTTGTATCACTTGATAGAGCGTGAATGCCTAGAAAAACACAGGTCAGGGCTATCCTTGTCATCAGTGATAGATGCATCATAACTCGTTTGAGGGGACAGACGGAGCTAATGCCTTAATTCGTGGTTCAATGCCGTGTGGCTCTTCAGTAGAGCTACTTAGAGACGTCGTGTTTCCCTAAAGAGGACTCCCGTGGTTGTAATGATGAGCCAAAGGTGCAATAAGTTTTGAAATCCAATTTCAGCTCATTGCTACCAGACCGCCAACCTCGTGAGTGACATATCAAAGAGCCTATACTTCCATAACTGCGCGTGGCATTAGCGAATGGCTACAACGGAAATTCATCAGTGTTCATCAGTTAGGTAATATGGCCTCGTTTGGCATGCATCTAAATAAATGAGATTGTTTTCTCTTGATACTAGACAGGGAATAAGACACCAATTTAATCACTCTTGTTCATTGACTTGGGGGGATGATCACCAAGTGCAAATTCCGCAAATCATTCATAAAAACTAGGGATGTTTTTGTGTTTAGTTTCACCGGGCATATTACAAATGCAAAGAATGTTCTTTTGCTTTCCAAAGATGGCACGTTTTTCGCCATGATGACAAAAATGAAGTGTCACATAAATGTAGACATAAACACCCAATGATGTTCTAAACAGTCTGTAGGGGGAAGGCCTGTGGCATAAATGCGTCATGAGATATGCCAGGTCACCCCCGTCGAAATAAACAAAATATTGCTCAGCTAAAAACAGTTTCGCTGATAATTCAATTATCAAACCTATCAGTCTCAAATTTTATCAGACCGCCGCTTGATCAAACATATTCTGTTAATCTTCGACAATTTCTTTATTTTCCCACGAGTTTATGGCATAACATAACTAATCTGTTCAAATATGTTTGTGCGCCCCACTCTCTCCAACCTGTTTCATCCACCAAAAATAGACAGCTCACTGTAAAGGCGTGGAAGTGCAACTACAATGCTATCAGATTCTTCGTGACGTAAATTTAGACTGATGTTTGCATGCGCTTAGGTTTAAGTTGAAATATCGAAAAATACAATCCCATTTCTCATTTGACTTAAGCTCAACAGACATTTCTGAGCACAGTTTCATTATCAAACCGAATCCATGCGCTTTGAGTATTGGACCTTTATCGCGATTTATTTATCGTTAACTTGCTTCCTACGTCAGGTCAGTAAAAAAAAATGAACAGTTTTTTTTTCTAAGTGTGATGAAAGGTACAGAAATGTGGGTCACGCGAACTTACTTAACGTTATCTATTAGGAAAAAAATGGAAGTTAAAACAGGATACGCAATGAATTTCAAAACGTCCGACGAAGCTAAAAACATGGTACTTCCTATCCCATCTGATAAAGCAAGGTACTTGAATTCACTGCTAAATATTCTTGGTTGAACTCCTTAAGTCTTGACCATGATACTGGAACTCAGGGCTGGATCATTCGAGACTGTTCTTGGAGTAAATAAATAAAGGCTCGATAAATTTTTCACTGGGTACACAAGATTAAAGCAGGCTGTTATCAGGCAATGACTCAGGGAAAGCAACTTGTCAGTGAGTTGTCAAGACATTGACCCCAACCTTTGTACTTATGTGAAGAGGGTGATCTTTTGTTTGGATAATTTTGCTTTTTTTAAGTCAACGTAAACTATCCAATTCAAATTAAGTGATGTCTGGTACGACGAAGACGGGAGATTTAACCAGGTCTGAAGCATAAAATTTTTATCGGATTAATTGGCTTTGATGTTGCTCATTTGTTGAAAATTTCACTTTTTTAGCAAGGTATTTATTCTAATTATAAGCGAGCAAAAACAACCATCGTGATAGAACATTTGCTCTCAGTTTATCGATGAAATCCTGCATACATTCGTTGCATACGTGATACATGAGGTAGATGTGGTAATCATTATGCATAAAATAAAGTCACCCTAATATCCCAATCTAGGTGAAAGAAGGGAGAGCGCATCATACTCTTTACTACTATGAACAAGGTGTTTTAGCTCTCAAATGTAGACAAAATCGTCTGTGTGTGGCAATTAAACAAAGCTTAACAAGCCTTACGTATTGTGCAGCCCAGGTCGGTTCAAATCTTACCTAATAGCAATGTTGGTATCATCATTATCCCGAATTAAGACATGTATGGTTCCTTAGCAGATTAACTCCTTTATAATCTGTCGAATACCTGTGTTTTCGATGTAGGCAAGACTTTTTTTTACTAATTTCACGAGGGCTGCATAGAAGTGGAAGTTGAAAGTAGGGAATAAAGCACAGTAGCTTTGTCAAAGCTAGTGGTAGCGGGGAGCTGGAAGTGAGAGTGGGAATGAGATTATGGTGGGTTGAATGAAGAACAGAGGGAGAGAGAACCATAACTTTCATTGGAAGGTGATTTCACTCTAGTGAGCTCTTTCACAGTTATTCTAACTAGGAACAAAAATGTAAGATATCATCGAACGTATTTCGATGTTGAAAAATCACGGGATCTCTCGGTTTCTTTGTCTTTTGACGCCGCAAAGATTGTAATTTTTGGCTTCTTTGCCTACAGTATAGACCTGCGCGTGACTCTCTCTCCATGACCTCTCACGAGATAATAGACTAACAATGAAAGACGTAGGAATATGGTTGTTCGTTGGCCGGGTGGTTGATGTAGGGACAGAGAGGGGTTATCGTCGACTCTTACACTTTTTAATCAATGAATCACCGTCGACGTACACGATTATACTTTTTAATCAGTGGATCATGAGGAGCTGACTCTCGTGTTCAAATATGGATGCCGGAAATTTATATCATTTTTTCAAACTGTTCATAAGACAACATTAATATTTCAGGGTTTGGCTGTGAAGGCGTTTTATTTTGTTAGCGTAAACTTCAACGGTGCCAACGGGAGTCGGGCAGAAGCCTACATAATTGTTCTTCTTAAAATAAATACGAAAACAATGATTTTAATTTAAGTTTTAACGGACCGGAAGAAAAAATAATAGAGACCAGAGAAAACCTTATGGCGGGGATATTTGAGACCCGACCCCTCCCTCCCTCCCCCTCTCCCTCAACTTCCCTCAGCTTCCCTCAAATCAACTCTAAATAACTTTAAAGAGACACTGAAATTATTTTTGAACATTGCAGACTAAAGAATAAAATGCATTTCAAATACTGATGCCACAGCGTTTGTTGAGAATATGTATACAAGTCCAAAGGAAAGGGGGCGACAAGGACCGTGATGTGAGATACCCGGGGTCACGGAAATTCGACTGTAAGATTTTCATCGTTACGTTTTCAGTTCATCGTGAAACTGGTCAAATGATATGATTATCAGCCTTTTCGGGCGGTATTCAACATCTTTGAACGTGAATTTATCCATGAAATCTCTTAATGTGACTGGTGTTGATCATTTACAGTTATTATGTTATAATCGTTTTAAAGTGCTATTAGCTCTTAAAGGTTACAAACTTAACGCCCTGGCTTAGGAGAAAATCAAAACAAATGAGAAAAACCACAAACAGAATTACCGTCAACACCTTGTTGGTAATTAATATGTTCCAACAATTGCCTTTCCAGGGTGTAACGTTAGATGTTAGTTGCCTTCTATCAGACCCCTTTAGAGCTTTAAGGATCCCTGCTCTATTGAAAGGTTGACCATTCACTAAATTAGAAAATTTTCATTACACATGATTATGATATGAGACTGGTGTAACTTTTTAATTCTCTTTTATAGCTCGTCCCATGCGCTAAGGTAATGTTTAACGTCGCGAGTCTGAAACGTGAGATAAGCATGGGTCACCAATAACGAGATGTAGATTTTTTCTCTCGTATTATTTCATTTATATCGGATTTGGGATCAAAAGAGTCAACTTCTGGTTGTATCCCTCATGCAGAGATTGATCAATTTATCATCAGACGCCACAACGGATAGTCATTCTTCATCACAGCGATTACTTTTTGCGGTGGCCAACATTGTAGAATGCCAGAAGATTTTGGCGTCATTCTTGGATGACTGTACTACGTTTATACTTCTCTCCGTTGGCACACGAGCAAAATTGTTCTACTGAGCTATTTTAATGCACTACGTGACAAAACCTGCAAGGGATGTATATCTTATCCTAATCTCATTTTCCATGAACCTCCTGTTGGAGTGGGGTTAGAATAATTAAGTTGCAACGTGATCGAAGGTTACTGATTGACACACTGAGCCAACCAATATGTTGTGGCTCGTTCCAAATTCACAGTTAAAAACTCAAACTGCGATCAAATTACGTAAAAAAAACCTTCTCATGGTATTTTTTTAACGGCATAAAGTACATTTTCCTGTTTTTGATGACGGGGTTGTTTGTAGTGGCGAAAAGTTTGATATCATGTTGATAACTTTGTCCTCAAGCTCAAAAGCCCCGTGGGAAACAACCATATTGTTAATTTACCTCTGTCGGTTTGAACTTCCAAACGTTCCCACCCGGATATGCATTAGTTCCTTATTTAACGTGATCTAGGAAATTCGAAATAATAAGGAAGAATGTGATGAAAGAAATAATTTGCATGAGTGCGTGTATCTGCATGCAACGTCCAACGAATCCAATACTTCCATACCTTCTAGTGCCAATGCTGACTAAGCAACTACGTCCCTCTTTCATCATAGCTTAGATGAATGATCAAATCCGCAGGTGACTCGTTTTTGCGTTTTCGAGGCCTACACACCCTGTGGAATTAACAATAATACCACTCAACGAAAAACTTTCATTTCTACGCGCATCACTATTGTCCTGCATACTGCTAGGATCAGCAAAAACATTACGCAATCGACATTGCTGATCCTAGCAGTATGCAGGACGCGTTTCATAAGAACTTCGTAATAGACCTCGCTCACCGAAGAGTCTTCGTGGCTCAGTGGTAGAGCATCGGAACGCAAATCCGAAGATCTGAGGTTCGATTCCTCACGGGGACTCAGAATTTTTCTTTGTCCCACGCTCGTGACAAGACGAAAACACATCTTTCTTAAGCCTAACTGTTTTGATCAATTTTAACTCGCATCAATGCATTTTTGGGCCTCGAAATCCCCTGCATATGAAGTCATTTCCACATTATGTAGCAACTCGCGGGAAACTTCTCACACTTTATAACCAGCCAGGAACACTCGCTGTTAATCAAAGTTGAACTGCAATATTCCTAACAGTTCACGTTTTAATTTTTGACTTGACTTGGTATTCTTTTCACGTGTTTATATCTGTAGACTAAGGTTTCCTCCAGACAGCCTTCGTGTTGATTCGTGTGTTCTCTTTGTGAGGTATTTTTAGTATCATTACAAAAATTAGAATGTCTACAATTAATTAGTAAATAAAGTAATTAAAACATTCATCAATACCTTACTTATTTAATGAGCTTAAATTTCTCCTGCAAGGAATGAATCAAGTTCGAATTGATTTATGCTAAAACGATCTTATTTTTCTTACTTTATGCGAGTATTTGATTCTCCCTTGAGAAAAATTCACCCTGGACGTTTCCAACTTTGTAATTGGTTTGCGTAATGGAATTGTCACTAAAAACTAACGAAACACGACATTCAATAATTTATTGAATGTAAAGGAATGGTTTTTTCCTACAATGAAAGGGAGAGCACATAGGAGATGTAAAAAGGGGTGCATTTACAACTTTAAAATAGGGTAAATAGTAAAACTATTTACTATCTAACAACTTTGCTCTTTAATCTGGAGACAACGATTAGAACAGGCTATACGGAACTGAATGGACAGACGCTCCGATCAGATAAGAGTTAACGTCGTGAATGAATGAAACAACAAAACTATCAGCTTCGAGAGCCATCAGTACTATGAACGTGATATGTGCCCAATAAACCGGTAATTCACATGATCAACGTCAGTTCAGCTCATCTTTAGAGTACAAATCGTCTAAAAATGGCTCACGTATTTACCTTTTCAAAAGTCCTTAAAAGCTAATTAATTAGCATTGACAACTCTGAGGGAGAAGTGGGGCTGCATGACCACGGGTCAACATTTTCCGGAAGTTTTGAGCTTTCTTCCAAAACGACATGGTGAGTAACAAATTTCACAGAAATTTACTCTCTCTAAAATGGCTCGCCAAATTACTGTCTCCAGGAGAAAATGAGTAAATATAAAATCAGCCCGATTTTATCTACTGAGGTGACTTTTGCCCCTTAGCTGAATTCACTATTTATTTAAATTTGGTACAAGAAATTTGATTTTTTTTTCTCACTTCCTCCCCTGTAAAAATCATTTTCTCAATTTAATGTTGAGAAACTAAAGCAATGAGATCAATTTGTTGGGTCATAGTTCGAGAAAGCAGCTTCTTTGCTATTCCTTTTTCATGCTCAGTCAAGGCACGTACACTGACACGTGCGGCAGACAACACTTAAATTCTTCAGACGGTAAGGGTACCAATGTAAATATCACAAAGCAAAAAGCCAAAACTCATTTTTTTCGATATTTTTGTGCGTTATTCCCACTGATTTTCCCTCTTACGTAAAATTATGGGAACTTCTTCTTTCCCAAATGTGACAATTTTTTAGTTTTAAACTACAACTCTTCATAATCGCCAGCCCTCTCTTCCTTTTTTTTAAAGCTAAGCTTTTCCGTGCCGTTTTTTATTGAATTTCATAACAACATGGGAGGATATTTTTAATTACATTTGTTGCGACTACAAACAGTAATTAAAATGTGAAGTTCGAATAAAAGACGGAATTATTTCGGAAATAAAAGCTCATAAAACGCACTTTGCATCATATTTCTTATTCGTCACTTATTATGACAAGTTTCTTTTGCTTCAAGTTGATAATCCAAAATTGTCAAAAAAATTGTGGCCCATAATTGTAAAGCGAAAAAATAAAAAAAGATTTAATTTCCATTAGTTTCAATGACGTGTATTGTGTTGTAAATTTTACGCCTCCAGTGGGTTAGCTGCAGCATTATCATGATTTCACAAACATAGGACAATACATGAATGAAATAATGATGTTCCAAATTTGTCAATTGTACATCAACACTCCATTTAAGCCCATTAAAAAGGGTTGCACTTGACAGCTTTATTTTCATAATTTACCACGCTTTTTTCCTATATTTACTTCAAGGGGTGGTATTGAATTCAGCTCTCTATAGTCTTCCTCAATTTCAGAGCCAGATGTGTGCTTAGCACATAGTTCCTTATGTAATACCTTCGCTATTAAAGATTAAAATGAATTTTCTTTTCTTGAGGTCATCCTATTTGAAGGGAGAAAGTGCAAATTATGTTACCTTTCCACATCGTTAATTCTTCCAGACTGTTTGTCCAAAACCCCATGATTTCAGAGCAATTCTTGCTCTTTTCACTACAAAAAAAATTCTGCCACAAGTATGATTCATTTTACGTTATTTTACGAACAATTTTTTTGCTTTCAGTTATTGCCTGAAGCGAAATGGCACTTAACAGTACTCTAGCAATAGACTCTGCTCCCCTTTAGTGAGCTTTCGTGAAATAGACTTCAAACTGATTAAGAGGTTTCCTCTATTTCCTGACTGTACACTGTTAGTTTATGTTTTATAAATTTTGATGTCTATTTTTCCCCGACCACGCAAATATCAGTCGCCTATAAATAACACGACACTAAGTACATCCAGCTTCACAGTCGCCACTGCTTTGCGTGTAGACCCGAAGCTTAGCAGTAAGTACAATGTGTCCAAGAACATTCGTCGCAGTTTTCTTAAGCAGTTTAATCTTTACGGCAGGTAAACCAGCGCTCCTTAGATTAATTTCATTCCAAATCATAATCTGTCTGCTTTAATTTTTAAAGTTATAAATTCGTTTAAATTAGATTCTATTTGTAAAGGGATTTTAACTTTGTAGGTCATGCTCTTTTATCCAAACAGATTTTGTTACTGAATCTAAACTGTTTCCCATTGTACGCTTTTGAGGCTTAGGGAGATGCATGACATTTTTACTTTGAATCGATATTTAATTTGTAATCTTTTATTTGAGTTTTGTCGGCTTCGATACCAGTCGTTATAGAGGGAGATGTGTGTAACTGACTGTGCTAAAAGTACTGAGTTTAAGCACTCTTTAAATCTTATAAAATTCGTCTCTAAATCAATTTCTTGGTTGTGGCTTAATTCAGAGCAATAGTGAAAACCGTTATGAATTGAAAAATTTACCTCCCAAATTACTTTATCTTCGTTCTTCGAAATAAATTGAGAATTTGGCTGTTCGTGTTTTATTCTTCCATAAAATATATATACATATATATATATATATATATATATATATATATATATATATATATCAGCTTTTAAGGAGGTAGTGGGCTGTACTCTGAATTTTGAGTCGTGAATGAAACCCTGACGTGTGTGATCGTTCATATGAAAGCAACTGAGCAGAAGTTCCATCACTACGTATTATACTGGTATACAAATTGGTTTTAACTCTGTAGTCTGTGGGTGAAATGCTAGTAAGGCCATTCAAATGAAAGCCTCTAAGCCTTAATTTCATGCGGTTCTGTTGAGAGTTCATTGGCCCTTCTCTGTGAGAAGGATGGTGAGTGCAAGGCACAATGTGGTTAAAATTTGTGAGTATGTGAATGAAATCCCAGTGTGAGATCAGGTAATGAAACTTTCAAAGCAGACTTTTCAGTTGGTTTAACCTAATAATCAGCTCGATTCAGGTTTACATTAACGCAGTGGATGAAACTTTGAGTTGGTCTGTAATTATTCAACGCAAATCATTTGATCGGAATTCCACGCCACAGTTGTACAAAGTGGCTCTTAAAATCAAATTTGGCATTCACAGAGCAATGTGCACGTAACAAGATAAATACACAACCATAATATGCCAAAATATTTCGTTCAGTTTATTTACATAACAGCAGAGATTGTTCGAGTGAAATTCGTGAAATTCATTGGTGTGAAGTGTCACTTGAAGAAGAAGGAAGAGTTTGATCACGTTGTGTTCCGCTCTAAACACTTCCTGTCTCCAAGTTCACAGTTATGCTTTGATGAAATAGCGTAAGAAGGAAAAATATTAATAACTGACAACCCCTGCCTACACATGGGAAATTTCGTTATTTCTTCTTAAATTATCGTGGAAGTGAAACGTGAGAGCATTATGTTTGATTAGAGTGCATTTACCATTTATCATCGTCTAAAAAAATTTGTCTTTTTTGGATTACATGATCACATATTTTTCTAAGATATATCATTTGTTCAAAAACTTCAAAGAATAGCTTCATTTTGGCAACAGATACGTGTTGGTGTTCAGTTTTTACATCTTATGAAACTCAGCTCCACGGGTATCAGCGAGACTTCACTGAAATAGAAAGTTGCAGATATGCAATTTTCAGAGATAAAATGGGACAAAGCACAAGTAGAAGAAAAAGGAGTCATGTCGACCAGATCAAAAAGAAAGTTGATGAAAGTAAGAAAATGGTCTGACCTCAGTAAATAGGAAATAAACAAGTTAGAATACACGCAGCACGAAATAAGAGTGGGAGAATGGAAATGACAGTTTTGGCGTGAAAGATTGTGGATATCCGTTTGTTTGAGTCTGCTGCGTTTTACATTGAATGCTCTGTATATGTTGCCGGATAAGCCTAATTAAATTCATCTCAGTCAAAAACAACTGCTGTATGATTGAAGCAGAAGAAAACATTACGACATGAAGGAGACTTTACAGTAATTATAAACCATTCCTAATTGCTCACAGAACATATAATTTAATGAAGTGTTTAAGACTAGTTCTGTTCGACGAAAGCAAAGTTTAATGACCCCTCTGTCATTCTGATAGCTTTCCATTCAGCCTTCGAAAACGGCTCGTGTAACTCAGTTTCATGCAAAGAAAATCGAATGTTAGGGATTATCTTAGCACGGGGTTTATTGCCCCGTTCTAGGGTTGGTAATTGTACCAGCTTGACTGAACATTGTTCCACTTTGTTGTGGGGAGCCCTGTAATTACTTTCGTAGACATCATTTTCTTGCCTGGTCAAGGTTAATGATTATTTCAGTAATGTTGTAATAATGATCTGGTTATAACAATGTTTGTACCTGCTGCGCCCTGTTTTCTGATTCCTGCCTCTTTGTATTAAGCCTCCCTTATAAACGAGATGATGTTTTTATTTTGCTCTAAAAATATCACACAAATAACTATTTTAATAGTTTGTTTGGTTATTCATTAACTTGAAAGGCAATTAAAGTACTATTCGTTCTAACCTTGAAATTCAACCCACCAAACAAAATATCCTTGGTCAACTTTGTTCTTTTACTAATAGCTAAAAAGAGGTTTTTTTACGTCAGACATCTCCGGGAGTTTCGCCAGTTCTTTCAAACAGTAGACGGTGACAAAAAACAGTATTTACTTTTGTATATTGTTTCACCTAAAATCAATTTTTCGACTTTTGTCAACACCTATTTCACACTTTCTCGCCAGTGATTGTGCTCTGTTGATCAAAAGGTGCGTCCGGTATCCTTTGCATTGGGTTTGTGTTGGGAGAGGTAATCATGGAAACTACTTCTGACTGTACATGTGTTGGTAATCATATGATGTTCTTCTGATGTGTGGAGTAGCATCAGATGTGAGTGAGTCTTTCTAGCACCAAACCTCCAAAGCACGAAAAAAATAAAACAAACATACTTAATTATTAGCTCAAAATATAACTTTTGTTAATAGATGAAAAAAGTATCAATATTAAGAATCGAAATTTTGTTCTCGTTTTGCCTAGGAACCTCCCTGGCAGATAGTTCAGGAGACAAAGAAGAATCTAGTTCATCAGGGGCCATTGATAAACCCTCGTCTGATGCCATTAACAAAAATATTCAAAACGCGGCTTGCTGCTGGATGGCAGGACCTCCACCTGGCAAAAAAACAACTATTTTTCACAGAGGAAGAAAGATGTTTAATCGGGAGCACCGCGCACATTACGTTCTTAGATTCAAGAAATTCGATTAAAACTAACCGCTCGTAAACGATGCAAACAGGATAGAGAAAAATGAAGTCGCGGAAAGCCTCGAGGATCTAAAATTGACGGTTTTCCGAGGGAATAAACTCGATTCTAACACAATTCTAGTATTGCTATATAGAGGTAAATAAACATGACGTCCTGCACAGTTTTACTCCGTATTTATTTTTCGTACCCCACCAGGAGTCCATTAGGTAATGGGCTCCTGACCCCACCAAGTAAGATTTTTCTATAGCCCCTTTTCCTTTAACTAAAACATCATATCTTCATCGCGCGCAGTGAAGATACTGTTGTGTGAGGATATTGGTGTCGCCATGGTTACTAACATGATTAGCCAATTACAAGAGAGCTTCCCGCTCAGGCGCGTGGCCGGTTCGTTTGAAATTTCATCAGTATAAATAAAATAAACAGAACATTACATGGCCGCGCGGGGATAGGAATTTTATCTTCTCGTACTGAAAGTATCTCTCACGAGTGAAATTCGTATCCCCGCGCGCGGCCATGTAATATCCTCTATTTATCTACCCCATATATCTTTATCTATTTGCCATATATATCTTTATTTCTCTACCCCATATATCTTTATTTATCTACCCCATATATCTTTATTTATCTACCCCAAAACAAGCTTCAAAAACCAGTCATAATTTATCGCCTGGGTGGAATCGTATGATTCTTGGGGGATCACATGGTTTTCAGTGGGAACTGAGGGAGGATCAGTCGTCGCCAAGAGAGTCTATTGGGGGGACTAAATGAATTGATTGTCAATTAACTGCCAATGAGGTGGATTATAAGAATATTTCAGGACCTTAATTATGGAAGGATCGGGACAATTTTATCATGACACAACCAAAATCCTCCAGACCTCCAAGGTGATAGATAAAGACAAAGAAAAAAGGTTTTGTATTTTCCTGTTGAGTGTAAAAGCGTAGAAGTTTAGCCAATCAACGTAAAGTGTCGGGATGTTAATTACGTCGGTCCACCGCGCGAATTTCATTTCGAACTAAAGAAAACAAATGTTTCGTAATGTGACCACAACCCTCTCTCAAATGAAGTCGTATAACGAATGGATCATATTCACTAACAATACAGCTGTACATTACTCATCTGACCTTACTCAGAGCTCCCCGTTTGTTTCGTTCGGCCGCTTGTCCTTCAAGGTATCCTCATGAACATCACCTTGTCTCCATCTCCCAAATCTCGTCTCCCGGCGGCCTCATTGCGGCAATCAAGGGTCTATCTGAATGTGTCACGCGGCGGAGCTGCTAGTGTCAGAAGGAGCGCATGAATTCTTCGGTGCACTGGCTGAGTGACGGAGTGTTATGAAATCTGTGCCGTTTGTAGGCAGTAGTAGAAAGTGTTCGGCCAAAATATGGACATTGGCGAGGAAAAATGTTTCCCTTTCTTGAGGGCGAAAAATTTAATCATTTTATGGCATAGTGTCCAAGTTATCTTGCCACTAGATTTGCCAGAAAAAAAAGCACTTTTTGGAGGCTTTTGTTCTTAGACGGACTTGGATAGAGTTATCTCAGATCGTAACAGCAGGAATTTAGTTTTAAATATTTAAATTGGGAAAGCCTCTTTTTCGCTCAGTCTTTTACCTATCACTATTGTATTTTCACGTTTTCAAATCGAGTATTGATCTCAGCGATCCTCTCGATCCAAAGCGTCAAAGAGAGGTGATTTTGACGACAATAATCCTTGCTAACGTTTAAAAGAAGAAAAGGCCACATTACCGTAAAACTTTTCGCTATAATTTCTGTTCTTGGCTTATCTACACATTCATGGACCGGAGAGCGTCACTTTTGAGACGGAATAATTTGAGGCAGGAAGCACAGGTATTTCGGCATTTATGCTTGATTTTTAATTAAATTTTGACAACGTTGGAATCAAAGTTCAATTACTGTTGGCAAGATATTTTGGGTAGATAGTAAACCAAACTTCCTAATTGATTTAACATCGTTTCCTTCAAAGAAAACAATCTAATTTTTCTCAAGGTACTTCCATAATTAATATTGCTTCTTTTTAGGGGATACAGAACTTTTTTTCTTAAAGATAGCCAAAAAATCACATTGGAAAAGAGATCTTCTTAAGTTTGAAGAGAGAAATAATAAAGGACCGTAAAGGGGATTCTTTTAGGAACGTCCAATTAAACTAAAAATGTTCTTACTCAAACGTTGAATATCACAGACGGAAGCTGACCAAGTATTTTCAGTTGTGCAACACATTTCGTATCTAAAACCGAAGAGAAACTATACTACAATATGATTATATTCTCGGCAACTATCATTTCCCAGATATCTAATGTAAGTAAAATCCACTTAGGTAATGAAATTGAACAAGATCTTGAAAGGTTCCGCGTCACATCTCACTAATTACAAACATACATCCTATTAGAAATTGAGTCTTTTTAGCATACCGCCTTAATGAAAGCCGTTTGCGAATGCACGACATTGGCAATTTTAAGATCTTCATATTAAGTTGAAGCTGGAAATCAACCACACAGCTCTAAATTGTTTTGGAAATCGTTAAGTCTTTGATTCAGTTTTTTAGGTTATTCTATTTAAAAAACCAACTAATCGATCGAATGTTACTTTTTATAATAATCATACCTATTTATGTTATTGGTATATGCAACGAGGTTATCAAATTTGCAGAAAGAAAATCCCGAAAAACATTCCTATTTTCCACGGGCAAGTAGAAAAATCGCTCTTATTTTTTGCACATTCCACTAGCTGATGAATTGATCCGTCGTCGTTAGATCACCTATACCTCAGGTCATATTAAATCGCCAAGCATTTTGCGCCCACCGTTTCAACTGATTTTCCTCAAAAAGAAAGCATGTTTCTATTTTTGAAATATTTCAGATTCACACGATAATAAGATATTATCCCAACGCGTGAAGAAAATTAGGTATTACATGAATTACAAAATATGATGTCGGCTTCGGGGCTTCGTAAATTACCGAGATATAATTTTGATATTTTCTATAAAAAAAAAGGAAGGAACGGAAGCTCAAATCAACCAATGGGTTGTGCTGTCTTCGCTGAAAAGCGTTTTTTCATTTTCTTGCGGAATTTGGTGATCTGATGGGAATAGCTGGCTTGCTTCATAACTATGAATTCTAATTCCGAAGAACGATTAAACAGAACTGTTCCAAAGTGCACTGAAGCCATAATGAATAACTGAGGTTTTTAGATTGACCCTTAAGCGCGAGCAGATCTCCCTTTCGCAAGTGGAAACGAGCCCAAATTTTTAAGGAAGTGCATTAATTTCCCGGTGGAGTATTTGGTTAGCAGTTTCGAAATTTTGAAGTCTCCTTTTTCCGACCACGCACGTACCTCACAACTTTAAATAAAGAAAGGCACCAAGTCTAGAAACGTCTCTACAGCTTCAAAGAAACGCGGATTGTCACCATGAGCCCTAATATGTGGATTACATTGTCGCTTGCAGTTCTCTTATGCGTAGCAGGTAAGAGTCACACCTCGAACTTTTTATATTTTTATGCGTGGTATTTTATTAAACATTGAGATTCAACTCATAACTAAATTACGCAACATACTTAGAATTCTACAAGGATTTAGATGATTCAATTTTTTTTTCCTTGTACATGAACATTTTTAGTAACCAACGCCCAGCGCATTGAATGGCCCCCTCGACCAGGAGACGAGGCCATGACAACTAATGAAAGGAGTAGTGATTCAACAGAATACGTTTTGTTGACCAGGTTGAAACCAGCGGAAAGAAGTATTCCAGAAAAAAAGCTCTTGAAACGAGGCAGCCGCCAAAGTTTCGATGAAGACTGACCCAGATTTGTGCAAGAATAACGAAATCTCGATTTGAAGGGCATTCTTCAAAAATATTATATTAAGAAGGATGTACAACAAATGATGAATAGCCTATAATTCGAATAAATATATTATAACTCATATTGACGCGAAATGTTCTTGGTATTACTACCTTAAAGTGAAGAGATTTCTCAAAAACACTAACCATGTACGTGGGTAGACAAAAAAATAACTCCATTCAAAGGAAAGTGTTACAGCTTCCCATGTTTGTGCAAGACTGTAATGAACTACTCAGTCAAGGCGTAACTCCTGTCTACATTTTGCTATGTTGCTTTTGTCCTTGAATTTTACCGGAAAATTCAACCTTCTCACTCATAACATTGTGTCATCATTGCTTAGTTTCGTTGCTTGGCGGTAACGTTCCGGGTAAATTCTCCTTAACTGCATGAATTATAACTGGTTTTAGCGCAAGAAAAGACTAAAAATAAAGCCCATATGTTAAGTCATATTTCTCCCCTATTCAAGTGCCTATTTTACTAGGGTTAATTACTTTTTTAAGGTTTCAGTCCATTTCAACGGTTTATGAGCACAACATTAAGCGCGAACGGAATGAGCTAGGAAAGACCAGATCCTACAAATCAGCGTTATTGTATCTAAAATTATCTGAAGTTTTCAAAACGGAAAGAGTGGTTGATAAATGTATCAAATATCTCCGATAATATTGACATTTTTGCCTTTTGCTCGTACTATTTGTGAAAATGACTGTATGGTTGAATAGGTACTTTAGGACCAGGAATTGAAATATTCCATGATGGTGTGAAAAGGAAATTCCCAGAAATAATCGGAATCATGTCAACTTCCAGTTTCATGTTGAAAACGCTTTGATTCTGATATTTGTGTGGCACATTTTTCCTAATATCGAGCAATATATCCTCCCAGTTGTCAATTGGTCGTTGAGGATAATCCCTGTGTTCGTTGTTGATGGCAGTCACCGGCGTATAGCGTATAACTTGACCGCGAAATAAAATATCTGACTTTAAAATAACATATTTTTGGCTCTCCCACCAGCTTATCTCCTCGTAGTCCAGTCTATAAGGTAGAATATGTTGAACTGCCTTGGTGTGAAACGCGTTTACAGCGGCGTCAAAAGATATTGTAACCGGTAAAATCGGCGGGAGATTTCCAGTTGCAGGGCGCGGCGAGCAACAAAGCGCAGGTACATAATAAGAACCGTTTTCCGCAAGTTTCCCACAACGACTGCAATAATTGCACAGACCTACCGCGGGCTCGTAGTCCAGAAGAAAGTTTTCAAAGGCTTCAAGTGGATGTTTAGTTCCTTCCTTGTAACCCCTATCCTGGGTCGTATTCGATGTGAAGATAAACTCGATATCTTCATCAAGGAAAACGTAGTACAGATAGCTCCTGTTTCTCTGCAAAGCCCAATGATACAACAAATTTCGCCCGGAACTCCATGACGTATTCTCTCCTTGAATGTAAACCACGCTGCCAAGATTTGTGGACGAATCTTGACATCGTCTGCCCCAACTCAAAACTACAACGTCACGTCTAGTGCTACTTGCTAATTTTATAAATGAAGTGTAATGCTCAGATAGGCAACTCTGTGCTTGTATAAGATATATGATTTCTGCTTCTCTATGATCCGCTAACTTACTGTTCTGAGCGAATTCCTCTCTGCCTAGAGCGTAAACATCAGTTGTGAAGGAGAGCGTTGGAAGATGAAAACAAATTGTCAAAAATAATCCAAACGCTGAAAAGAAAAGTAGAAAAAAAGTGGAAGGCAAATGAAGAATCATCCATTAACTGAGTTGTTGTACGCTTTGAACAAGTGTCTCCCAGATACAAATTTCAGTGGTAATGTTTCACCTTACTGTTTATCCTCCACGTCCCTTTTAATTAAAAACCACCTAACAAATCTACTGTACAAACAAAAACTTCACTGATGTGTTTCAGACAATACTATGGACACCAGTAGCATGTAGTACCCGTTCAAGGTGTTATTTTATAATTTTCAGTATACCCTAAGATAAATTTTGGTATTCCATTTTACAGAGAAGATTAAGGAACCTAAACTAGTTTGACTTTACCATAAACAAATTGCTGAAGTTCTATCTTAAAGAGAAAATTAAATACAGTACTTTTCTTAATATTTTCCATCTTGCAAAGTTTGCCTGAAATATTTGACACAACAACTTGGTTATTTGAGGAGTAAGGAAGTGGGTACGGCTTGATGAATTTCCAAAACTAGCGAATTTTCTTTCCTATTTGAGCCGAAGTGTAACAAATAATTGGGAAATTATTATAATTCGTTTTATAATTCGTTTAATGACAAAATTTACTTAGTTCGAAAGATAAAATTTACCTTAAAATAAGTGGTAGAGGTTTGAATTGTTTTTAATTTTCTTAACCAAGAAATGCGAGTAATCTTAATTACACTTTTCGCTTCAGTGATGCGATTCGTTTTGAAATTATGGCAACCTTGGATCTTGGCGGCAAATTCACAGCTTCGCTTTTAGAGTTGTATTCTCAACGTAGTTTTTATCAAATCGTGTCTCTCAGGTGGAAAACTTCTAATTAAAGTTAATTTCATTTAATATCAAAAACTTCCAATATTGCAAAGTATCTTTCACATACTTCTTCCAGTATGCATTGTCTTCACGTCTCAGCGGTTTTTGTCGTCAAAACAATGTGTTACCTGCCGGGTGATGTGCGCACGCGTAGTTTGGTGCAATAGAGCAAAGTAAAACTGTTTTGAAAGCTTCTCGATTATCGCAGCGTTAATAAGGATTGGTGCATGGGCAGTGTGGCCCTACTAGCCAAAAGACTGGTCATTATCTATCGCCTGAAGTGGAGGGGGAGGGGGGATTTCGGCTGTGTGTCACTGAAAAAAATTCACCTGATTCTCCATAAGGCTCTGTAGTATTTAAATGATCCATCTCATTGGCAGCCAATTTTCGACTGATCCCTCCTCTGTCCCCCCCCCCCGAATAAACATGTGATTCCCCACAAATTTTGCGACCCCCTCATGATCAATAATGACTGGTCGTCAATTGGGCCACTTCACTCCTCGTTCTTACGAAAAGTTAGCTTCTCATATCCATAAATTGTGGTGGAAACTGTTGGAGATATAGGGAGGTCATTGCCTTGTATTTTTCAACTCTCTGAGTTCTTGGTTGATCGCCGCCTCATTGTTTTTCTAGAACAGAAGTCCTATTATCTCGAACCTTCGCTTGGGACAAACCAGATGCTCTGAGTTGCTTAATGGCACACATAACGAACTCTCCCAGAATTAATGATGGAGACATTCCCCTCTTGTTCACCATTCAAGATTGGATTAGATGTTTAGCTTTCTTGTAGGAATTAAAGCTCATCGTAATGGTTATCTCTCTCCACCCTCAGCATCTATAGACGTAACATCAATCCTTCTTCCCGTTATAAGAATATTGTGCAATCATCGTGAATCATTATTTATTTATTTGGAAAGCAAACAGAAACTTTGCACTGTCACTTCGAAGTTCTCCTCTGTCAGAAGTTTCTTAACATCCAATCGAAATTATTACTTGCGTTCCTATTCAGGCTATATTTTTTATAACAACCATTTTGAAATTTCACTATTTGGCATGCTCTTTAAGATTTAGAAAAATCATCCCTCGACCTAGTATTTCGATCAAAATTCTGCAAAAAATTAAAATATATTGGGAAGATATGAGTTAAATTTGAAGAATAGGTGTGCTTTCAAGTGTTTAGTTTAGTTCTTTTTTTCATCGTCTTGTTTCTCGATGCTCAGCGTGTGTTTCTTTCTGCTTTAGGCGATTCTAATAACAATCGTCACATTTACATGTTCAGTTTTGAAATACAAAAACAGTTTACATACGTCTCTAAGCATCTGAAAGGGAACACCTGTCTTTGTTCTTTCTGCTCATGCGCAAACTTAGACAAAAGAGTTTTACTTTTCCAACATAAACTTCTCCACTGCGAAATTCTGATCCGATCTATTTTAATAACTTGAGCAAAGGAACGATGTAAATATTCAGAAAAAACGAAAGAGAATAAGTATTACTGAATTAAACAGGCTTTTCGTGTGTCAACTATAAATAATAAATGAGTCTAATCCCCAAGGTATACACACGTCCAGGATATGTGATTCGACTCAACAAATTTGCATTTTCGCAGAGCCTGTCAAATTTTCCATTCGAACTGAGCGACTCTCTCAAGTCCTACCAGAAAGCGCTGTGATACCTCTGTGAATAAGTATTCGTTTCTGTAAAGAATATCCTTATCTTCAACGGACAAACGAGGATCTATTGAAGAATTCTCGTAAAACTATGAGGGTTTTCTGTTGTCCCGCATTTGTGTATGTTGTATCCTTCATTATACTCAGCCATGTTGAAGTAGTGGCAAGTAACAACGGCACTAATGGATCCGGTAAGTATATTTTTAGTTCAATATCGCCAGGTATTTTCATAGCATTTCATCCACTGACCATTGCAAAATTTCGTGTAATTTTCGCTGGAACGCTAAGCGTCGAAATACGACGAATTAAACGCCGCTTTAAATGGGTATACATTTTTATTATTCGCGAGCAAGAATGTTAATTACAAACCTTGTATTTATCGATAGTGGTTTAAGCAACGATTTCCCACTAAGAAGAGTTCTTCAGGAGGTTTTCTGCGATAAAAATGCATCCAATTTTTGGAAAGAATCCCACTGGATACAATTCTCGAAATGATTTTCAGCTTTGTTCATTAAACGGGTATAACTTATTGCCCAAAGCGCAGCCAATGTTTATTTTCGCTTTGGTGGTACATGACTTTAAGAAAAGTCACCGTTGAATTTTTGCGTTCTTTTAAAACGTTTTGGAAAAGCTCTTCATCTAAGAAATTTGGCATTCGTTTAGGCGCAACACACTCAAAGGCTAACGTGCCATTCTTCAGAATCAGAGAACTTGCACAAATCCGAAATTTTTCTTGCTTTTAATAATTAATATTCGTATGTCTTCTCCGAAGATAGTGAAGACACACGACATAATGAGAATTTTTTAATATATTTCTATTAAACTTACCAACTTCAGTTCCGTCCGTTTTTTATTTCTCGGTAGTTTAGATGGTTCTGCAGGTTTGCCGATTAGACTAAAATTTAAGACATTCTCGACAATGGTCAAAATTACTTCTTTTCGTTTCTTAAAAGAGAGTCTCGATGCGTTAATGGCTTTTACGGCTAAAGCTTAAAAATTTTGGCCACTTTACAGCTAACGGTTGATGTCTTTAAATTGTGATCACATGAAATATTTTTACGGTTGATTTTTGTACGACTGACGGACCCTCCTACAATTTCAAATACATTTTTGACAAATACATGACAAAATCTGGAAGACAATCAACAAACATGAGGATAACAGTTCTTCAGGAGTAAATAAAGTTCATTTTTTATTTAAGTCTCCCTTTAATAAACGGTAGAAACCGCGAGACTATTTTTAGATACAAAACCGTTTTTGTTAGAAGATAGTCGAAGTAATCCTGAAGATAAATAGGCTTTAGCTTATCTTGCATGATTCAAAACATTATTAACATAAATATGTAAAATGGTGGGGAAGTTTTTCTGCGAAGACATTCACTGGCTTCCTAATTGCGTGGTTGTTAATTACAGGAAGTTGTACGATACTTTAAACCGGAATATTCTACAAGCCCTCACTTATACACAAACGAAAATGATAAGAGTATGTTTCATAGAAAAATCAAGCTTCACAAAAGTTTAAAGAGAATCAAAAGAAAGTTGATTTGTGTAGTATATTCTGGCAATATCCTTATTATGCTTTCCGCTACGAATTGTTAAGATAGCTGAATTTTATTTGGCCTTTTTTTTTTTTTTGTCAAGGACAGTCGTTTCAAAATTCATCTGTATGAAAACGGTTTAAAAAAGAACAAAACTGCAACGCACGATTTAGCTAATAAAAGATCTATTGAATGAAAGAGAAAAATGATAATCCAAAGAAATACCATCGATATGTAACAGGGACACCCAAATTAGTTCTCGCGATTTAAAATATTGTAGTATTATGTTTTCAGATATCTGTTTGTGTCAATTCACATCGGAAAGAGGACTTTGACACTTAAAATAGAGACATATGTAGGTTTTGAAGACACAGAGTAACATGATCTTGAATTGGACTATGTAGAGCAATTGGAATCTTAAAGAACGAGTATGAGAGTGAAATTTGCAAAGTTAAATTAACATTGTGTTTAAGATTATAGATCTTATAGTAGATTATTTCACATTTCCTGTTCTCAGGATTCCTTGCAATTTTCATCTGTCCCTCGCCCCTTTCACAGAGTAATCTTAATTCGTGAAGTTTCAGATCTTCAAACTCTCCAATTTATGTGTTCAACAGTCTAAGATCGCGGTGGCCAAATAACACATCTTTCCATGCGGTGCAAATAAAAGAGGAAGAATATTAATCTGGCACGTTTGTTTCTTTTTATGTTGTTTTCTTCATGATCATGGTGATTTACATTTTTTTCAGTGACGTACGCCCGGTTGCCCAGCAATCATCCCTCTGCATAATTACCTTAGAAAATATACCAGTACTGGAAATGTTTGAACAAAACCTGGAGTTAATGACCTGATTAAATATTCATAAAGAGACCAAAAAAGGTTGCAGTTGGGGAAAATCAACAGCTTGAAAAGTTTGATTCTAATTCTTCAAGACGAAGAAGTTGTGAATATCACTGTCACCTATCGTTTTACAGAGAAGTAATTGGTTATAAATTCTATACGATAACAAATATCTATTTTTTCA